CTCTCCCAGCCTCTTAACCATCATTCCACTCCCAACTTCTGTGAGATCAACCTTTTTAGATCCTTCATATGAGTGAGATCATATATGGTACTTGACTTTCTATGTTTGGCTTATTTCACTTAACATAATCACTTCCATCCATGTTGTTGCAAATTAAAAAGACTTCATTCCTAAGTGAATCCTATTCCATTGTGCATATGTACTGCATTTTCTTTCTTCATTCCATCAGTTAGACACAGGTTGTTTCCATTTCTTGTCTATTGTGAGTCCTCCTACAAGTTTGTTTTTTGTTGTTGTTGTTTTTCCACTATGTATGATATGTCAAAATGCATTCTACTGCTGCTGCTTGGAGATCTTTTCAAGTTTCCAAATTAGTGTATATAGCTGTACCAAATACTTAAATTTCTCTGTTGGTATACTGCTGTGGTTTCGATGACTGTCCCCCATGTGTTAAAAGCTGGATCCCCAACTTGTGCTATAGAGAGGGTTGGAACCTTTAAGAGGTGGGCCCTAGTGGGAAATAGTCCATTCATTGGGACTTGCTCTTGAAGGGGATGTTTAGATCCCAGCCCTCCTCTTCTTTGCTTTCTGGCCGCCATGAGGTAAGCAGCTACCTTAGTTTCATCCTCCTGCCGTGATGTGCTATTTGGCCCAAAAGCAGTGTGGCCAACCAGCCATGGACTGAAATCTCTAAAACTGTGAGCAAGAATAAACCTTTCCTCCTTTAAGTTGATTATCTCAGGTATTTTGTCACAGTAACAAAGCCAACCAACACCCAACATTGGTACCAAGAAGTGGGAGTTGATATGACTAAACCTGAGAATAACGGAGGAATCTTTGGATTTGGTTTGTGGGGAGTTTGGAGAAGCAGGTTAGAGAAAGCCTAGGATGCTGTATGCAGAACTCAAAGGCCAATTCTGGTGAGGATTAAGACCAGAATGCTGATTAGTAAAGTTTCTCAGGAGGTTGCAGGTGAAAATAAGGACTCTACAGGGAATTGGACAGGCCATACCTTTTTACACCATGGTAAAGAATTTGACTACATTTTAACCATCCCTGAGACTTGGTGGGAAGCTGAACTTAAAGGTGATGGACCAGTTTACCTGGTGAAGGAAATTTCAAGGCAGCTCAACATTCAGATAGCAGTTCAGGTTTTATTGCTTCCTTTTTAGCTAAATTTACTGTGAAAATCAGAAGTGAAGAGGGAAAATTTGGAAAACTTGAGTTTGGCTCTCCAAAAAAGAAACATGTTTCAAGGTGCTGCCAAGGAGGGTGCAGTTGCCAAAGAGATCTGCGTCATTGAAAAGAAGCCATGTGAGAGCTGGGCATGGTGGCACATGCCTGCAATCCTAGTAACTTGGGAAGCCAAGGCAGGAAGATCACAAGTTTAAGGCCAGCCTCAGCAAATTAGCAAAACCCTGTTTCAAAAAAAAAAAAAAAAAAAGGTCTGGGATGTAGTTCAGTGGTAAAGTGTCCATGAATTCTATTCCCATTACCAAAAACTACAACAACAAAACTAGGCAGTGACACTTAATTCCAGGCTTCATCAGAGATGAAGCAACCCTGGCTGCTGTCTGCATAGTGAAGTTCATAGTAGCTACAAATCCATCTGAGTGGGTGCCAGGGAAGCCATCCATGGAGAGATGTCACACCAGTGGCAATCTGGGAAGTCATTGAAGGGAGTGTAGGGTAGTGACAGGAACATTGAGAGGTGATAAATGGAAAAGGGTCACAGTCCATCCCTTTGGTTATTAAGCTTCCATATGTGCCCTTCTGCACATTTCAAAACTTTGCAACAATGAGATAGTCCTACATTTCTTCCTGACTTATATTTTCTTACAAATCAACTTCACTCCCCTTTCTCAAAATAAGAAGATGCCCAGTACTGACAATCATTTTCATTGTTGGTTACATTAATGACTCCTCCAATTCTGTCACTGTTTCATCAAATATTCTGTAACCTAAAATCTAAATTGTAAATTTAATCTCCCAAAACTTGTATATAAAATTAAAATGAAAGAAGAAAATGAAAATGGTTAGAACATACAAATAAATAAAAGAGGAAAATGGAAAATCCTCAAAGCTATTGCGGTCCCTGTTTTTTTTAAACCTGTGACCTCCTTTCTCTACCTCTTTGGTATTTCTTTTGCCCTTGGCCAGAACCTCAGCTGGTTAGGATTCTTTACCTGGTAAAGACCTAAATATTAGAGCCAAAGTTTCTGATTCTTCAAATTGTTCTACCTATTTTGGTTGTTATAGTTTTCATTAATCTTTACTATTGACATGGAACTGCTTAGACACCCAGGGTATCCTCTGTGTTGCAAATATAGTCCTTTTTGCCTCCTTTGTGTACTAGCAATACAATCTTCTATTGGCAATCAGGATTGATCCTTCCAGCCAGTAGAGATACACCTTTTTCTGCCTATTTGTTTAGGAACATAAGGAAGTCCAGGTGGCAGTCTCATCTTACGTAAGTGGAACCATTGTTGTGTCCCTGGTTGAAGCATCCCCTGAGGACTAAAACCTCCAATTTTTAGCATTCTCCAGATGCTGGGATAAGAAGTATAATCATGAAGGAACTCACTATTACTCTGTGATTCTTGGACCCATATACTCTGGTTCAAAGCATGTGCTACACTTTCAGGGTGGTGTCCCCATCTGCTGTCATAAATGAGTAGTGGGTGAACCATTTGACCTTATAATTAGGTCAGCTACTTCTTGGTGTTGGGCCATGTTGATTTTACGGGCATGAGCTCACTGCAGCATATTTTTTGCTGTGAAATTTATTTCTTGCTTAAAAGCAATGCTATGGAAAAATGTCATATAAGACCTTCAGTAAGTATATGGATTGGAGGTGCTGCTGGCAGGAGCATTATGGGAAGGAAGGTAATACATATACAGAATATGGACTCATTCTAATGAAGGTGAATCTCTGGTCCTCTCATGATGAGAGAAGTCCAGTATCATCAACCTGCTACCAGGTAGATAATGATTAACCATGGGGTTGGCATTATATTGCAGTTTCATTAGTAGTTTCAGCTCTAGACAGAGTAGACACTTGGCAGTAGTGATGTCGGCCTTGGAAAAGGGGAAGTCTGTGTTGCTAAGCCCACATATGAGCTCCATGCCTACTACTGTGGGATGTTCAGAATCCCATTGAGAAAGCAGGGAGTAGCTGGAAAATGATGCTGATACTCTCAGGGCATATTATTTTGTCAACTTGATTAATAAGAGCCTCCTGTGCTATAGATGCCTTTGGTGAGTATTAACTTAAGACCCAAATATGATCATAGTCTGTGTTCAACCAAAGGCTTCATCCCGAGCCCATAGTGCTCAACCAAATCCACATATTCCATCTTTGTGGGCCTATCCTCTGAGAACACCCCACTCCTGGTACCAGTTCTGTTTCAACCTTTGGACAATAAGGAGACAGAAATCACATAGTAATTCAAACATGGAATGTTTAACATAAATAATCATTAACTATACCCAAGGATCAGCATAATGGGGGATTGTCTGATAAGTAATAAATTCTAAAAAATATAGGAATTGCAAATTTAGGAGCAGTGACTACCTTCCAAGGCTCAGATCCAGACTTCATTAGAGACTACCTAGACAAGGCTTACAAGAGAACAGAGAATTTCTCTGAGGTGACAAAGTCACCCAAGGAGGTGCTGTGCCAGAGGCACTCTACCCTGAAGCACATGCAATGCTAGAATCAGACATGGTACAAGCCACATGTATTGTGAGAACTTGATGTTGCTAAAGCCATACACACTGAAAGGATCTGCTTAGAGGAGCACACCAGAACCTTGAAGAGAAATCCTTCTTCTTCCTACAGATTTGCTCCAATACTCTCTCCTGACAGAGTTTAACATTTGCCAGTTGACAAAGAGGAAACATTTACAAGGTCCAGATAAGTTATCGCAGAACAGAAAATGAATCTGAGCTGACTTATAACAAATTGATAACTTGGATGGTATCTTATGCTGAAGCTTGAGTTTAGATATCAAAGTTATCAATCTTCCTCTTCTTGTTTTTTATATTCTGTTTCTGAAATAAGCTTGTGTGTGTGCATTTAAATATTTAACCCATTTTGGCAAAAGATGGTAACTTAATTTGTTTTGAATACACTCAACCTTCTCCATAATTAGAAAAGACTCATATGTCATGTATGTGTTAGAGTTCCGTTGCCATAACAAATATCCTAGATAATTAACTTAAAAAGAAAACGATTTACTTTGGATCACAATTTTGCAGTTTTCATTCCATGGTCAATAGGCCCCACTGGTTTTAGGCCTATAGTGAGGTAATATTTCATGATTGGAATATGCAGCAGAGGAAGCTGCTTACCTCACAATGCCTTGGAAACAGAAGAGAGAGGAATGACTTCCAATATCTCCTCTGAGGGCATGCCCTCAGTGACATAACTTCCTGCCACTATGCCTCACTTAGTAAAAATGTTTCACCATCTCCCAATAACACTATGGGCTCAGGACCAGGCCTTTAACACATGGGTCTTTGGGGACATTTAGGATCCAAACTATTGAAATATATATTTTTGGTCTAATAACTAGTAGTAAATAACAATACAAAAATTTATGTATGTAAATATGTTTCTTAGGTTTGTTTTATTGCTTTACTCAGATTTTGAAAAAGAACAACAAAAAAGACAGATTAAGACTTTACTAAGTCTGAGAACTTTGACATTTGTAGGAAGAATAAAAGACTGAAGAGGGATTGTGTTCTTAAGTGAAACGAATAAGATGGTGCTTTCAAGTTTATTTGGATGCAGCTCTATTCAAATACAGTGGTTTCACCTAGTAAAACATAGCCCAGCAGCAGGACCTCTGTCTTGGCTATCCCGCCTACCTGGTAACTCTCAAAGTCACATTGAGAGGCTATGGTTGGCCAACAGCAAGGGAGAGCTTATAGGAATGTAAATCAGTGCAAACTATCTTCCAAGAGAGTAGATAAGAAAAATGAGATAAAAGGCTTAATGGGGGTAAGAGTCATTTTTATTCATTCAAATGCTCATAGAAATAAAATTTGGGAAAAGATGTGATTACCAATCAGATCCAAATGGGATTCTGGATGGAGCTGTTTGGACTTGAAAAGCTGTAAGTTGGACATCTCCTGTCACATTGGGTAGGAAAACCTTATCAGTCCTCTTTTTGTGTTTAATGGGTACCTGTAATATTAAGCACATAGTATTGTTTTTTTTTTTTTAAATGATGGTGAATATTGCTTGGTATAGCATAATAAAAGATCACTGTTGTTAATGAGACTAAAATCTTTGGTTCAGTCTGGGCTATGCCTTCAGTGTGCCTTCTCATACCTACTTTGCCACTTGTTATATGGGAACTGGTCGAGAATGAATCCATCAGTGGAAAGCCATTTCCAGCTAAGGACAAAAAGACTTATCTGTCTAAAGCAAACCACAAATTCCTTAATATTTTGTTACTTATGTTAGTGCCAAGGTATTTTTTAGAAAATTATTTGTGTCCCTACATTTCAGCCACTTCCTCTTCAGTCAGTATTTATCTGGCCTGACTCAGAGGCCTTGTTTAAGAAGCCAGACCTTAAGTTAGGTCTGAAATGGTTCCAACTAACTTTGTGCCTTCCCTGGCCTTCAGGATTTTTACTTGGGGTCCCTTTATTGAACACAAGCTAATGGGACCACAATATACTTCATTATATGGTTTATTTATTTATTAGGGCAATGGCCAATGAATAATTAACCCTGACCATCACCCACCTAAATCTCTCAAATATTCACTCTCTCCACTTAGGCACTTAGTCAGCTACATGACAGCCTTTTCTTTTCTTTTTTTTTTTTCCCATTTATTTATTTATTTCATACATGACAATAGTGGAATGCATTACATTCATAACTATCCATTCACAGCACAATTTTTCATAACTCTGTATATAAAGTATGTTCACACAAAATTATGCCATTATACATGAGCTCTCCTATTGACTTTTTTTTGCATTACAATTCTTAATACACCTTCATACCACAATTTATCATATCTCTGTTTGTATATAAGGTATGTTGACACCAAATTCACATCTTCATACATGTATTTTGTATAATGATGAACACCTCCTTCCACCCCCTCCCTTTCCCTCCCACCCCTATTCCCTATCTAGAGGTAATCTTCCTCCCTTGCTCTCCCTCCCTACCCCACCTTGAGTCACCCCACTTATATCAAAGTAAACATTTAGCATTTGTTTTTTTGGGATTGGCAGCCTTTTCAATCACAAGAGCTGTGATCACCAACACGCCCAAAGTATGCAGAGTCTTCAGGAGTGAAATAGAGACTAACTGAATCTTGAAAGGCCCTGTGGTTGCACATACACAAACTGAACTTTGCTTCCTTTTAGAAAAGGCTTTCACAGCCAGGTGCAGCGGCACACACCTTTAATTCCAGCGGGTCACCAAAAAGGAAAGAAAAGGATTTTGCAAAATGAATAGAAATAAAGTTTGCCCTCATGTATCCATCAGCACTACATCCACAGATTCAACTGTGGATCAAAAAAATATTTGAAAAAAATTGCATCCCTTTTGAACATGAACAGACATTTTTGTCATTATTCCATAAACAATACAGTGTAACAAGTATTTCCATAGTGTTTACATTGTGTTAGGTATTGTAGCAATCTAGAGGTGATTTGAGGTACATAGGTAAATGTATGTAGGTTGTATGAAAATACTATGCCTTTTTGGGTGCCTTATGTTTATTTCCACTGTTCATTCAAAAAAAGATGTTTAAAAGTGCCATAAGAAAGTTGAAGTAGTAAGACAACTTCTAGCTTCAGAAAGTAATTAAGTTCAATATCAGAAAATATTTTTAAGAATTTTTTTTAATTAGGGACTTCAACATCCATGGATTTGGGTGTCCATGGGAGTCCCGGAACCAATCTCCATGGGTACTGAAGGTGACTGGACAAAGATTGGTGAGCCAAGCATTGGTAACCATTAACCACAAGGCTCTGACTTGGTTAAGGTGTCAGCTAGTTTGGTCCCAACCTATTTCTCCAATTTCTTTTCTTTTTTCTTTTTTTTAATTGTTGATGGACTTTTGCTTTATTTATTTTTATGTGGTACTGAGGATCGAACCCAATGCCTGATGCGTGCTAGGCAAGTGCTCTGCCACTGAGCCACAACCCCAGCCCTCTCCCCTTTCTTAAGTTTAGAAATATTGCAGCAAAATTTTGGACTAATAACTAGACCATCAGTTGAAGAATTACCCAATTTAAACAACTTCTGAGAATGACATAATTTTCTTTGAAGAAATGATTACATCTTTTCTTCTTATTTTTTCTGAAAATAAGGGGAAGAATTCTTAAATGTGTTGATTAGATATGCAAATCTCGGCGCTGGGGCTCTGAAAGATATTGGAGCAAAAAATATACTAAAGAAGTGTAGAGAAGGTAGTAAAAGAGGATGTAAATGTTGGTTTATATCAAGTAAAAGCTAAAATATTTTTTAAAATTCTTTTTTTATTTTTTATTTTTGGTACCAGGGATTGAACTCAAGGGCACTTAACCACTGAGCCAAATCCCCAGTCCTTTTTTGTATTTTTTTTTATTTAGAGACAAGGTCTTGCTGAGTTGCTTAGGGCCTCACTAAGTTGCTGAGGCTGGCTTTGAACTAACAATCCTCCTGACTCAGCCTCCTTCTGGGATTACAGGTGTGTGCCACTGAGCCCAGCTCTCATGTGTTTTAAAATGACTTCTGAAATTCTTTATTTCTGCTCTATTAGGAAAATCAACTAAGAGAGCCAATGCTGCTAATTAATTATTATGGATGGTTTAAAAAATAAAATCAGAGATAGAATATAACAAGTTGTTGATACTCATTTTCACACCCAATGATTGACTTTGTAATTGAGAAAGTACCATTGGACTTAATGATTTCAACATTAGAATTGTTTTATCCAGATCCAAATTACCTAGATAAAATCTTTGTGTACAATTTTTCTAATGTAAGTTTGAAAACTTAAACCTAAAACCATGACATCAGATTTAAAATTTTCATTGTTTCATACATGTAAGTGAACTTATCATTACTTACAGTCTTGGGTCTTTGAATTCTTCTTGTTATTTTATTGCCCATAAGATTAGTCTTTAAAAAATGTTGGTGGGAGTATCTGGATAATGTAGAAGCAGAACTTAGGGAGCAGTGAGCCTGGGATATAAGGCCTATAAAGTTCAAAATGTTATAAATTAGATCTTTGGTTGCTATAGGCCCAGATTTAATTATAAAATTTTAGAGCTTAAAATGGGGATGTAATCCAACTTTATCCATTTTGAGTGACGATGTCAAAATTTGGATGGAGTTTTTTGCCTGAGGGTCACATGATCACGTAAAAGAGGTGAATGACAGGAGACGTGGAAGCCTAAGTAGCTAGACTGCAAGCTGTTCAAACTAACTGACAAAGGCAATGAACTAGATTTGCAGGGTGAGGAAGAATAGCTCACAAATTTCTGACTCAAGCAACTGGATATTCGGCAATACCATTTGCTGAGATGGTGCCTCCTCTACCCCAAAAGGAGTCAGGTCTGCAGGAGGAGAGGAAGATGGATTTCATTTGACCTACTGAACTTGTGAGCTGGAGACACCTGAATGCAGACATCCAGGAGTCACTGGATATATGGGTCTAGAGCTTGGAGGGGAGTTTCCAGCTGCAGGTGTGGACTTGGCCAACAGTGATTAAGCCGTGGGAACACAGGCAATTATCATCCAGAAACAATGTGAGGAGAAGAGGCCAGACAGAGCCCTGGATAACTCTGATGTTTAGAGGTTGGATACAGGAGAAGGAATTGGAAAAGGAGACTTAGAAGCAGCAGCCAGAGGAAGAGAAAGAAACCACAAGCCCAGAGCCTTGGAAATAAAGGGAAACAGAAACTTAGGAGAAGGGTGTGGTCATGCGTGGCAGGAAGTGAGGATGGTGTCCATCCATCGTGCTTGGAGACATGGAAGTCTTGTTGATCCTGGCAAAAGCCACTTCAATGAAGAGGTGGAGACAAAAATCAGATTGTTGGTAGTGTGACAGAGAACTGAGTGATCCCCAAGTGCCATTCTCCCCTTTCTTCTTTAGTAATAAAACTCCAAATGTTTTGTTGCACACACAAAATCTTAGAGTAAAAGCTACATTTCTCAGTCTCCTTTGTGTGTCTTCTAGATAAGTCTTCTAGATAAGTGCTGGCTATGGAGACATAAGCAGAAGTGTCCTATGTGACTTCTAGGAACTTTCCTAGAAGGCACACTAAGGGAGAAGTGGTAGTTCACTAGGACACATTAACCCAAAGGGAATTTTAAAAGATGCTTGGCTAAGCTGGAAGCATCAGAGTGGAAAGGAGAGAAACAAAAATTCCAGAGACTGTGGTGGGCACAGTGTAAGACAGGGAGCTGCTCAGGGTCAGTGGCCAAAACAGGACCCTGAGTGCACTTGATGCTTTGTTTTTGGCTGGGGCAGAAGTGACAGTGGCCAGGCAGGGGACACCAGTGCCCATGGTGAGGGCTGGGTGGCAGGGATAGAGGCAGAGAGTGGGGCCCTGTGGGCTTTACCAGCAAGCCCAGTTCTTCTCTGAGTAAACCCACTGTAACTTGATCTTTGACTTTGTCTACTCCTGAAAGACGGTTTTCCCAGCTATTCACATTGGCAAATAGCCAAAAGGAAACACAAAGGACAAACACATGTATGAAACTGTAGTAACCAACATTTGCATGATTACCATCTTGAGACTATTCTAAGTGTCAGGTATGCATTATTCCATTTAATTCTCAGAACAAGTTTGAGGTAAGAATTCCCATTTTACTGAGAGGCTAATTAACCTATCTAAGGTCACACCACCAGTAGTGACAGCATTCTAGCTATCTTCTCCAAAGCCCACACACTCATGTGGCCATGCTACAGAACAGGAAGGAAGGGGCTTGGCTGGTCCTAAGGATAGGACAACAAGGGTTAATGACATTTGGTCATATTTGTGATAGATCTAGAAGAGTACTTACACTGTATTTAGTCCTCCTCTAATGGAAGAGGAAGCTAGGTTAGCATCGTCCTGGGGTCCGCTGTTCCATTCTGCCTGCTGCTTGTGCTGCCCAGAGAGCTATTTTGGGGAGGGTACTGGGGTCTGAACTCAGGGGCACTCAACCACTAAGCCACATCCCCAGCCCTATTTTGTATTTTTTATTTAGAGACAGGGTTTCACTGAGTTGCTAAGTGCCTCGCTAAGTTGCTGAGACTGGCTTTGAACTCGCGATCCTCCTGACTCAGCCTCCTGAGCTGCTGAGCTTACAGGCATGCACCACCACGCCCGGCCAGAGAGCTATTTTGATTGCCATTTTCACTGGACTCCTCGAGCTCTCAGCACCCAAGAAGCATAATGGACTTCATGAATAATATCTGAGAAATGCGGTCATTGGTGTCCCAACTCATTAGGATGCTTTAAAATCCAGTGAAGTACTCAATATTCTTTAAGTGGCATATTCTCCCAGGACCAGTTGTTATCGATTGAAACCTTTTAGATGTCAGTACTCCAAGGTGGAGTAAATTAGAAAATTCTGACAATAAATGAGAATTAAGATCCATTCATCCATGTGTTGTTCATTCATCCAACAGAGATCATGGAGGACCCATGATGACCCATTGATCATAGCCACTGTGTTGTTATTGCTAGTCACTGAGGCCCTCCTGCAGTTCAGACCCCTGAGTCTGGATGACTCATCCAGCTGGGGAGGGCTTGCTTACCGCCTGGGGAGCTCCTCTGGATGGACAGCTGCTCAGTGTCAGGAAGCTGACTCTGTAACTCTTCTATGCGCTGGAAAGCATCCAGCTTCACACTGCGCTCCTGGGCAAGTCGGCTTCTCGTCTGAGGGTAAAGGGTTTGGGAAGCAGAGAGGCTTTGTGGTGTTCTCTTTAGTTCCCTCAGTTCACAGTGGGGTCTGAAGGGTCCCAGGCTCCCTGATGAAGTGCAACCAGGTCTTATCAAAGTCCTGGATAGGCTGAACTCAGCTTTCTAAGAATCAAGAGCTTCAAGGAAGACCAAGAACTCAACTAAAGAGGAACAAAAACAATCCTGGAATCCCTTGAAGGAAGCTAGGCACTTACATTTTTTTGTTTATTTCACCAGCTAGGTAGAGGAATAGGAAGTGAGGGCCCAGTTCATACAAGACCTTGGAGACCAAGCAATGACATCTGCACCAAGGACCCTTAAAAACCCTGGATGGTTTGAAACAAGAAAAGAATTGTTCTCCCTCAATCTCAGCTGGGCATCTGCTGGGAGAGCATATCTCCTGGGTCTGAGAGAAGGTCCATCCCCAGGGCTAACCTTTACATTTTCTTGGGTAGCTGTCCCCTCGCATGGCTGACTCATAGTCCCCCAGCTAAGAGGAGCTAAGGCCAAAGTACACCTCATCTGCATAGATCATAAGGATTTTTTTCCTTTTACATGAATCATATCCTAATTGTTTTTAATTATTAAAAAATAATACATGCTGTAGTGGGTTGAATACTGTTCTCAAAATTCACATCCACCTGGAACCTCAGAATGTGACTGTATTTGGAAATAGAGTCTTTGTAGGCAGATGTAATGAAGTTAGTATAAGGTCATACTGGAGTTAGACCTTAAGTTATCCCTACATCCAGTGACTATTGTCCTCACAAGAAAATGACAGGGTAAGGATATGGACACACAGAGGAACACATAAAGAAGAAAGACATGGGATGCTGGTGCAGAAACTGGAGTGGTATAACTACAAACCCCAGAATGCTGAGAATTGCCAGCTGTCACCAGGAACTGAGAGAGAGAGAGAGAGACATGGAACAGAGACTTTCTCAGAGCCTCCTAACAGAACAAATGTTGCCAACACCTCGATTTTAGATTTCCGGCTGCCTGAACCGTGATAAAATTAATTTCTATTGTTTTAAGCCATCCAGATTGTGGTAAACCATCCCGTTTGTGGTAATTTATTATGACAACCCTGGGAAACTAAGACACATGCTAATCTAAAAAATTCAGCCACACGTGTTTTAAATCCTACTCCTGCTGTTCCGACCCAATGAGGAGGCCCCTGCACGCTCGCAGCTGTCTGAAAACGGGGAGGGGGCTGGCCTTGTGTGCATCGATACTCTCGACTGGAATTTAAATTTCAGTAGATTATCAGAGCTGCAGAGTTAGGGAAACTTCCTCATATAAACTAGGTCCAAAGTCCTTCAATGTATTCCAGATATTTATGGAGGATCCACAATGGGAAACATGTCAAGACTTCTTGAGCCAGGCCAGGGTTAAATAAATCTGAGAAGTAAATATAGTATCTCATTGCACTGAGAGGCCACACACTTCTCCCAAAGCCACACAGCTGGAGGACTGGGGGTATAAACCAGGCAGTCTGACCTGTGTTCTTTCTAACTGACCTCTCCATGCACAGAAGACAGGAAGGGACACTGATGCTCTCTGAGGTCAGATAGCCATTATCTTCCCACAAAGGTGGGGGCTAGAGATGTGGTAAAGAACCCACAAATGGCCACGAGGGCTCTTGCAGGTCAAGAATTGCTCTTTGCGGTGGGGAAGCCCAGGGGTCCGTGAGCTGTCAGAAGAGCTAGAGGAGTAGTTTAAAAAGGACAAATGGTTTTGACATACATATAGTGAAAATATGTATTTATTGAAACCTCAAAATATCTGTTCTGACTACCTCTAGAATCTCTGCCATTAAATAATTAACAATTAACTCTAGAATTTTGGCAAATGGAATCTATGAATCTATTTTTGAGGTAGCTTTTAGAAAAGCATAATATGGCATGCCAATTTTTCTTATAGGTTCAGACATTTATTTATTTATTTTGGCACTGGAGAATTGAACCCAGGGTCACTCACATCTGAGCTATATCTCTAGTCCTTTTTATTTTTTATTTTGAGTCAGGGTCTCACTAAGTTGCTTAGGCTGGCCTCAACCTTGCCATCCTCCTGCCTCAGCCTGCCTAGTTGCTGAGATTACAGGCATGTACTACCACAGCTGGCTTATAGGTTCAGTCATTTTAGTATTCTTTCCAAGAAATAAATGTGAAATTCTAATTTTTTTTATTCTGAAACTGCTCATTTCCTTTCTTCGTTTCTACACAATTTCTTTAGCAACCCTTGAATTCAGTTTCAACCATAGACTTTTCCTTATTGATCTTTTGAGCACCTGAAATCCTTGACCAATAATTTAATTTTCCCATTACTTTTCTGACTCCTACTGTCTCTGGTGGATGATTAAGGGCTTTGATCACCCCGTGGGTATATGTGAAACACCTTTCCTGTAAGGTACCATTTCTTTGTCCTCTTCTATTGAATTACATCCTGTGGTCTGCTTTGTCAGAACTTGAATTAATCTACATCTACATTATAATAAACCTCCTCATCTTTTTTCCCTGCGGGATATATTTAATAAAAAATACAATTGTGTCTGCAAGCCATTTTTGCCTTTCATTTTTGTGTCTGCATTTCTAGAAGCACTTGAATAAAATCCTTTTATAATAGCTTCCATAATACTTGCTGCTTTTCCAGGTTACTTCTCAGAATTTTCCAAAGGATGCCAAGTTCAAAGGCTAGAGTTGGGTAGAATGTGCTTTTTAGGTGGTCAGTGGGTGCCGAGATGCTGAGCCTTGGGGCAGTTAGGCCCTCTCTGCTCATCCAAGCAATTATCCCAGTGTAGTTTAGATATGACCATTTCCTCTATGTGCCTAGAAGTGGCAAAGGTGGCTGCTATGGAGGGCAGGAGAGAGGTATGGAAAGGGAGGGGAGTGAGCTGGCTCTTGGGGTGCCCAGATTGGCTTTCACGGGAGCTCACCTGTCGGAGGTCTCGCTCCATCTTTCTCCGCTGAAGCTGGCCCAGTTTCGAAGCCCTCTCGGCCTCTTCGGTGAGGAGCTGCAGTTGCTGTTCTTTGTGGCCCACTTCTTCCAAGAGCTTCTCCATGCTGGATGTTTTTATGACATCTAACTGCTGCCGGGTGAGAGCTTCCTGGGTCACTCTGTGTTCTAGCTCCTTCAACAGCTGGGCCTGTGGCAGGGGCCAAGCCAGAAGGCAGCAGAGGTGGGGCATGGCAACAATCATCCCCGCTACCAGGGCCCAGGGCAGGTCTACGTGGTGCTCTGGGTGACATAGCCCAGGCAGCAGCAAGGGCACCAGAATCTAGCCTGACTCTGAGGCAACAGTCAGGGAAACAGAACAAACAAGCATGTAACATAATAAGCCAGGTAAGTGACAATGCCACCATCTGGCAATAACAGATCAAGTAACTTGGTCTTCTGAGAGCAACATTTGATGATAATGTGTATGTTAATTAGCTCATTAACCAAATAATCATATCTATCATAAACTATATTTTCATTGCCATGGAGCCTTTATCATGGGGGAATAGCAGAGGGCTGGTTTAACTGCACTGACAGGAGCAGGTGTGGGATACAAGCAACTAGCTGGGAAGGGAAATTCTGATTTTGAAGGAAGGAAAAGAATAGTGATCATCTGGTTCTGTTCCAAAGTTTTTCAAATCAGCAGCACTTTAAGTACTAGGTGGTCATTCTTAGTTGTAACATTAGCAATGATTATTCATATTGGTATGGCCACTTTACAGCTAACCAAGTAACTCACTGAGGCACAATCACAGAGGAAGTAGAGTCCAAAATGCACAAGTCATACTTCAGGTTTTAAATATGCCCAACTTTCCCAGGCTGTTATTTATAGTCAACTGTTCTGACTCTAAACCTAAGAAAAATGTGGGGTGCCAATTTTTTCTTAGGAGTTCAGTCATATCTCAGTGTATTTTTCATGATATAAATGGGTGTCAACCTTGTGTCTCTGTGCTTCATTCATACTCAGAAGGTTGACACAGTTAGGGAAAGTTTAGAGCTTATACTGCATGCTCCTTTGTTTTGGGGCCAGTCACCATGGAGAAGCAGCCACTCCTGAAAGGAAAACTTTGGATGTATCATCAGAAAGGACCCAAGACTTTCCACTTGGGGGCTAATACTGAAGCTTGGACAAAACCCCCAGACTTGGGTTGCTGTGTATGAAGAGTGTACACAGACCACAAAAAGCCATGTTCAAGGCAGAGCATAGGTCCCAAGACACCCTTTGGTAAAATGATCCTCAGAGAAAAACACACACACACACACACACAATGATCTTGCTTATGAAAAATATTTTATCATTATAACTAAAGGTTAGTAAGAAAAAAGTCTCTTGGCTACTGCCCTTGGTTTCTAGACTGGAGAGGAGACAGGAAGCTATCTTTTTCTGTCTGGGCCATCTGCTCAGCTTCACCCTGTGGAGCTCTGGTGGTTGCTACCGACAGCCACAGTGCCAGTTGTAGTGGCCACACTCAGCTTTGCAGAGAACGTTCCAGGAGAGGGAGAAGGAGGGTCTGAAGCTCAGATACCTGGTCATCCTGCCGCTTCCACATCTTGGCATTGTCAGCCTGAGCACTGGCCAGGGCCTGCCTGAGAGCTAGCAACTGTTGGCGAAATAAACCTGCTTCCCGCTCTGCCATTAGCTTGATGCGCAAACATTCTTTTTTACTTCGAATAGATTCCTGTAAACATCCCAAACACAGTAAGATAAGGAATAAGTTTCCATATTTTTTGTTTCACAAGTAGTGCCCAAACCATCCATCCTTTAAAACTTCCAGTAGAATGGAGTTCTTGCTGGACACTGCTTCCGTGATTGTAATTAAGAATAGTGCGAGAGCCGGGCGGGGTAGTGCACACCTTTAATCCCAGAGGCTCGGGATGCTGAGACAGGAGAATTGCGAGTTCAAAGCCAGCTTCAGCAATGGCAAGGTGCTAAGCAAATCAGTGAGATCCTGTCTCTAAGTAAAATACAAAATAGGGTTGAGGATGTGATTCAGTGGGTCAAGTGCCCCTGATTTCAATCCCTGGTGGAAGGAAGGAAGGAAGGAAGGAAGGAAGGAAGGGAGGGAGGGAGGGAGGGAGGGAGGGAGGAAGGAAAGAGCAACAGATCAGAGTAAATAGACTTCTTTCAGGAACAGTCAGTGGAAGTTTCCAAACCGCTATCTATCAACATGTGCTTTGGCTTCAATTTGCTTTAAAGCAGATTTTCCATCTACTGATACTTCATTTTCCTCAGATGCATCAAGCCCAAAGACACACAGTATTTTGACAATGAGCTTTGAGCCCTTGGTAAGATCTCTCCTTCATCTTTTCACTTTCTTTGTGCTCAATTCTCTATCTGTTCTCCCTGGCCAGTTGCTTCTTTTCTGTTTCCCCCAAAGGCTCTGACGTTGTGGCCAACTGTCAGATTTTTCAGCGTGGCTGTCCCTGCCACATGACACCAGTACATCAGCTGCAGTGAGGCAGGCTGAGGAGGCCCCCTGGGGCTGCGGAGCCTCCCTCCCCAGCACTCACCTTCTCTGCCCTGCTCAGCTGGCCCCGGAAGTGTGTCTGCTGCACAGCCTGCCTCCAGAGGCCTAGACTCCTCACTTTGCACACCAGGGCAGCCAGGCTGCGGTTGTCCTGCTCCAAGGCCAAAAGCTGCTCCTATCAAGAAAGCTCAGTTTCAGAAAACCCTGCCCCCAACCCTTTTCCCAGGAAGAGCATCAATCCTAACATCAAAAACATGATACAATTGTGCAGTGAACCCTGGTCCCCTTGAAATGACTACCAAAATGCTTTCTCAGGGAAACCAGACTGGAAAGCAAGCAGGGTGAAGGGTGTGGCAGATGCTAGGAAGAAGCACTGATATCCCACTACTAAGTGAACTCATGTACCTTGGCTGCGTTTTCTTTTATTCCTTCATCAGGCCTGGCAGAGCCCCATTTCTTCCTTAGCTCCTTCATATTGGTGATCCCTTCTGTTCTCACTTCACTGATGAGCTCACACACTTTCTGGGTCAAATTAAGCCAATTCTCATTCAGCTTCTCCTACAAATTATAGACTCATGTCAAGAGAGTATAATGGGTTTGGGAGGCATGAAGGACAGTGGAGAAAGAACTATTTTGCCTTCTGAAACCTAACTTTTGGAAATGATTCCACATTCAAAGATCCTCCACCCAGATAATTTTTCCAATGTGGATCCTATGGAAGTCACAACAGTGGCCCCTTAAGTGTTAATCTTTCATCCACAGGGCTTCATCATTTGGACACCTTCATGTCCTAGAGTGTGCCTTGCTTGTCAAAATCAAGGCAACTTGAGTCAGGAGGACAGTGGGTAGAACAGCGAGAGGTCAGAGGCAGAAATCCTACCGACAGAATCGCCCCCTGGGAAGGGTTACTTGGAACAATTGAATTTTGCTGTGAGGTTGACTCAGAGCAGAATCTGACCAGAAAAGACACTACAGATGACCCATCACTGAGGAACTCCATTAAATATGGATAAGTGGAGGAAGGAATCAGGCTGGCTGCCTTCCTATTTAGGTTCTGGCAGAAGCCTCATTATAAAAACGTTCTGTTCTAAATGGCTTATGGCTAATGGCTTATGATGAAACAGCTCGATCAATGCTAAATATAACTGCAGCCTTAGGGTTATGGACTGAACTGTGTCTCCTCGAAAATTCACACATCGAACCCTAACGCTCTTTGTGACAGTGTCTGGGGATCTGAGATCTTCAGGAGGGAAGTAAGGTTAAACTGAGGTCATAAGGGTGGTTCCCTATTTCAATAAGACTGTGGTCTGTCAGAAGAGGAAGACAGAAAGATAACTTTCCCTTTTTCTCTGCCATCTAAAGGCACGGGAAGAAGACGGCCAAATGCAAACCAGAAAGGGAGTCCTCACAGAAGCCACTCTGATTTTGGGCTTCTAGAACCGTGAGAAAATAAATTTCTGTTGTTTAAGTTACCCAGTCTATGGCACTTTGTGATAGCAGCCTGAGCAGACTAAGATACCTAGACTCCTTCTGACCCACATCTTCAAAGAAGCAGTCAGGAAGATATGCCAGCTGAGAGATATAGCAGGAAATCTGGCTGCTGGTCACATGGCAGAAGCCTCACCATCCTCTTGGGACCCTGGAGGAGAACAGGGATTCCCTACTTTGGGGGGTTTCATGGAACTACTTTAGCTTGGGAAGAAAAGATTCCACTTCTTAATCTTGAAATCTGGTAAAAACTAACAGGATCTGAAGAATTATTTCTCGATGATCAAATACCTGAATGATTACTTTGCAAATTTCAGCCTTCACTGTCTACTCATTCCTCTCCTGCAGCACTAGAACCAGCTCATTTGGATTTTGATCCTCTTATATTTGTAAGTATTTGTACTTTGCAAATTAGAGGAAATCTCTAACCCTCTCTGGAATGACTAGGCTAAGGCAGAGCACCGCAGGATCTCCTGTTAGGACCCTTCTGGAACGCTTAGAGAGAGAGAGGGAGGCAAGGACCCACATGGGGCTGGCTCTGGAATTCATCCAATAGTAGAGATGGGGGCAGGGCCAGAGGAAGCTATGGATTTCAGGGTTGTATGGTTGTATTTGTTGGGCAGCTGGACCAGGCTTTCTGATAGTCCATTGTGGGCTGCGTATCTATCTTACAGCTGCTCAGACATATGAAAGTGACTGGTTTCTGTAGTGCTGGGAGCACATGGGTATACCATCACTCCTTTTCTGGATGCTTCTTCATTGACAGATCAGCAGCTCCCTGACACTGGATGTAAGAGAAAGGAAGGTGGGAATATTGAGGATTGGAAAAAAAATCTGAAGCCAGTTCACATCCCTCATCTGCCCATGAGCTCTCAAGAGGTACTAGCTGCTTCTTCCATTGAAGTCTGGCTGGGCCCAGGGGACTGTGCTCCCCCATTTGGGGAGTTACTCTCCACAGAAACAACAATGGTAGACACTGGTAAGGATTTGAACCAGAATATCCTCCTCTTTTCAACTGCAACAAGATGGCACTGGCAGTAGAGTAAGAAAAAATAAACATCTAACTTATCTAAAATTCAGTGTCCATCAGGGGAGAATAATGACAACCCATTGCTAACTTTCTCTCTGCAGCAAAAACTTACAGTGGGAAAATTCTTGGCCCCAAGAATGTCTTATTACCGTTAAGTCCATTCTGCCATTGACTCCTTGGTGTATAGCCACAGGGCTGCCCAGAAGACCGACATAGGATACTTACTTTTCTGTGTAAACAGGTCATAAACAAAGCTTGAACCAATGCTTCATATTCTTCTTGGACTTCTTCTTTAATTTGCTTTTTGAGATTTATGTTCTCCTCTTCCAAATCTGTGAGTTGGGCTCTCAGAGCAGTGATTTCCATGATCATATCATGACTGAGCTCTGCAACCTAGCAGCAGAAACACACACACAAACACACACACACACACACACACAATTTATGGAAAACAATTTAGGAATTCCAAAATTCTACTATAAAAAAGTTCTTTATAGATTACTGTAGAATTTGTACTTCTCTTTTGAATCTAAGGAAGAAAGTGAATATCCTGCTGTGTAAATATGGACAGAAGAATCTCATCTTGATTCAAAGGTCTCACAATGGTGCCAGACACATAGGACTTGCTCGGTAAATGGTTGCTGAATAAATGGCCCAAAAGAACTGCTATTTGAGAAATTTTCAATTAGAGAAAATACCTGACCTATCTTGACCTTCATCTCCAAATTGGCCTTTCCTTGATCCCTCAGCCCAAATACTTCTTCATTTTGGGGATGCACTTTAACTGCCCTCAAAGGAAAACAAACACCCCCCTCCTGTGCCAAATAACAAGACTCCCAAAACAACAAAGTAACAAAAATAAATTAAAAACTCAAGAAAAAATAAAACACCCTTAAAACTCATTGCTTACAAAAAGTAAAAACACATTCCTTGGGTGTTTCTGCAGGCACCTTCATTGATGGGACTTTCACAAGCAACTCATGCAAATGACACTCAGAAATCTCACTTCTGGCAAACTCTGAGAGTGTAGATGTGAGAATGGAGAAGAGAATCTTTTTAAGAACTGACCTACCTGATCAGCATGGTCTTCAGGTGGCACTTGACTTCTTTGTAACACCTCTAGTTCCTGAGAAGAAAGCAGTGCACAACCAAACACCACATATTTACCCTCCTCACCACAGCTTGGTTCAGGAGGACACATTTCCGACGCCTCCTATTTGTATTTATGGAGCCTCATTTTGAGACCCTCAGCCTCATCCTGGAGCCGGGACTGTGCTTGCCACACCATTAGACTTTAGGATTTATAACACAGCATCAAGAGACAACATCCTCTCTCCACACTGGTACAGGGAACCCAACCATGGGCATAGGCCCAAATGGATGGGAATAGGCCCAAATGGGACAATTCCAAGATTTATTATTTGATATTTTTGTGCTTCATTTTTTTTTTTTTTTGGCTAGTCTTAGATCTTTTCCTCTTTTTCTCAGATACAAACTAGAATTATACTGAGGCTCTGATGCAATCTATTTCTAAACAGTGTGCTATTTAGGACAGGAGAAGTGACTCTTCGATCCCACCAATGGGATTTCACAATTATTATTATTATTTTTTTTTTGCAGAGCTGGGGGTTGAACCCAGGGCTTTATGCATGTTAGGCAAGCACTCTGCCACTGAGCTATACCCCCAGCCACCAATGGGATTTCATTTTAAGGAAGTGGCATCAGTGAGATTGACCATGATATGCATGCCGAAGACAGTTTTTTCAAGAATCCTGGCTTCTCTGCTAGACCAGGAATAGCCTTGTGTTTGCTGAGCCAGGAAAGGTCAGCTATGCACCTTCCAGCTCATGGCTTAGTCACCTCCTGCATTCCCCACTGGACACTCTCAAAGCACACAATTCAGTATTGCTGGGTCCATCACCTATGCAGTGGAGAATATCAGAACCCAAGAAAATAAGTTGACAAATTTGGAGTGTTCCTTTCTCCCTCGATTCTGGCATAAGAACTGGTCCCCTCCCCATCCCTGCTCAGTTTTACTTTCTCATTTGAATTACTCTGGGCCTCCTTCCCATAGCCCTTCCCTTAACTGGTTCTCCTCTCTCTGGGTACCTACCTGCTCCTTCTGGCAGAGCTTCTGCCTAGTGTGCTGCAACACATGCTCATAACACATGGAGTAGGTCTCAAAGTTGCTGCGTTCTCTTGCCATCACATCACAACCCAAGGAAAGGAGGCAGGCCTCAAGGTGGTCTTTCCTGAAGGTGATCTGAAAAAACAGGAGCATTATTCCCAGCAGCTCCAGCAGGGTGGAGCAGCCTCACTATGCCAGGGCTGGAGGCACACATTGCCTTGGTTTGGAGAAGGACTTGCATACCCAATCCGTACCAAAACTCCAGGCTGGCAAACCTCTCTCAACTCTGAACATGTGCAGTGCCAGGGACAAGACGACAAATGGAGACTGCCTATCATGTGTCTAAGTATTTCAAGTTTATAAATCAAATTAATACACTATTAAAATGCAATGTTTAATTCTCCTACCTTGAAAGATTAGACCTTCAAAATGGTCTGAAAGTCTAGGTTTGAATTTATTATTCATGGACTACTTTGAGTTCTATGCTGAAGGGTGGGGAACTGGGACAGTTGGTCTCCAACCCAGAATTTACAGTATGACCCCATTCTCTTCCCACCTTGTGAGGGCCTTCACAGTCCTACTGACTGGACACTGCAGCCTGCAGGTTCAAACTCCACCCACACCCCTACTCAGCTGCCTCTTGGCCACCCCCCAGGCCAGGGGTGTGCACACTAGTGGTCCACTCTTTCTCTGGAGAGGAGCCCCATGTAGACCCCAGACTCAGGGAATTCCGGAATCCCAGGTTCCTGCAATACAGTCTAGAAGGAAGGCCAGGGCTCTGTGTGGACATGTCCCTGTGGCCCAGAGGATTTATTACCTAGTAGGGAAGAGCAGGGCTATAGGAGGCAAGAAGGGGCCTTGTGAAGCACAGGGCATGTGACAGGGGCCCCTGCAGCTCTGTTCTAAGGACCCACATGGCTCACTTTCTCAGCAATTCCATTCATCCTCTTTCTCCAGGAGACTGGGCATACTCTTTAAGAGGTGGCCATTAAAGAATAGAGAAGTCTACCCCTCCAAGGCAGAAATGGGAGTGAATGGAGAGAAATGGGAGTCAATTTATGAAACACAGATCAGATGACCCAGTCAGGACCCACACATCCATTCAGGTGTGGGTGTATGTCCTGCTGTGTGTATCAGTGTGTGTGTGTGTGTGTGTGTGTGTGAGTGTGTGTGTGTGTGTGTGTGTTTTGGAGGTCTTATGTCACTAAGTCCAAGAGCCAGCTGGCACTTGAGCTTGATCTGTGATTCTGCCAAGGTGTGGCCAGCTCTTGGCTCCCTGGCAGACTGCTGTAGGTTGTCCTTGGAGACTGCACTCGTCCCCTGGCTCTGATTCACTTGTCTCTGGAAGTCCAAGATACTGTCCCATCAGTGCAACCTCAGCGCCAAACTGACCTTCAGAGAAAGTTCCCAGTGGAATTTGCCAAGGCAAGTTATTGAAGCAAACTAGCAGAGGTGGCAAATAGTAAGAAGTCGTAGCATGGAGGAGGGAGTGGGGAGGGCAGCTCCTCCTGCTGCTGTGAGAGTGGGGGCACTTCTACCACTCTTAAGGAGATCAGGCTGGCAGTGTCTATGACAAGAGTGTGATGTGTTTGGGCTCTTTGACCCAGTGACTCCTCTTTTACAAATTTATCTTTAGGGAATAATAAAAGTTGTATACAGAATGTATGCAGACATATTTTTAAAAAAATATTTTTTTTCCAATAGAAAAAAAATGGAAAACAATCTAAAGTGCCTAACAAGGGAATTAAGCAGAATCCATTTGGTTTATCTACCCAAGGAAACACTGACCAGCCTCCAAAAATGGACACACATTTACTGACAAGGGTTTAAAACATATGGTTAAGTGAAAAGAACATGCTAGGAAATGAGTCATGTAGAATAATCCTACTATATAAAAACTTTAAAAGTGCATGAACAGAAAATAGGTTGGAAATAAAGTTTGGAAGGAAACATGCCAAAATAATAATAGAGGTTATTAATGAGTCTATTTTCTAAAAAATTATATTTCTATTTTTCTAATATAATCTATAATACATATTGTATATTTCTAATGTAATATAATCATAATATGTAATTAAGTAATGATATACAAATGCACAAAAATAACATAAATATACTAATTAAAAGTTATGCTTTTAAAAAGTCATCCATCAAATCAGCTTGACAGAATGGAATCCAACGTGGACAATGGAATCAGGACATGTCTGCCTGTGTGGAATTGAATGAGCAGCCAGGCAGCCTTCGGCAGGAGCCCTGCCTCCCCTGACTCACTCTCCAGGGTCTTCCTTAAGGGGCCTTTCAGTGGGAGATGAGAAGGCAGGTCACCCTGCCCCTGTTCTGGTCCCACTCAGGTCCTGGAAGGTGAGCAGCAGGACAGCTGTAGTTCAGCAGCTGACACAAGGCAAAGGGAATGTCAGGTTCTTTGCCTAGACCCTGCCTTCTCTGTGGTGAAAGGGCCAGGCTACGTGGGCTTAGTAATGACAAAGGAAACTCTTCCGGGGCTGACTGATGAAAGCTTGAAGCCATGAGAAGTCATGAGACTGCACAGTGGGCCAGTAAGGTGTGGCCAGTGATCTCATCCAGGCCCAGCACTCAGAGCCAGCCACAGTGACTCACTCCTTACTGTCCTGAGCATCACCGCCTGCATGTGGATGTTCCAACAAGGCCTCTGACAGCACTTTAGCAAGGCAATCGCTTCTCATACTAATGCCGCCATAGCCCCTGCAGAACAGTATTGCAGAACTGAACCCCATGGCCCTCTGTTACCCAGCAAGGATGAGGAGCCCTATGGTGACACTGAGGAGTTGGGAACGGCCAGGACTCTTCTGCTTGAGCATTCCCAGAGGCCAGAGGAGTTTTGTTGTTTCTCTTGGTGGCTTTGCTGAGGCCTCTGGAGATGGGCTGAAGGATCAGATTAAGGGCCAGCCCAGAGGGTGTGAGTCTGGGAGCAGGGAAAGAGAGTAACTGCTCAGGTAGAGCTTTTTCAGAGAGCCGTGGAAAGAGGGGTGTCCAGGTGGTGCACATAGGATGCTGTGACTGACAGGCGAGGGAGAGATACAGGCAGACTCCTGGGGTCCTGGCTGTTCCCATTCTTCAGGGGAACTTCAGTCTGTGCACTCGACCTTCCAGAGATAGAATTTGATGCTCCTTGAACAGTAATTGCTGGAATACAGCCGTCATGGCTTCTGATGGCACATTCCTACAGCTCTCAGAGTCACTCTACAACCTACCGCTGCCTTCCTGGGTCACTGTAAATGTCACTGCGGCTTGAATGTAGTGTGAACAGGCTTCATCAGCCCACTTCCTTTCTGGGCAGCAGAAGAGCCACAGTCAGCCCTTTGGCCTGGTTCTGCCCAGTGAGCAGCCCTGCTCTCCTTGGGGCTGAGTCTTTCACCACCATTTAAACCTGAACTGTACCAGGCATGTGTTACACGCCTGTAATCCCAGCGGCTCGGAAGGCTAAGGCAAGAAGACCACAAGTTCAAAGCCAGTCTCAGCAACTTAGAGAATCTCTAAGCAACTTAGGGAGGCTCTGTCTCTAAAAAAAATATAAAAGGGGCTGAGGATGTGGCTCAGTGGTTAAACACCTTTGGGTTTAATCCCTGGTACCTAAATAAAGAAAAATAAAAATAAAATAAACCTGAACTATAATGGATGGTGCTGGCCAGAAGAGCACTGGCTTGCCCCACAGATTCTTCCAGGGAGCCAGCCTATGGGGAAGCATGTCAGGTGCTCGACCTTATGGGGAAAAAGTCTGGTCTTATATCCTGCTGGGAGCATATGGTTCAAAAAACACCTCTTCCAGGAAGTCTTCCCTGACTTCTCTAAGCTCATGTGGCAACCTGGGAGGGCTCTAGCAAAGCGTTTACTCCTTTTCCAGACATCACTGGTTCACCTAACTGTTGTCATAAGGGCAGGGATTATACTTCTCGCCTTTATGTCTCTAAAAAAGTGCCTAGAAAAATAGAAATCTCTGGCATATAAATGGAAATGGTTCTGAAATCCACAAAATAGGTTTCTATAGTTCTGATTTGAAAAATGTCTGGTTTCTTGCTGGGCGAAGTGGTAGACGTCTAAAATTCCACTGGGAAGACTGAGGCAGGAGGATCACAAGTTCAAGGCCAGCTTGGCAACTTAGCGAGAACCTGTCTCAAAAAAAGAGCTGGAGATGTATGGTAGAGCGCCCCTGGGTTCAACTTCCAGTACCAGAATAAAAATAAATAAATAAAAGGCAGTTTCTTGCTTTATTGTATTTGGTATAAAATTCGGACAAGAAAAGCTGGTTTTCTAGAATTTGGAGAAGGAAACAAAGATCACAAGAAGCCAACATGGGTTCAAGAAAAAGTGGTCAGATTAACACTATTTTCTCAGGAAACACAGTAACCATGGTGTATCTGGGTTCAGCAGGACATCTGAGAGGGAAAACTGGGAGAACGTGGACTGTATAAAGTGCAGCTGGATGGGCTTCTGGCTACTGAGAGCCTGTGTCCAAGGAGGACCAGGCTACCCAGGACCTAGAGTAGGCAGTATGGAGCCAGGGGCCTGTCCTGGAATCTACTGCTATTAATTATTTGAATGAGGATACCAGATTTCAGGCTGGTATAAAATTAGGAGAGCGTAGTGGATGACAAAAATCCATATTTTCAAAACTCTCAAGAGGTCCAAAGAGTGAACCAAACTGAACAAGAACGAGGCTGATAACATGGCGCATCAGGAAGTCTGAGTGCAATGTGTGGGCTTCAGATGACAGCTTAATGCGTCAGCTGTGACGTGGCTGCTGAAACCCAACATACTCCGAGGCATTAATCCAAGCAAAATATCCAGGACAAGGTCACTGCTGGCCAGAAAGCATGAATTTAAAGAAGACTGATCAAGATGGCAAGGGTATTCCTAGAAAACCACAGAAGGAACTGGGAACAGCTTCGTCTGAAGGAGAGCAGACAGGCGAAGGTCCTTAAGGCAAGCTCTTGCCATCTGTGCTCTGCCCGGAGGCATCCAGGTGAAGGGGGAGCCCAGAGACTGCTCCATTTTCCAGTCCATGTTTCCTGGCACGGAGCTGCCCCATCAGGAGGAAAGGGTAATGATTTGTAATCCAACACCCAGGGGGACACCTGTTTTGATTTGTCCTTCCAAAGTTGCCCCTTGCTGTAACTGTCTTCACACATGCTAACCATGGCTTCACTGAACTGGCCCCAGACATTTAAAGGTTCATTGTCGGGGGTCAGAACCATGATCTGTGGCATCTCAGAAAAGAGAATCCATGGCGGAGATGTGGGGTTGTGGAGCCTGCAGACCAAATCCAGCTCAGGAGGCGCTGACTAAAGCAAGAGCTGCCTATGGTTGGGGGAAGGTTTAAGAGAGACTGAGCTCCTTGTCACTGCAGATGATCTAGAAGAGTCTGGATGCTGGAGGGACCCAAGCATCCTGAGGGCCCATGCTTCCTAGACACTGGCAGACCAACAGCAACCTCTTCCAGAGTTTCTCAAGTTTCAGTTGTACCTGCTATGGGTTCACCCTGCCTAGCCATACCCATATTTCTTCCCTACAAGATTTTATCCTGGGTGCTAATCATACAGAGGAGCATGCAGGGAGCAGAAATTGAACCACAAAATTGTCGAGGTTGTTTAATTGGTGCATTAAAATCATACATCATAGTATGTTGTTTGCTTTTATTGTGGTAAAATATTTATTAGGTAATATTTGTCATTTTAACTATCTTCAAGTGTACAGTTCAGTGACATGTTGTTGGGAAACTGTCACTACCAGCCATCTCTGGAAATCTTTTCATCTTGTAGAACTAAAACTTTGTGCTAATGGTACAATCACTCCTCTCCTCCTCTCCCTAGCCTCTGGCAACCACCATTCTATTTTTTGAATCTATGAATTTGACTTCTCTAGTTACCTTAAAAAAATGGAGTCAGACAGTATTTTCCTTTCATTTCACTTAGTATACGTCCTCAATGTGTCTATGTTGTAGCATGGATCTGCATTTCCTTCCTTTTTAAGGTGAGCCACATTTTTAATGCAAACATTTTTCTGAGCATGTCCTGCCCTCTCCATCTGTGTACCCCCTCATCACAGTGTATGGTCCCATGTTTGTGTATAATGGAAAGCTGAAAAAACTACATGTCAACCATCAACATCTGAGGAAGAATGTATCTCCGACCAAGCTTGTGAATTCTTTACTTCATAATTAAGAACTGAAGTGTTTATTATAAAATGATGAAGAACATTTTCAGAAACTTAGAAAAATGTGTTTCAAGAAAGCATTGTTTAAAAATTGAGCACATTTTGCCAAAACAGATTTTTAAAGTGATTGAATATTGGTGATTCATATCTACCCAAAACATTTATTAATCATCCTAAAAATTTTATGTCCAAACATCCACGTTTACTCTCATATTCTGCTTTTTCAGGGGATTTTCTTGATTTAGCTAAGCACTTCCTGCCAAGAGTAAATATGTTTTGAAATTCCAAGGATAGTGTGTGTGTATTAAATACATATTCCTGTTAAGTATAATAATATAGAGTGGTATGGACCTACATATTTTTCTGGCAGGATGTTCACACAAAAATTACTGGTGCCACTTCCCTTTGTGGAGAAGGAACCAGGTGGTGGATGGGATGGGGATGTCGCTCAGTGGCAGAGTGCCCAGCATGTGTGAAGCCCTGGGTTTGATCTCTGGCACTGACAAAAAAGAAGGAGGAGGAGGAGGAGGAGGAGGAGGAGGAGGAGGAGGAGGAGGAGGAGGAGAGTAGAATAGTAGAAGAATGAAGATGTTACCTTTCTGTGCTGTTGGGTTTTTTTTTTCATATTGTAGATTTTAAAAATGTTTTCTAGTTAGTATTTTATAGGCTCTTTTGGTTTTCCTCTAAAATTTTCTGTACTAACAGATCAACAGCAGGAATGAGGCTAAACATAAAAGTCAACGCATTCACAAACTCCAAAGTTGCTTTAATCACCTGACTAAATTCAAAATCAGCCAATATATTTTTTCTGTCTACTCAGGATCTTTATAGACATCAGACTATTTCCAATATTCATATTGCAACAAATTATTACAATTTGGGATTCAGATTCAGTTTTCATATCATCATTCTTCAGGAGTAAAGGAAACATTAGGAGCTGTGTTAAATGATGAAGTGTTCCTTTGGGTTTATATTAAAAAAAAAAAAAACAGAATGACTAATTTTCAATACATACCTCTGGTCCACTATCCTGGTAATTCTCCATTAATTTCTGTATAAATTTCTCAACTATTTGTGGTCTTGCAACTGAAAAATTTTCTTTCATGACTTGATGTTTCCAAAGATCTAGGAGGGAAAACATGTCAACACTGGTATCGCAAAACACCAAGCGTCATTAACAGCTATGAAATGGCAGCTCTCTGAGACCACCATGGGCACAACAAGCTGTCATTTCCACATGCACTAAAACCTGGGTGAGGCAGCAGAGGGGAGGTGGTAGTCAAGGACCCAGAACTCTCTGGAACATAGAATAAGGAAGATCTCTGGCAAGATTCCTAATGAAAAGATTTAGAAAAGCATTTCTGGAGTCCAGTAAACAAGGTTCTGTTACCATAACTAAAAAGCCTGAGTGAACCATTACTATTGATTCTATAAGATGCCTATTTTCACTAATATCCTGTATGTGTATGAGCAATATTTCTAGTCTAGCACAGCTATCAGAAACAAATGAGCGACATGGCTGAGACATGTGCAACGAGGCATGTACTGTTGTCAGGGTAACATTGTTTATGGCAGCAAAAGCTTGGAAACTCCACAGGTGTCCCTCATTCAGGATCTGGTTATTTAAAATATGATATGTCCTTTTGATAGAGTAGTATGCAGCTACTGAAAAAAGAAAGTCTCCCTATACTTATGAGCAAAAAAAAAAAAATAAAAAACAACCATAGATTAAGTTACAATAGCAAAGTGCAGAACAATAGATATAAAATGATATCTTTAAAAAAATTTTTTTGTACTTGTAGATGAACAGCATGCCTTTATTTATTTATTTTTATGTGGTGCTAAGGATTGAACCCAGTGCCTCACATGTGCTAGGTAAGTGCTGTACCACTGAGCTGCAGTCCCAGCCCCTAAAATGTCATCTTTAATAAAAAGATATAATAAACACAATTAGAAGGATATGGTCTCAAGACTATTCAGGGTCATTGCTCCAGAAACTTCCCGGTCTTTCTCCTATGTCATCAGTTCTCCTCTCTGGCCTGGATCATTCACAATGGCACACTCATTTCTCCCATTAAAATAATAAAAATCCTTTTCTTGAAACTGCCCCCCACCTTACTCCATCAGCTGTGGCCTCATTTCTTTGTATCCTTTTATAGCAAAATTCCCAGAAAGAGATGTCTACACTGAAACTGTCCTTGGCTTGTCTCAAATTCCTTCTTAAACCCCTTCACCTGGTTTTCATTTCCACCAGACTGCTGAAACCGATTTTGTCATGAGTGCCAACCATTTCCTCTGGTTAAAGACAGTGGTTTTACTTCCCTACCGGCAGCATTTCACCCGATGTGTTAACTTCCTAACTGAGAAAGTTCCTTCACTAGGCATTGGGACGTTACTCTGGCTGGTTTCCCTTGTACTTCGATGTCTGCTCCTTCTAGGTTTCTTTCCCTGGTTCTCCTTCTCCCCTCCCAGCTCAGAGTGTCCCAGGGCTCAGGCCTTGGTTCAGCTCCTCATTTCCTCACATACCCACTTTCTTGGCTAGCTCATCTTGACTCGCAGCTCAATCTTACTCACATAGTGACAATTCTCAAAGTTAGACCCAATACCCACTGAGCCTCTCTTCTTGCAGTCTAAAAGGCATTTAAAGCCTAACTTATGAACAAATTCCCAGTTTTTCCTCCCTAACTTATTTCATCAAAAGCCGATTTTGTCTCAGCTCAAGGAAATTCTATTTTCCCATCACTCAGGTCAAAAAAATCTTAGAGTCATAATGAACTCATCTCCTTCTCCCATCCCCAATAGTACCCAATCTGTTAGTGCCTCCTTCAAAATCTACCCAGAGTCTGACCACTTACCCTTCCCTCTATTCCCAACTCTGAGTCACCATCTCCTCTTGTTGGATTATTGCCACAGCCTCCAAACCAACCTCTCCCTTCTTTCATCCTTTCTTCCTTCATAGTTCTACCCTCAGTATAGCAGCCAGAGAGAATCGGGTAAAATATAAACCAGATCACGTCTCTCAAAAGCAAAATAAGTGCTAAAGTCCTTACGAGGCTCTGCATGACCCGTCCTCCTTGCCCCATCCCTCTCTGACTTCATCTCTTGCTCTCTTCCCTCACATCCCCTCCTCCAGTCACACTTGGGGTTGCTGTTCCCACATTAGCAGGACATGCTTTACTTAGGGTTTTCGATTAAGTTGTGCCTTCTGTCTGGGATGCTCTTCACTTGAACACCCTCTTACTAACTCAGAGAGGTCTACTCTGATCCAATGCCCCCCCCCCAAGCCTTTTCAAAACCATCCTCCATACTCCATTATTTTTTTAAAAAATTGTGGTTTATTGCTTGCTGTCTCTCCTATTCTTGATTATAAACTCCACAAGAGTAAGGATTTTTTGCTTATGAAAGTAAGGATGTATCCCTACATCAGCTCCTAATATATGGTAGCCTAGAACATAGGAGGTGCTCAGTAAATCATGATCAAATGAAAGAATGAATTAACATGTGCATAAAGAAGTACATGAGATTTATAAAAATAATGAAAGTGGTTATGGATATAGGTGGCAGAATGGTCACAAGGGGATCAGTGGTGGCAAGAATTCTATCTATTTTTATGTTGTTTGTGTTTTGAACCCTGTGGATATGTATATTACCTACTAAAAATAAAATCAAAATAAAAAATAATGGTATCATTAGAACAATGTAAGACTATCCACCTTCTTAACTTCCATATGGAAGAGCAAGAGCACACGTGTGTGTTAATTACCTTGGTGAGACTGGCCTGGTAGGACTCACTTCCTCATGCATGGTCTCAGAGGAGCCTTGGAATTGTTCACCAGAGCCAAGTCCCACAATGCTCCCCTTTCTGTTATGGGGGTGCTGGCCAGCAGTAAGAATGCCCACCAGGCCTCTCCCTGCCCCCGGCTGTTTCTAACTTCAGATGAGATTTCCTACTTGTGCACTCAAGTTTTCTGACAGGAGTTTCCGTGCACAAAAGAGGAGTGTCCAGCACAGACTACCCAGAAACGTGGCTATGACAGCTGCAGCCTCTTACGTTTGTTCATACTGTCCTATTTAATGAGGGGTGTTGGTTTTGAAGATGGGATTCCACATTTCTTTCTACAATTGGCTGTTTTCCATAATAAACATATAAATCTGAGCTTGCTTTTCCTTTAGGAAATAAAGGTAGTAGACGTATCGCCATCATCCCAACACAGTTGAAGTAGAAAATTCAAAGGTTCATGTGCCCAGAGTTCATACTTCTTAAGACTTTAGTAAGTGTAAGCTTTGACAAGACAGGGTTCATGTGTATTAAAGAAATTTTTTTCAGATAGGAATATGGATAACTTTTACAGGTTACTGGTATGGCAGGTCTCTGGCTTGCTGAGAAGCCTGGTGAGGGACTTCATCTGTCATGCACCTCTAGTTTGGGGACCATCACCAGGGAAACGGCCCACTGAGCCAATGTGGGGTTCAGCTTTGGCTCAGCTGAAGAGGAAGTACTCTAACCAGATGTTGGGAAGGTTTCCCAGCACTCTTCCTGCTTGCAAATTCAAGTTCAGACATGCACGTATATCTGCAGGCAGGAGTGGGGGTGGGGGGAGCCAGGGAGAGTGAAATCCATCCAAGAAAACTCATTCCTGGCAGAGAGGGATATGCTGTCTCCAAAAGTGTCTTATTCTCTGTGTGTGTGTGTGTGTGTGTGTGTGTGGTCATGGCTTCTTTAAGATGAAGCAGCAGTTTTTGACAGGGAAGTGGGAGGGCAACAGCACACTAGAGGTTAAACTGGGATTTTGTTATCCCTTTTCACTCTCTTCCCAGGGTCTTTGATTTCCTGTGGGCCAAACCACTTACCCTCCCTCCCTCTCTAAACTGCACCCTGGCCCAGCCTCCTCCCTCAAGAAGGACACCTTGATTGGGTAACATTTCACTTCCCTAACACAACTGCTTGTCCTCTGCACCTGAGGGGCCCCTGTGTCTTAACCCAGGGTGGAAGTGAAACTCCTCTCAACCGGCAGCCTCACAACTGCCAGTGAAGTCCGTTCTTCTGACCAGCCAGGGGGCCTGAGAAGTGGGCAAGTCAAAAGGCGTACTGTGTGAACTATATGTATGTGTCTTGTACGCCTGTTTTTCAAAGTGCTCCCCAGAACACTAATTCTTTGAGTTAATAATTAATGCTCCTAAGGGGAGAAAAGGGTTCTGTGGTCAAATAAATTAAAAACCATTGCATTTTGTCTCTTTCCTGACCACAGGGAAATAATGCATGCTGGGGTAATAAAGGCCCTGAGGTCCAGAGTAGAGGAGACTTTTCAACATGATTTGCCCTGATTTTTCCAAACTTATTTTGACAATAAGGAACTAGCACCAGGACCAGATCTGGATGTTATATCTTCTGAGCATCCCTGACCAACTGGAAACTCATTTAGCCACATCATAAAAAGATTAATTTCCAAGACATGGTAGGAAGGAAGGGAGGAGGTAAGGGAGTGAGGTATTCCAGGGTTCCATTTTGGCAGGTATAAATGTAGACACAAGAGTTGGCCAAGAGAGAAAGCAAAGACCCTAAGAGAAAGAACAAGAGCCTCTACTTTCTGCCAGTTCTCAATACCTCCAATACCACCTCCCTCTGGAGAAATCACTGGCCCCAAGCTAAACTTGACCAGTAGCTGGTCTTTGCACAAAATGGCCCCTGCTTGGAAGCCCCATCTTGCTGCTGAGATGAATTGTAGGTGGGTGGGAATTCCAAGGTTTTAGCACCTTCTTTGGTGATTCCTGAGCCCACAGAGGTCTCAAAAAGACCAAACTGAAGAAATGCACCCAAAGTACCCTTGGCACACCGTGGGGTGACAGTCACTGGCATTGGAGAAACTCAGTAAAGGAGGAGAGCCGGGTCTCCCCAAAGAGTCATGCCCAACAGACCAAAGGAAAAAATCAAAATAAAACCAAAGCAACAACAGCAGCTACAACAAACCCCCTTGTTGGCATTTATTTTAAAAATCTTATAAGTAAGGAACCCAAATAAGGTTTAGAACTGGACAGTAATCTCCAGTAAAGGTAAGGTTTAGTTATGTCAACCTGACTACAGTTAAAAATAACTCTACCCTTCTCCTCTACTTGGCCCCACTGACTCCTTATTGAAAGCCTTTTTCCAGTGCAACCACAAGCACCCTGAACATGGCAGCCCAGCCACAAAGCAAACATGCTGCCCTCACCCCAGGGTGTCTCCTAAGAACAACAGCTGGAAACAAGCAGATGGCTGCACCTGCCCTGTGCTTATGGATTTTCTCCACAGACTCTGAAGGGAGCCGCCCAATGCAGCAAACAGCACAAACAACAGGAGCTTTGTGTCTTGTGAAGTGTTCCGTAACTGGAGCTCAGTCACACTCAGCTCTCCTGTGACATTTAGAGACGCTCAGTGGGGGAGTGGTTTGTCCTCTTATTGCACAGTCTTTTCCCAAAGCCCTGCTTATGAATTTAGTTACTCAAGCACTGATAAAATGATAAAATGACAATGTCTTTATACAGGTGGGTGGGGGGAGGCAATATCTTAGGTGAGGACCGAGGTTGTTATTAACCTTGCAATGTCCATAGATTTCCTCTCAAAAGAAAAACCGAATTTGCTTCGTGAGTCAGACAGCCCCTCCCTAGATCAAAGGTTATAGATTTTCCTGTAGAATTATAAGGAGCTAAGAGTCAGTAGGTAGTTGTAGTTTGGACAGGACCAGCTACATAATCTACACAGCCTGGTGCAATGAAATTCTTGTTCAAAAAAAAAAAAGGAAAAGAGTAGCTTTATAAGATATTAATATACCAAGCTTTTCCTTTTCTCTGCAGTCCCTTTTGACTTGTCATGGTGTTTTTATTTGCTTTAATCTTGCCCTCCTTTGGAAATCCTAGGAGGACAAGGGAGAGCTTCATGAGCACCCCATGGCCCCACCTGTGATTCCGTGCATAAATACATATGACCCAGCAGCTACCAGAATGAGGCACTGTGCCTTGATCAGGGTTGGAGAAGTTGAGCCAGGCGTCTCCCCTTCTCGTGGGTCCATTGCGACCTCTGACCTGGGATACTGTAGGTACCTCTGGTGGGCTAGCGGATCACCCTTACTGGGTTACCCACTGAACACACCGTGATGCTGCCTTTCTTATGCCCAAGACAGTGCCAGGTATTCACACCCAACCTTGGGCACCTGTCCCCAGGTCCCCCTGGGGGTGAAGGGTGGCAGTGATTGAAGGGTGAGGATGGAGGAGGAGGTTAGGGATGCCAGAGGACAGAGGAGCAGGCAGGTCAGGAGCACTCTGTGCACAGTGTGGAGGCAGCAGAAGGAAGTCTGAGCCAAGACTCCTCGGGCTCAGTGCATGCTCCATGACTCACTGGACTTAAAAAACACAAACTCTATGCTGAGTTTAGTCCTCAGAGGAAACAATTTTGAATGCCTTCCCACCCTAAGATTTTCATGTATATATGTCACTCGTATGACACATGCATGTAAGAATGACTTTTGTACTTCTTTATTTCATTTATGAGTTAACCAGCATAGTTGAGAATAAAGTATGGGCTGGGGTTGTAGCTCAGTGGTTGAGCACTTACCTCGCACGCATGAGGCACTGGGTTTGATCCTCAGCACCACATTAAAAAAATAAATAAATAAAACAAAGATATTGTGTCCATATACAACTACAAAAAGTTAAAAAAGAAAAGCTAAAGTACATTTTCTATTTAAAGCCTTTTAAGTGGAAGAAAAGAAGCCAAAGTGTTAGTAGTATTTATCTCTGGGTCAAGGTGTAAAAGGTAATTTTTGTATCATTGCAGCATTTTTTAAAATAATGAATATGGATACATGGATGATTTTTATAATAAGAAAAAAAAATTAAGTAATAAAATAAAGATGCTTTACCTGTTGGGAGAGTAGACTCTTTCTTGGACTTTTCTGATAAAACCAGTGTCATCTCTTTATTAACTTTTCTTAAGACCTCCTGGATCATATGAATTTCAATATTTTCCAGAAGTTTCTGAAGCTAAAGTAAGCATAGGTTGAGAGTCACTCCACATTAAGCTTATCCTCTGGACTCCCAAGTCCAAGTCCTGCAGGAGGGTTTTGAGTTCAGTTCTATCCCACACTTATTTTCTCCCTGGGAAGAAGGAGGGGTTCTTTTCTTCAGCTCTGGGGAGTAGATACACCTCTGAGGAGACCAACATCTTTTTTTTTTTTCTGGCCCACACCCTGGTTGATAGAACACAACCCTTTTTTACCAGTTCTGTTAAATTGCAAAAAGCACCACGCCAGAGACGACCTCATGTCTTTTGGAGTCTGTCAAGGTGGCCATAAATTTTGTGAGCTGTCACTTCTTTAAGAGCCACCTTCAGGTTTGAAACTCAACTTAGATACCAAGGAGGATTTCATGAGAAGACTGAATGCTCCACACACCATGAAGAGAAAACTCTGCTCCAATACACATGAGCCCTCACTCTGTCCACTAAGCTCACAAAGCCTGAAGTATATGTAAAACAACAACTCCCAGGGAAAAGGGGGAACGGCAACCCCCAAGGAGAAAGGAGGACAATGAGTCCCAGGAGATGGAAGGAAAACAATGGGTTCTGGACTTTCACCATTTCCCATTCTGACTGCTCAACATACACGTTCTGCTACGATTAAATCTCTAATGATTAAGTTACCCTAAACATTCTGTTATGGTTAACTCTCACTAAAATCTATAAAACTCAGGTACTTATTGTAACCAGTTGCTATTTTCTCTTCTGAAAATGTGCTCCTCAAATGCTTAATAAAGCATTGCTGGTCCATCAAGGTCAAAAATAACCATTTCGGTTATTTTTGCTTTCAAAGTCCACCTGTTTCCTTGTTAGAAGATTCCAGGTGCTGGAGAGGAACCAGGGTTTAGAAAGATAAGCCATGATGTGCTTGGCCCTGGGGCATGTGTGGGGGCTGAATCTACCTTGTGGCTTAGTGAACATCCTTTCTGTGTTGACAGCCAAACAACCAGGGTCTCTGCTTGCCTGTCACAATAAGCCCCACCACAGGGAGCTTGGGTCCCAGGATCAGGCCAAGCAAAGACATGGAAAAGACTTTTCCATATAGATCTTCCAACACACACAGTGGGCTAGTGCACACGTTATGTTTTCTTATTTTCAGAAAAAAAAATTTACAAGGAACTATATTCAATATTTCATTTTTGCATGGACACTTGTGTGCTGGATGTCGTGTTTAAGATAGTACTGATTACGTTATTGATATTTCTTCTGAAGGTGCATCTCAATTGGAGAAAAAGAAAATAATGAAAAATCTAAACATATAGAACTGAGACATTAAGAGGTAGTTCTTTGCCTGATCAAAGCCCCCAGATACATTTATTTATTTACTCCCCTCTTTCCCACACCCTGCAGCCTGCCCAATGATTTCCAAACTTTCAATTTACACTGAACTTCTTAGAGAAAATACCATTTGAGTATATCTGTAGTTTTACATGCTAATGCCAAAAAGCAAGCTTTCCAAAGCAAATTTAAAATAGCTCCTGCATACCTGCTGAGTTTTTATTTCAATTTCTGAAGCTCCTTTGGGGGGAAGAATAGACTGGCTATTTATTATAAGTCTTTCAAATTCATCTTCTTTCCCCATCTGCCTAGCTATAGCTTTCATGCTGGGGTAGAGAATGTCAGCTCTATCAAAGAAGAGAGACAGAAATTAGCAAACAAACATTTTTTTTTCTTATTCTGATTCTCTGGCAATTATTTTCATTCACTTCATATTTCCTGCCGTCAGGTACAAACCTCCCAGTCCATTTACAGACACATCAACAACTAAATTCACCACTCCCTCAGTCAATATTAAATCCTGAGGCCTTTTCCCATTTGGGTACATATAATTTCAGTCCTCATTTTTCAAAATATTGACAAGGCTTCTCATCCCTTGGTTACCAGGAATACTGACTGTAATAACATCACCAGATAGACGATTCCCACTGTGCCAAAGTGAAATCTTCTGAAGCTCAGGAAGGTCTGGGGTAGTGGGTGGATGCTTGTTTGGTCATACCTGTGGCAGAAGCACGTGCCTTTCTTGCCTGTTAAGTCATCCCAGCCAAGGCCTACCACCAAGGCCTGCACCACCTCGCACACCTACAGCTTCATGCTACATGCCCATATTACACTCTGCCTTCAATGCCTCAATTGTGCACAGACTCTAATGGGGCCAAGAGAGAGGAGGAGTAACTACCAGCAGCAGCAGCAGCAGATGTCCATCTAGGATACTATGAGCTTAAAAACCTAAGAGTCAGCACTGTGGGGTCTCTTGATAAACACAAGTTCCTAGGGACAGGTAAAAGAGTGTAGCTCAGTGGAATCCAGCTCCATCCTTGAAGTTAATACAACTCAGCTTTTCCTCTACTGCACTGTCTGTAGAGAATGTTGCCAACTGCCATGGGCTCAATAGAGCTGGGTGTACTAGGATTCATAGACCAAATCTCATCTCATCAAGAGGCCCTTGGGCTCTACTCACTGACATGAATTTCTGCCTCAGCACACTCACTCATAGAGCTCCGAGTACTGTTTGTGGAAGGAGGCAGAGCTGATGTCCTGGTCTCCCAGCTTCAGCTGGCCCCAGTGATCCTTCAGTACTTCCAGCTGCTTCCACAGCATCAGAAACGATCTCAGCAGAGCAAAGGACGTCACCACATTGCACCGGCCCTCCAGCAGCTTGGAAATCTTTGGGCTGCTTTGGAACTGACTTTTGATTCCTGGCACTTTGGACCACTCTGGCTGAAAGCATTACAGAAATCCTTTATTGATGGTGGATAATATGGCTCAGCTTTTTACATGCAGCCCCATGCAAAACAAAATTTTTGTGGAGACTGAATGTTCTCCTCATTTACAGGTCTGTAGCACATGTCAAGCAGAGTGAGGTTCAGAATCCTTCCTGAGCAGACAGTGTACAGAAAGGATTGAAATGTCTCACTGAATCTCAGCTTTCAGATTGGGACTTGAACCATTTATTTAAAAAATTTTCTTACTTGCATATTAAGATTTTATTTGGCTTTAAAAAAAACTAGTCTTTCATGTTTAGCCTCTGCATTCTTGAAAGTGTTCACCACATTTGAGATTCAAGTCAACACCATGGTGGAGCAGTAATATAACTAACTTTTCATTGGGAATTTTACCCAAGTTATGAGCATGGAGATGGAAACTTAAGTTTATCCTATCTCCTGTTCCTTTTCCATTCTGTAAAAGAACATTAGATAGAGAACATTTCTTTTCATTTGAATGTATTACTCAATAGGCAATTTTACTTTAAAATGATGATTTGTTCATTTGTTCACAGATGCTTTCCTTAAGTATTTGTTGAAGGGCTGCTGTTGGTCCTGGAGGAAGGGAAGGGGGAAAGGTTTTAGGCCTCTGTTCTCCTGCAGTTAATGGAGTGAGGGGGCATGGCCACGCAGAGAGGGGCAGACAAAATGGGGACCTGGGTGCAGGTCCTCAGGCTGACCACAATGTCTCAGTCACAGAAAAAGGAGCTTTCCTTCACAGACCAAATGGCAAATCCCATGATTTGAATTAGAGAAGATTCAGGTGACAGTATCTTAGACACTCAAGTTTCCTGCCTAGGAACAGAAAGCGCAACCCAGAGTTGTTGGATCCTAGATCAGTGCTGTTCACATATCCAAAGAAAGGTGTGTCTGCCAAAAGAGGGTTGATCAGAGTACCCAAAGGAGAATTGGCAAGGTAGACCCAGGAGAGACGGAGCTCCCACAGACAGCTGGCAAGCCCTGAGGCTTGTGGCCTCCTAAGCAACCAGCTTGTCCACAGATTTCCAGATTTGTCTTATGCTCAAAATCCTTTCACCAAATAAAATCTTGGATAGTCACCCAAAATATCCAACAGAACAAAGCTACAAACAGGGACTCTGAGCAGCAGACTAGAGACCTCATCATTAGCCCCATTTGCTCAAGAAGCCCCAAGGTGTCTCTGAGAAAATCAAGGGCTCCTTGGATTATACTTTAAAAGACCTTGAGCTAATTCATCACCTTTGCTTTGGGGTTTTGGATACTGAAATCTGGAGAGATCACAGCACTGTTATATAGCTGGGCCAGGATTACCCAGGAGTCCTGACTCATAAGGCAGTATGGAGTCCAGTGCTTCCTAGTGTCTATAAATAGTTAAATACTCTTAAATAAAAATATACCATAAAATAAAAACTAATTAAAATAAATAATAATATTAAAGCAAGCCCACTTCTTTTTTTTGTATTTGTTTTTTAGTGGTAGTTGAACACAATACCTTTATTTTATTTATTTATTTTTATGAAATTATATGTACCCATTTGGGCACATATAATTTCAGTCCTCATTTTTTAAAATAATAAATAGCCAGGATCAAACCCAGGACCTTGCATGTGCAAGGCAAGTGCTCTATCGCTGAGCCACAACCCCAAACCCTAAAGCCCACTTCTTATTAAGAGTTAAGTTGTTTCTATATAAATGACTTTAAGGATGGGAGAAGGAAGAAGAGTCAGGATGGATAAAGAATAAAATGGAAAAGAGTAGGGAGTGTTAGGAAATGATGGTAATCCATCAGAAACAGGGCCAGAAAATGGTAGATAGAGGGAGTGAAGGCCCCTGCATACTTCTTGATCTTGGCCTTAATTTTGGCACTACTTGGTCTACCCTCGGCTCTGCAAATGATCCCTCTTGGTGAAACATCTATTTCTGCTGTAGAATTTAGATGGCACACAGAAAGACTTGTGACTCAGTTTTAACTGAAAAGGCATGAGAAAAAAAAAATCTACTGGGAAGCTTCTAGAAAAGAATTTTCTTCTTGATAAAAGGAGAGCTCCTCAAGGAGAAAGTGTGTTTGCTCCTGTTTTTATCTTGCAAAGCCAAGGGAGACATTTTGAGTCATTTGGTAGTGGTTAAGTGGCTGTACCAACCTGAACTGCTTTCTTCTAGTCTCCGTTATGGAAGATCAATATTCTCTTATTTAAGTCATGGCTAGTGGGACAGATGCTATTGTGGCAGGGGCACTCTAATTGGCACAGAGGAGCATCAGTTCAAAGGTGGAGGATCAGAAAAAGTTTCCTAAAGAGAGAGGTTTGGAAGTTGAAATCTGAAGAATAAGGGACTGATTAAGTGATGAGGTCAAAAGTCAGAAGAGAGGAGGTTTTCCACTGGAGAGACCAGGATGCATGAAAGTACAGAAGAGAACATGGTGCATTTGACAAAATGTAAGAGGCTAACGGTAGAAATACTGGCAGGAGCCAAGTCATGAAGTTCCAGTTAAGGTATGTGGACTCTGTTGTCAGGGTATTCATAAGCCATCAGATGGTTGTAAGAAGGAACGTGACATAATTAGGTTTTTATTTTAAAATATTACCCTGGTGAGTGGGCATGGTGGTGCACACCTGTAATCCCAGTGGCTCAGGAGGCTGAGGAAGGAGGATGGCAAGTTCAAAGCCAGCCTCAGCAACTTAGCGAGGCCCTCAGCAATTTAGCAATACCCTGTCTCAAAATAAAAAAATAATTTAAAAAAAGTCTAAGGATGTGGCTCATTGGCTAAGCACCCCTGGGAAAATCCGTAGTACCTGACCTCCTCTCCCCACCAAAAAGAAAAAAAAAAAAAAATATATATATATATATATATATATATATATATATATATATATCTCCCCTGGCAAATGGATTGGAAGGAGGCAAGATAAAGTATATGGATTCTAGCAGGTGGTCACAATCACAAACATCAACAGATGATGATGATTTGGATGGTAGAGATCTTAAAATAATAGGACTGAAAAACTTGGTGTCTGGTTGTGAAGTAGAATATAGAAAGAGGATTGAGTTTTAGGGGAGTAAAGTAAGCTCAGCTTAGTACACATTGTCTGTGAGATGGAACAAGAGGAGATGTCCAGGAGGCAGGTGAAGATATGAATCTGTGGCTTGAGATTTGGCCTAGACATAAAGATTTCAGAGTTGTTGCATAAGTATCACCAGTAGATCCTTCGCCTGCAGAGAGAGTAACGAATACGTGAGCGCCCTAAGGCCAGACAGTTAGGTTGGAATCAGGTTTCTCCCCCGCATGCAGAATTGTTTCAAGTCATGGTATGAGGTGGGTAAGTGGCTCTTATACCTTGGAGGGATAAGCCCAAGGGAGGGAGTGATGGTCTGGGGCCCACAGGTTTAGAGATGAAATAAGAGCACAAGCCTGAGAAGCTCACCTGGGGCTTCTGTCATGACCCTCTGGCTCTTTCTATTCTGGTCCTAAATGAGTGACTCTCAAGGAAAGCACTCAGCTTGAGTAGTTTCAATGGATCTTCCATAACCTGTGTTTTATTTTTAAAATTAAAAAAAAAAAAAGGAAATACAACTGATCATGGAACTAAGTGTGAAAGAATGTGTTTTGGAGTAGCTTTCACAGCTACCCATGCTTCATTGTTGCTTTCATGTGACATTAGCACAGTCCTGGGGCAACTGGAAAAGGTTATGGGAATGATGTGGTTCTCTCATCCATTATCTAGACAGGAAATTTCTTCCGTACAACACAGCATGGGTTGATTATGTAGGCTGTTCACCAAGAATACCTGTGTATTTTTGTCCAGTATGGCTTGCCATCCAAGGGGATCCTCCATGGTCATATGACAGCTGCTTAGCACATCTTCCATTAGCAGTTGCACACCCACCAGCTCTCCATGAGCCACCTTGCGGTCACGGTCACTCAGCCCACAAAGGCACAGCTAAAAAAAACAAAACCAAAAAAACCTTCCATTTTGAAGGCTTCTATATAAACTTCACATGTGGTTTGGGGGAAAAAAAGTAGGTGTTTATAAGCTATCTTTTCAACTATTAGAAAATCCATAAAAAACAAAACACTTGTAGCTTAAAGTCCTGTCCTGCTTGAACATATCAGACATTTGGCTCTGTGCAGAAGTATCAAGTTTCCCAGTCCTTACAGCAGATCTGTATATGGCAAATGCATAGTGTGATACTGATTTTCCTTTAAAACTACACGTACAAATACACGTATATCAAGAAAAAGTACTGTGGGGAGGGAAAACCTCAAATTATGAACTGCAATTGACTGTTAGAATTATAATTTTTCAACCATTCTTACTTCTGGTGTATTAAAAACCTTTATACTTACTGGGAATTTTGAATGTATAAAGCAAACAAAATAGTTCCCATCACCTGGCCCCACAACCATCAACTTAAAGCCACTCCTGACCCATCCCATTCACTCCCCACACCATATTCTGAAGCAAGGTTATGGTTGTGTATGTGTGTGTGTATATGTGTATTGTGTATGTGTGTGTGTATACACACCCCCCTACCCCCCCACACACATATATCTCCAAGGATCAAAAGCATATAGGCTAATACTCTACCATTGAACTATATCCCCAGACTATTTTTCAAATTTTATTTTGGGACATGGTCTCACTAAATTGACAAGGCTGGTCTCAAACTTGCAATCCTCCTCCTGCCTCTATCTCCTGAGTATCACTTTTCTGTATTTTTAAAACTAAAAATAGAGCTGGGCAAGGTGGTGCACGCCTGTAATCCTAGCAGCTTGGGAGGCTGGGCAGGAGGATCACAAGTTCAAAGCCACCCTCAGCAACAGTGAGGCACTAAAGCAACTCAGTGAGACCCTGTCTCTAAATAAAATACAAAATAGGGCTGGGGATGTGGCTTAGTGGTCGAGAACCCCTGAGTTCAATCCCTGATGCCAAAAAAAACTAAACAAAACAAAAAAAAACCCAATATTTACTTAGATAATGAGGAGAAAACATGTGATGATTAAAGGAAACTAATAATTTAAAATAATTAAAAGAAGTTGACAATGAAAAACAAAACAATTAAAAGAAATTCTCCGTATGACTCCTGCCTAAAAAAATGCCCTTCTCACTAGACAGGTCAGGAGTCACACGCCTCTGAGTTGCCAGCCTGGCAGTTTCTTTAAGAGGCCCAGACAGTGGGTAGTGATGGGTGGCCACTCCCCTAGATCATTGGTGCCATGGGAACTTCAGCTGAGTCTACAACCAAGGTCAGTATCTGCTGAGAACATGATTCTCTTCCACAGGAAGAAAATATGACTCACCTTGCAGGATCAGGTTTATAGCTTCATAATTAAGCACCTACTTATCTCATAAATTATTCACCACTGGCTGGAATATGGAGGCTCTGGCCTGTGGACCTACTGACACCCTGCCTCTCAGTCTGCTCTCTGTTCTCTTTCCAACAAGTTGGAAGATATACCTACCTGCATATTATACTCTAGGATATCTGGGCTGCTACTTATTACAGGAAATGGCCCTCCATCTTCCAGAAATGCTCTCCAGGGGAATAGCACAGATGCCTAAAAGAACCAAATAATAGACATGGTAAAGCTGTTCTGTAACTCTAAGTTAAAGACATCTGTTTATGAACAGGATTTCTGCATTTGTACTCCAACACACTGTTGGATGATTCATTTATTATGTAGAAATACTTCTTGGTGGAGAATGTTTGATGATGTAGAGGAGAGAGTAATAATAATTATTTTTAATTATTTTTGCAGCAGATGGTTTCGGTGTAACTAGTCAACACTGCTGTTCAGAAGTTCCATAATAGCATAGCACCAATGGACCTATTTATAATCTACAAAAATAAACTTGCTTAAATGCTCTCAATATTAGGAATCCTAAAAAGTGGGCCACCTCATTATTGTGCTCTAATTTTACATATCAACTCAAGACTGATGTCACAACTTATCTCTGTCTTCTCCACATCACAGGACAACAGCCAAGGCATTGCTTATCCTCTATGACATCATGTGTGGCCCTGGATCCAGTGGCCCTACCTATGTAACCCCATTCTACACATCTAGACCTGCTTCTGACTTCTATCAATTCCCAGAGCTAGAACTGATTCTGGTAGCAAGGACAGGACACTGCATCTACTTCATCCTAGATAACACCCAAAGGCAACCAGAGTGGTCCCAGTGGTCAAGGTCTAACTCTGTCTTCTGGGTCTAAGTGAGAATCAAAGATTGGACTGAGAATCACTATCTCATAGCTTAGAAGGATGGTACCTGCTTGGGGATGATGTGGGCATCATTCATGTTTAATGTATATAATGTGAAAACATTAAGTAGATTTTCAAGTAAAAATCCTGGGCTTGAGAGGTGATTTTAAAGATATATCCACAAATTCTTTGATAGTTCTCCCATCAAGAGATGGGCCTTAATTTCTCTCCCCTGGGGTGTGATTGGACTTAGTGGCTCACTTTTAGTGAATGGAATATGGGAGAAGTGATAAGATGTCACTTCTGAAATTAGGTAATAAAAAGGCTCTTACTCCCTCTTGGAGGGTTCGCTCTGGGGAAGCTGTCTGCCATGTTGTGAGAAAGCCATGTTGTGAGAAAGCCTTGTAGAGAAGTTCACGTGAGTAAGCATGGGAGTGGATCTTCTGATCTATCTACCCAACAGCCATATGAGTGAACTTGGAAGCAGACACTCTTCCAGTTGCACCCTGAGATGATTACAGTATTGGCAACATCTCGATGGCAGCTTGTAAGAATCTCTGAGCCAGAAGGACCCACCTAAGCTTCTCCCACTTCCTGACCCTCGGAAACTATGTGAGATAATGAATGAATGTTTATTGTTTTAACCTGTTAAACTTGGAGGATGGATTGTTCTGCAGCAATAGATAAGTAATATAGTTTGTAACTTGGTGTTGCCCTGACTCTTCAGTAGTCTGATATCCAGCTTTCCTAAGCCTTGACCCTTTTAGGAGTGGGAGGATACTGTTGTTCCTGCCTAAAAGCAATCACAGTTGTCAGGGTGACATTTGATAACATTTGTTGTAACAAGGGCTATTCAAAACTCAGCTGTTGACCCAATTAATGTACCATAATTTCTATCATTTATTTAATGGGTAAGATTATTTATTTTGCTACAAACTACGAGAAGATGAGCTCTTGCTTCTTTGAGCATTTGCAGAAAAGACCCAGACTGGGAATAACAGCTGGTCATGTAGACCCAGACTGCTCCACTGGGCCAGTGAAAGGGCACCAGCAGAGACTGAAGGGCTTTAAAGAATCCAGACTCCTGCAAAATTTAAACCAAACAGAAACAAAGTGACAAAATCCCCAGCTAACAATGTACCTCTTTCTTATAGGTATAAAACACCTCTAAAACATACCTGGAGGCTCCGTGGATCCAGCGGCTGGGGCAGGCCAAGCTGTGAAGCAAAAATGCTCTTCCTGAGAGAGTTGCTCAGCGGTGGCAGCCCATGACACATGCCATCGGTGACAGACTGGTAGGCGGGAATATTTCCAGCTGCCAAAAATATTCTTCTAACAAGACATGGGGGGACATTTCATTGAAAACGGTTACCAAATCTCCTAAAGCTCAAAGCTTTCTTCAAAGCTACTGAAGCAAGACAAGGTGGGAGACAGTGACAGGTTTCTTCCTCAGCCACATCACCCCCTGCACCCCTTCACACACCACCGTTCATTCACAGAGATCACAGCCTACAGGGGAAGCTTGATGCATCTAGACTGTTGGATAGAACTTTCTACAGTGGTAGAAATGTTCTAGATCTGTACTGTCCAATATACTTCCACAGGTGGCTTTTGAACACTTGAAATGTAACTGCTGTGACCGAGGGATTAAATTTTAACTTTTATTTCATTTAAATTAATATTAATTTTAATTAAATAACCACATGCAGCTACCAAATTGGACAGTATACCTGCGGCTCTAGAACAAAAATATCAGTGTGTTTGTTAAACTATTTTAAGACCAATAGCTGAGACAACAGTTCTTGATATGTAAAATCAAATTTTAAACCAAGTAATCAAAGTCAGGGGTTATGGAGAGAAAAGTTTTTGTTTTGTTTTAGACAAAACTTGGTTTTGTGTATCAAGAACCACAAACCCTGGAGCCAAGAGCATGAAATTTATACCATAAGTGTAAATCAAATAAAGTAAGGAAGTATGCATGATAAATTAGGATTATTTTCTTGCCCAAAAGGAAATAAGAGTTTAGCAAGGAAGAAAAGACTGTTTCTAGAGTTCTAGTGGATGCCTAAGAAAAGTGCTGACTCAGGGTGGGCTGGGGGAGGGTACCCCAGAGCACAAAGGACCTATTGCCTGGATCCTCCATGAGCATGGCCCAAGTCTCACAGACAGCAAACACCAAAAAAAAAAAAAAAAAAAAAGGAGATTAGCAATTCCCCAGGGAGGTGTCAGTGCTGATGGAAGTGAGGTGGTCTCTAGAGACTACAGACCCTCGGAGTGCGGGGGAAAGAACTTGGGAGTGCCTGAGCCCCCCATAATGGGTGTCCAGGAAGAACGCTGAGTAGTAGGCCAACAGAAGAGTCTGAGAGCAGACCAGCTAACACACACAGAGATGGGCGAGGTAGCTCCTTCTCCCCAACTGCCAGGATGACTTATAAGCAGCCCCAAGAACTCAGATCACCTTTTTTTAGGGGAAATGAAGAAGGAGAGGTGTGGTGTGAGGCAGCCTATAATTAAGGTCCAATATTACGTGCTGCCTTGACATCTGGCAAATCAGAAGGGCCTCAAATGGCCTAACCACAAGGTCCCCTCCCATTCTGCTCCCAGCAGAAAGTCCCCCTTGTCAAATAACCTCCTTATCAAAGGCACCAGGTGCACCTCCTGCTTATCCCCCCGAGTAGCAGTTTCAGTTTCCTGCCAGCGTGTGGAATTACTCAAACAAACCAATCAAAGCCTCCTGCGGGAACCAGGGAGCACCACACCCTCTGGGAGCTCCAGAGCCTGCCTCCCACAGGCCCTGCCCATTCACTCTGTGGCCCTGTGTGGCCTACAGGGCTTCTGTTCCTGGGCTGTGGGTACACATGCCTGATAAACTTCCATCCATCTCCCCTGCCCACTCTTGGGTATCTCCTGTTTGGCCATCACCACAGGGAAGAAGCTTCCCTCATCAACAGGTGAGTAGGAGCCATTAAAACAAAAGAGGAGGGGAAGAACTTTGAATCAACTGATTTTAAATCTCAAGATGGCCACTTTTAATTTTCAACCATGACTCAATGACATGGTACTGACAAGTTTAATATTTTTGCCATCAGCAGAAGTAGAGACTTCAAAGGCAAATGAAAGGAGCTCTTTATTTGCACACTAAACAATCACACTAGTGTAAAAACTCTTTTTATATGTTAATGAGTATTAATAATAAATATCTGAGTATTGAGACAATGGATAAAACTACTGATTTGTGATTTTTGGGGGGAGGTTTGCTAAGGATTGAACTGCCACAGCCTTATCCCTGCGAAGGCTGTGTGCAGTTCATGTACTTTGCCACTGAACTACATCCCCGGCCCTAAACCTACTGATTTATCACAATAACTCAGAGATGGACCTTGGAGTTGCCCAAAGGATATATAAACATTTTCTTCTGCTTCTTTTCTCAAGGTACTCAATGGGCCCTGCTGAGGAACCCATGATTTACTCAACACCCATGTGACTGGTCTATCAAGCACCTGGTGTCAAGGTGCTGTGCTGGAGACTGTTTGAGATGTAAGCAAGAGTCCCACACAGGCTCTGACCTTCCAGCCCAATAGAACCCAGTGAGGCAGAGCTGCTTGTGACCACCCTCTAAATTCCCAACACCTTTTGTATACTCACACCTCTCGGTGTGTGTGCTTGCTTAAAATGATGGCGTCCAAAAGCAGAACATTCTAACAGAAACAGGCTCACATCAAGAGCACAGAAGTAGAGCATCCTGGCCCAGCCTCTCCCCACATGGCTCCTCTCATGTCATTCCTGTCCATCTCTGCCACCAATCCACAGCCTTCTCTCTGTCCCAGCTTCCTCTGGGTCCTCTGTTCACATCTTACTTGCTCACTCTTTGACGTGCTCTCTTATCCTAGCAAATTTGTTCAGAACTTTTAAATGAACAATTGCCAGAAGTGATCACGATTCTCGGCAGAAATCTAGAGCCTCAGGCACAGCTTTGTGCTCATATGAGCTGAAATGGTTTGGATTTGGTTTAACTGTGTCCCCAAAAGTTTCAGTGTTGGAAGTTTGGGCCCCAGTGTGGCAATGAAAAGAGATGGTAGGACCTTTGAGAAGTGGGCCTAGTGGGAGGTCAATAGGTCATTGTGGTGTGTCTTCTGAAGGCATTAACATACTTTTTCTCTGACTTCCTGTCTAGTGATGTGATCTCTCCTGCCACTGTGATACCATGCACAACAAGGGCTTCACCAAAACCAAGAAGAAGCTGATGTCATGCCCTTGAACCTCCAGTACTATAAGCTACATAAACCTTTTTTTCTTTATAAAATATCTAACCTAGGGTATTTCAATACAGCAATAAAAAATGAACTAATACATTAGGTCTATTAACACATAGATACTTGGAGATTATTAGAAAAAACTATCAATACAGTTCAGATATGAGTGTGACTGTTATTCTGAGCTACTGAATCAAGTCTGATGCACTCTCTAGAAAGACTCAAGCCAGATTATAGGCCACACCATTGATCAAATAGTGAGTTATGCTTCCTTGCTCTCTCAATTCTTATCATGATCCTTCCTAAGATTCACCCCCACTCTACTAGAACTGCTTATTTGAGAACTGTACAATGTGATGCTACATAAAGGAATAGCAAGATGATACTCAACATCTTTAGTACTAGATCCTTTTTGTTGTCTTCCCTCTCTATTGAAAGGTTTTCCACCAAACATCTATTAAGTATTTTCCTACTTTTAAGTCAATTTATGTCAATCTCCAGCCCAAGCTCTGAGCTGCAGGAAGGGATAAAGAAATATGATATGAAGGAAGACACAGGGCTATGGAGTCACACAGACTACAAGAATACAAATTCGACCACAACAAGCTGTGTGTGTGACCCTTGGCAAGTTAGGCAACTTTTCTGAATTTCTATCTCCTCATCTGTAAAAACAGATAAAATAATTCATTTGTACAAGATTGGCACACAGTAGTAACTAAACTAAATCCAAGTCCTTGCATTCCCTTATCTCATGATGTTCTTATGATTCCAGTTAAAAATAAATAAAATAAAAAGATCGTGACATTTTCTTTACCCACAGAAGTTTTAGGTAAATATGTCTTTTTCCTTGGAAAAAAAAATGATAATGCTCATAAGACAATGTGATAACCCACTAAGACCCTCAGTTGGTGAACCTTGACCCGCATCTTCTGTGGGTGGGGTCTAACCAATGCAGTTTGGCGGCAGCACCCAGGATGCTATGGGAAGCCATAGGAATGAAGGGCTGGCTTTCTGCTTGTGCACCTGCCACAACCAGGCTTTAGTAAAGCCAGGTTTCCCCACAACTCACTAAAATACCTAAATTCCCCATACTGTCCCTAAGCAGTAGAGGGACAACTACCAACTGGCTCCTGTGTGACAGCCCTCCACAGTGTGATCTCAGGCAGGCTGGTTCAGGCCATAGGAACAGCTAACTCAAGGGGTACATTCTGGAGTTTTCCTGGAGGCAAAGATACAGCACAACCTGCAGAATGGTGCTGAGAAAGCCAGGAAAAGTTATGGCTCTTTGGTTCTTAGATATTGGAGACTGTGGCCAAGGCCAAGAGCTAGACCTAGCTCCCACGAGGCCTTCTGCATGTCTCCCAGAAACTCCCAGATGACCCAGAGACACAATTTAGCATCCTAAGTGTTTAGAGACATTTTCAACTAAGCAAGCATGAAAATAAGAATAAATTTTAAAATCAAGAGAAACCAGCCAACAGTCCAGGACTGAGAGGCTTGTGCTACTCTGTGGCTTGCCCTTGAGGCCCTCCAGAGCCGGCTTGCTACAGGAAGTGAGAACGCCTTCAGGGTTTCTTCAGTTTTTCCTTCTTCCCCTAATCACTCAGAACATCAGCAGTACATTCTGACCAGAGGCACTTTCCATGCCACATATTTAATTCTGTTCTATGGGTAACTATGAAGGAATTTTTATCCTCCCTCTATTCCTGAATTGCAAAGGAATTCCATCCTTTAAATCAGAGAATGGCAAATTTTTGTTCAAAGGTCCAAATAATAAATACTTTTGGCTTTGTGGTGGACCCTATGGTCTTCACCGCAACTATTCAACTCTGTGATTGTAGTGGCAAAGTAGAGACAACCCACAGATAAATGGGCATGGCTTTATTCCAGTAAAAATTCACATATGGACATGGTGTATGAAATCCATATAATTTTCATGTATCATAAATATTATTTTCTTACTTATTTTTTTCCAACCATTTAAACATGCCAAAGCCATCTTTAACCTACAGGCCATGCAAAAACAGGCAGGAAACTATGGCACTGGTTTGCCAATTCCTGACGTAAACAAAAGAGACTGGTTAGAACTGCAGCACTATCCTAGCATTTCCCTTCAACAAGAATGATTGTTTCACCTGGCATCACAGATAAGCTCAACCCTCAGGCATTTCTTGAATTAGCTAATAAATACCCCTGCAGGTTGGTGGTCATGCTCAGAGGTCAGTGATAAGCCCTGGACAGTGGGATTCCAACCCATTAGTGGATAGGATGAATTTTCATCAGACCTTTGCCCAAGCTGGCAGACAGCAGGTCCACAGGGGAAGTGTGAAGTGTTTTGTGCTTAGAAACACGTGTCCATTGGGCAACTCAATAGAGTTGAGAGAAATGAGAGTCAGATTTTTGGTGACTCTACAGGGCTGTTGTCCTTGAGTCATATCCTCTTTCCTCTCCCCCCCAATCCATGGAAGCATGTGTTGTTCTCATTCCAGGTAAGAGTTCAGTTCTTTTAAAACTCTAAAGATGTCAGCTTACATAGGCAGAAAGTTCCTCAGGCAAACAGTCTTATTTGCTCAGTCTTGCTGAGCTCTGGGGAGGGCCAGGGAACTTCCCCAAACTTCTAATCTCTTTTGATTATTTAAGGACTTTCCCTTGTTTGCAGGATCAGTGCAAGTAAAACGACCCAGAGTGATGACATTTATCTTTCTGCTTTTCTTTCTCTTCTGTTTCCTGCCTTCTTTTGGGAGTCCCCTTTTCTACTCAGGCCGCTGCTCAGAATCCAGCTTAGTTCTCAGGCTTTGGAGGGAAACACCCTAAGGTTCTAATTGTCACCTGCTGCTTCCTGGCTGTGCAATTCCAAACACAACCCCAAGAGCTCTAAAGAAGGAGGTCAGGGAAATGCAACAAATGAAGGGCCCACAGGGGTATATATGCCTCCTGGGTGGTTCCCTCTGAAAGATGCTGAAAAAAGATACAGGACCCAGTGCCCTCCATTTCTGTGGAAGGAGTGTGCCAGGACAGAGCAAGCCCTGGCAAAGCAATGGCACGGGACAGAATGGCTCCTTGGGAAAAGAGGACCAGACTGAATCCTCTGAGGCTAGAACCCAAGCAGGACTTCTGGGGGGTGGGTGGTATTTCTGTTTCTTCACCATAACTAAATCCCTTACAAAGGTTGACCTTGGCCTATGGAATGGGCTCTCCTTTAGTGAAGTCTACCTGCTTCACTAAGCTGCACCTTAGGAGCTGTTTGTTAATATGGAGAAATTCATATGATTTTTTTTTTTTTGGTCCTGCTGAATTTACATCCTAAATACAAATTCTCTGACAGAGTTAAAAAAAAAAAAGCAGAAAAAATATAGTTCATTCAGTACAATTGTCACATTTCCATTCTTGATGGATGCCCAATGCTAATGATGGGAAACAGTTGTAATCCATGGGCAGAGCCCCTCAATACTCACATGGGGGAATTAATCAAAAGAAGTTAATACATTTTGACGATTTAAGAATAAGCAGAGGGCTGGGGCAGTGGCTCAGCGGTAGCACACTTGCCTGGCATGTGTGAGGCACTGGGTTCAATTCTCAGCACCACAAATTTAAATGAAATAAAGGTCTATTAACAACTAAAAAAATATTTTTAAAAAAAAGAAGAAAAGAAAAGAAAGAAAGAATGAGCAGAAATGCTCAGGTCTGAATCTCTTCCCCTCCCATATAAAATTTAACCTAAAAACATTGTAAATCTTAATCTAAACTCAATCCAAAGTTCATCAGAATTATGATTAAGGAAACATATAAAACATTCTTTTTTAAAAAAATTCAGAGTATTTAACAGAACAGTTACTACAAGAACAGAAGTAGATTTATTTATTTATAAATTTAATTCCATTAGCCAATTCCATTAACTTCAGAAGTGCAGTGAAAATTCTGTCCATTTGAAAGGTAAATAAAAGTCGGAAAAACTAATAAGACTCTTAGAAATAATCTTCAGAAGTATAAAAATTTTACTCCCAATAAAGCAACCTGAACAGTGAAAGCAGGAGTTGTTAAATAAACTGCTTTGGAATTAAGTTTAATAAAATCAAAATACAACACCACTGAAACTCCACATCATGTACAACTATAAGAATTTGAATGAAGTATACTTCATGTATGTATAATATGTCAAAATAAATTCTACAGTCATATATATCTAAAAAGAACAAAGGAAAAAAAAAAGAATATTAAGCCTGGCATGGTGGCGCACACCTGTAATCCCAGAAACTCAGGGGGCTGAGGCAGGAGGATTGTGAGTTCAAACCCAGCCTCAGCAACTTAGCAAGTCCCTAAGTAACTCAGTGAGACCTTGTCTCTAATAAAAAAAATATTTTAAAAAGGGCTGGGATGTGGCTTGGTGGTTCAATTCCTGGTATAAAGGAGGAGGAGGAGGGGGAGGGGGAGGAGGAGGAGAAAATTAGAACACATTCTGCTGCAGGGACAGCCTTCACAGCAGGACATGTTTTGTAGCAAGCATTCTGGATCTGGTTGCACCCCAGGCTATTTTAAGCTCATTATCTAATCTTGCCAAGTGAGTCCTCCCTAGATGGTCACTGGGCAAACACCTGCCCAGCTGAAGTTACTAGGCAAGAATAGCCCTCCAGCCCTTACCGGATGACATGCCTCACTGCAGCATCGAATTGCAGAAACATAACATCCCTGCGGAGGAGGAGGGCCTGGGCCACCTGGGTCGGGTCCTGGGGGCTCTTGAGGCTGTCAAGCATTTTCTGCAGCTCTTGAAGCTCAGACCCTAGATGATGGACGTTTGAGTCAGTATGAAATATAGGCTACCATTGCTAACCTAGGGAACCTTCATTCTACTCCTCAAAGTTAACCTGTCACCTGAACAGCCTTCCCTTTCTTTGTTGGTGGATGTACTAATTATATGTTTTGCAAGGTCAGCAAAGCATTGTGCTCCAGAACCTAAGGTCTCCTTTATCTTTCCTTCCTTCCTTCCTCCCTTAGAAAGATAAAAACTTGCTTTGCTTTTTAGCACAGTAAGAACGTGCTGTTGAAAGAAAGTTTAAAACTTACTAGCCTATGGTCTCAAAATAGAATGAAAAAGAGAAATTACAAGCAATGGGAAAGTATAGTCCTCAGTATATCCATCAGGAACTTGAAATTATTATAAATTATAAACTAGCTCTTATTTTCATTGCCATTTCATCCAAATCAGCCTTCTCAGTCACTAGCTCATTGACTAAAAAAAGACTCAAAACCGTTCAAAGCAAGAAAGAAAAATATGCATATATATACATATAAATGTATATACATATATACAGACACACATACATACCTTTCTAGGGGATTCTAGCCATTTTAGGAATAGGTGTGGAAGACCTCTACTTGGCTACTACAAGAGTAGGTTCCATATAAATACGTCCATATATATTTTAGATGGAAGTTTAGCTTAAGGGCCCTTTGGAGCACTCAGTGCCAAGTGAGGAACCTGGCCTGCATCCGGGGATTTCTGACATTGGCACAGGGAAAGAGCTGATCAGACAGAATGGGAGAACACAGCAAAAAATAATGAGCTCTTTGGGGGGTCCACACTTGCAGGGCTACCAGAATGTCAGTTGATATAAAATGCCATCAACTCCCTGTGAGGACAGTGATAGTTCTCTACCCTGACAGGACATCCCTGTAATGGGAAGAAGGACTGAGGAAATTGATCACTATCCCTCAGTAGGCAGCTGAAAGCAGGAATAACAGGGAAGACCCACAGGGCCCTGCTGGAGTTGCCCTACCTTGGCAGCTCATCCAGACCCAAGCCGCCATGTTCCTAACCTGATGGGTACTGGGCCTCCTCCTGCTTTTACCCACTAGGAAAGTGGAAGAGTGTGAGGAAGCTCTCTATGATGGCTCAATCTGGGGAGATCCAGGGCTGAGAACTGTCATTGATACTTGCAATGCATTCTCTTGGCTGTAGGAAAAGATGAGCACTATAGATTTCATATCCATTTGGTATTTTACACACAACAGAAAAATGATTTTAGGGTTGTTTTTTTTTTTTTCAGCCACCAAATAATTGAATCCAAGCATCAGATTTTTCTTATGATTCCTCTAAATCTGATGGTCCTATTGGGCTGAATAGAAATGTCTACCAGAAGAAGAGTGGCATTAGAGAAAATTATGCAAGAACTTTTGTGGGAGTTGGTGGGAGGAGGGGAGGTCATTTGTTGACCCACTCCTGGTGGTCACTGTTGAGGTGAGCCTCATTTGCTCAGGGCCTAGTGTGTTTGGTTTATAAGAAATATATACTCTTGTCAGGCTAAATGGTGACCAGGGGGAAACAGTTATAATCCTCTAGAGTGACATTGAGGAAAGAAGAATATAAAATTAAACATGCTTTAAAATGCTATAATATGTAAATGTAAAATATATTTGAGCAAGGGCTAGGTGGGAGTGAAGAGAAATAAAAATATTTTGCTTGTGAGATTGGATGGATGATAGGTGATTTTCCTCTTACCATTTCCACTATTGTGCTGTTTATACCCTTTTGCATGTGATCACTTCTCAGCAAAATAGTTATAAAAACTTGCTTTGTTTTTTTAGCTGATATGTGGAATTATCATTAAAATACAATTGCGGAGGTGGGAACTACCTTTCCTTTGTTATTTACTGATTTTAAAATATTCACTCTGAGCCAGGTGTAGTGGTGCACACCTGTAATCCCTGCAACTCAGGAGGCTGAGGCAGGAGGATCGAAAGTTTGAAGCCAGCCTGGGCAATCGCAGTATCCCTGTCACTCCATGAAGACTCAGAGTCCAGTGTTCTTTGTTCCTGGTTTATCTTGAGAGTTCCTGAAATCCTAAATTCAGTGTGTCATATGTGGGCTCTAATTGGCCTCCTAATCCTTTACAAAGAAATCTCAGTGTCAACTCCCACATTCTGATTATATCCTGTTTCACACTGACTCCAAAAGGAGTTGCTGGCTTTCAGCGAAGGAGAGAATTTGGCAGGATCCACAGTGGTCTACAGCATCTAAAAGTTGCTTCTTTCAGAGGACCAAAAGATAAAATCCTGAATATCCCTTTAAGAAATATTTTAAAGCATTCATGTCCACAAAAGTCATTTTATCTACCTCCAAATAGCTCTGAAAAGGAACAGATTCTCACTTCATCTTTTACCTTCATTCTCCCTGCCTCCTCTGGGAATCAGGCCAGGAACTAATTAGCTCAGCCTTTTTAAAAAGATGATTATCTTGGTATGGGATCTCTCTCTCTCTGTCTCTCTCTGTCTCTCTCTGTCTCTCTCTGTCTCTCTCATTCAATTCAATATGCACTTTATCTATTTTTAGCAAATCAGAGCATGCACAACTTTGAACGTTTTTCCTGGAGCACGAACACTTTTACTTTGAACATGCCAAGGTGCGCATCTCTAATTGCACATCTTGCAGAGCCTGAGCCCCACATATCTCCATGATTTCCAGGTTTACAGCATGTCAGCACAAGAGAACAATCTCCCTCATCCTGAAGTCCAAACACTGGATACTGGTGGCCCAGAAGGCTCACTTCTCTGGACTGGCCATGAGCAGTCCTGCCTGCAACCTTGGCTTGAGTCCTTTCCTTCTCTTGCTGGGACTGTCCCTCCTATTTTCTCCTCTGATCCATGTCAACTCCTCCACAGGTTGGGACAAAGGCCCCCAGATCATCTTCCTACAGGATCTGCTTGGGTACTCCTTGCTCCCAGCTGCTCGAGGACTTCCTGTGCTGGGACTTCACTTGGAAACAAGGTCCTGGCTCTCTCTGCTTCTATCTTATCTCCATGTAATCATGGCCTCCCCATCTGCAGGGCAGGAAGGACTTTTTTTTTTTTTTTTTTTTTTTTTTTTTTTTTTTGGCCCACTTCCTTTCTCCTACCCCTTATGGGAGGCCCAGCACACACAGCCTCCCAGAAAGTCCCTACGAGGGTAACAGAACCACAGTAGTAGGAAAAGATCTGGAGTGCTTTGGAAACTTTCTAATCTTTTGATGCTTATCTCGAAGACTTGCTAGTTCTTTTGAGAGCTTATCAGTCTGCAACAATTCTGTGTCTTCTGCTGAGGTGACACCAACGCCACCCTTGTTCGCCACCCCTCTTCTTGCTGCCTCTCCTCAGATGGGTGTCCATCTTCTTCCCAGGTCACCACTCATGTCCTTCTCTGTGTCCCACGTGACAATGTTTACAAAGTCTGTTGTCTGTTAGCACAATGCAGATCCACCAGCCACCAGCTCCATGGTTGACCATATTTTCTTGTGTTGCACAAAGGGGAATAAAATCAGATTATATTACACTTGTTTTAAAACCACTAGGTTTAAATAGGCCTATTACCTCATTTCTTAGGCCTTTCTCTACCTATACTATGTAATAGTATTCTGCTGTTAATTGATTAATATTTCTCTGCTTCTGGTAAACACCACTTACAAGATGCTATTTTGTAATATCTTAACATCCTAGTAAGATACTACATTTTATAACCTGGTGCGGAGTTAGAGTTCACTGATTAGCAGGACATATGACACTGAAGCCTCAATCATTCTTATCACAGAACTATCAGGTGGTTGTTCACTATCTGGGGCTGTCAGCAAGCTTCTTAACGATGAGTGCTTGGCTCTGACCTTACACTGTGAGTTCACAAAGAACAGGAAGGAAAAGAGAATGAGACAAAACTCATCTTTACTACAACCTTATATATCCTTCTAGAATGTTATAGACTTCAATCCAGAGAATATCTCTATGAGACAGGCATTATCACTCCATCTTATAGATGGATAAACAGAGACCCAGGGAGTAAAGTAATCATTAGCAGAGGCAGGGTGCAAACCTGAGCCACCTCCTGACTTTGTATGCTCTATGGCTTAGCCCATAGATGTGGGCTTCATCAGGTGAATGTGAGTGTGGAGACAGTATATAAGGGGACTTTTCCTTTGCCCTTTCTTATCATTGCTGTTTGTGAGAAAAATGTTATAGTTCTATCTTTCCAAGTATTAAGAGCATTGCAGAATTCCAACTGAATATTGAAGGTGATTTTAACCATCATTTATCACTTACCAATGTTCTCTGTTCCTCCCCAGTCTCCCCTCAAAGGATCAGGGCTTACAGGAAATTCAAAGCCTGCTGGACAATTGCCGAGTTGAACAAAACTGAAAAGGTAGGCCACAATGTCATGGAAGGAAGCCATCAACTGTAGTGTTAGTGTTAAGGCTCTAAAAGCTTCCTGTGGGGAAAATCAGCACAAGAAAAGAAGTTTCAGGAAGTTTCTAAGAGGCATATAAAATATTTGAGTATGATGGGAACAGTATCTTTAAACGAGATGCATGCAGTCAACCCCCAGAATCCACAGGGGATTGATTCTAGGGCCCCTGTGGGTACCATAATGTGCAGATGCTCAAGTTCCTTATAAAAATGGAGCAGTATTCACATATAACCCAAGTACATGCTCCCATAAATTCTAAATCATCTCTAGAGTACTTATAGTACCTAATACAATCTAAATGCTATGTAAGTAGTTATGCTGTGTCATCCAGGGAATCAGGACAAGAAAGAAAAACTATATGTTTTAGTACACATGAACAAGAATATTTTTTATTAGTTCTTGGTTGAATTTTTGAATCCACAGATACAGAACCTGTGGTCCAGAAGGCCCACTGCATTTAAATAAACATTTTCACAGTGAACACAGGATAATATCTGAGAAAGAAAACAATAAATCTATTCATAAGCCAGGATTATATGTTTTGGGACAAGGGCCCTCCTGTGAGGGGTTAAAGAAATTTGTTTCTTTTTGTTTAATGTTACTGGTGGCCATGAATACATCAAAATGTATTTGAATGACCATCAATGAATTATAAGGCTCACAAACAAACTCATAACATTGTCCTGAGTGAATACCTGTAAGCAAAACATAGATCTTTTCTCTAAACAGGGTTTCACTTACAAAGAAAAATCAGAATATTTCTGACATGCCATTTCCATCACTGCACTTTTATTTGGCAAATGCTTACATGTTTTATGTGTTTCTATATTTACTTCATTTTTATATGATTACCAATATTATTATCTTATCAGTAAGTGAGGTGTATAGAACAACCCCTCAAAAAACAGTAAGCAGCTGAGTTACTGTGTGAACCCAACCTTTCATTAGCTTCAGGGCATAAAGGTGGGGTTTTACTCAAGGATTTGGGAGGAAATTGAAGATTAATAAGGAATGTCAGAAACCTGAATTAATATTCATTAATGACCAGGGCTAAAGAGAATTCATGAAATAAAAAGGTTCAAGAAAAACTAAAATAAAGTAGTCAGAAGTATTAGTCGTGAAAAAATTTCTATTAGAAGTCTTTGAAAAAAACAAGAAATGTTCTCTCCAATTAATGTGCTTCACACGAGACATAAAAAAAAAAATAGCCAGTTTCCATTCTGGTGCACGAAATAATACAAACCTTTTCTGGCAGAGTTTTGAACATAACCAGCACTTCGGAAGGATGGGGGATGTACCATAAATTGAGGAGGACTTTTCCATCCGCTGACAGCAAATATGGAGGCCGAGGCTGAGAACTCCTGTGGCATTAGAAGAAATCAGCAGAAGCAGAGCATTTCCCTCTAACCCAGAGGCACCCTGAACTGTTCAGACCATCAGCTACAGACCACACATGACTGTCACCACAGGCCCAGCGTCCAAGCCGGAGGCAGCAGACTCCTTTTCCATGGCTCCCAAGTGGCCAGAGTTATTTATAAACAACTCAACAGAAGAGGAGCAGTTGGGCTGATTTTAGCCTGAGCTGTGTGGGAGGAAGGTGTGGGTATGGAGGGCGGGAAAGGTGTGGTAAGAAAAGAAAGGAAGGGCAGGCATCAGACCGCAGGCACCATCCTGGGTGTAACGCATTTTGTGTCACTTGATGCTTCTGACAACCTTACAATGGATCTATTTTTGTTCCTATTTCACAGCTGAGGAAATTGAGGCTTTGAGAGGTTAGGGAGGTCCTGCCTACCCAGCTCCTAAGAGATGGAGTTAGGATTTAAGTGCACATCTGTCCATCATGTTTCTTGCCAGGTTCCCCAGCGTCTGGTCTTCTTTTCTTCTTTCTCTGCTCTCCTCTAACTACTGAGCACTTGTTAGGCAGCAGTTTTGCTGTCTCTATAGCATTGCAGGCCTACACACAAACACACCATCCATCTATGTCTGGCTTAGGGATTCACACAAGCCCAGCATCCTTGAATACCTCCCTGCTGGTCCCCAGAGCAACCACCTGACATGAACATTAGTGAATGCCTTGCTGTTCTTTGTAGTTTCACCATAAATGGACACACCAGTAAGAGATATTTTGCTAGGTTTTGCCTGTCTTACGACTTCCATGCAGATGAAAGCTCTTGAACTGTATACCACAGCCCCAGGATGGAGGTGGTCTCCTGACCTGGTTTTCGTGTCATCTCAGAAGTGAGGCAGCCCTGATAAGCCCACTTGAATGGCTCTGGTGCCATCAAGTCTAAACAAAAAATAAATAGGGCGGGGGATGTGGCTCATTGGTTAAGTAAGCACCCCTGGGTGCAATCCCTGGTACTAAAAAAAAAAAAAAAAAAAGAGGTAGTGGTGCTTTACAAAGTTTGTTGTTATTATGCTAATGTGGGGGGTGTCTGGCATCTGTGGCCAGGGGTGGACGGGCCAAGGGACGCACATGGAGCTCTCAGAGAAATTGGTTAGGAACTAGGGACCTGAACGCATTGAGAGGATGGCCTAGAATTGAGGAGTATGCAGGAGGACCAGAGACCAGTGCCACCTCAGAGACAAGCAGCTGAGGCAGTGTGCAGTGAGGGTGGAGGCCCTCCCTCCCACACCGCCCCCACCCAGGGCGTCTGGGGTCAGCAGTGGACGTGGCAGGGAATAACGATGAGCACTTGGTGCAGGGCCCTCAGCTCCAGAGATGCAAGGTGATGCAAGGCCACAGACTGAGTCCAGTCACACTTCTGCGTTGCAGCAGCCAGCCCAAGGCCCGCAGGCCCCTGGGCTGAGACTCAGACCTTTGGGCTTCTTAATTTCGATATTCAATGTTTCTTTTGGATTAAGCTAGATTTAATTTGTTCCAAGACTGGAATAATCTGAATGTCATTATTGAGAAAAGGAATTCTCCAAACTAAGACTGTTCTTTATTCCTGAGCTGAGAGTTAACTGATTAAAATCCTGAGACTTGAAAGGTAGACATAAGGCCAATGCTTTGTTTCAGGATGAGTTTTAATGATCTAACAACTCTCATCTTCAGAACATTTGAAACTGAAAATATTCAGCGCTTAGTTAAAATGAGCTACATTTTGCTTCAATAAGTGAGAAGGATCATCTGAATATCTCCAAGAGACCCAGAAGTAATTTTATTCCTCATAGGCAATTATCAGACAAGGCAACAAATGTCCCTACAATTTCCAAGGTGCTCGCTAGAAGGTGAGACCCTCTCATTGAGTCTGACTATGGACAATGGATATGGAATGGAAATTAAGTACAAATGTGAAAGAGGCTTAAGTAATGGGATCACTAGGGTCTAAGGAATAAGGAAAAGCAAGAATCTACAAACGATGCCCTGACTCTGGCTTTGGGGATGGGGGTTAGAAATTGTGTGGTCCTTTAACACAGTGGACACAGGATTGGGGCAGAAGAGGCGAGGAGCTCAGTTCTTGCCTTTCTTGACTGAGCTGGTCTGAGGCACTACCAGCTAAGGCGAAGCCAGTTGAAGCTCTGGAGCTGTGGGGATTCAGAAGTCATTGGCAAATGGACCTTAGCTACTGTCAGCAGAGTGATTGAAATTGCTCAGGACTGTGGGGGAGAGTGAGTAGAGTGCAGATGGCAGAAGATTCAGGAGGTTGGTACAGGGAAAGTAGCCTGACTCTCAGACCCACAGGGAGCCTTTCCCCTCCCTCTTGTGGATGGCCCATGGACTACCTGGCCTGCTCAACATGGTCCCCTATTACCTTTAGTTACTCTCAGCTGTCCACTCCTGGGCCACATCCTAGACTTTATCATCACCTGGAGCCATTTCACTTCCAAAGCCTTAGCTTTCGTTTCCAGCGTTCTCCCTCATACAGTGCCATTAAATCTGCTTGTCCCCATAAAATATGCTCCTTGACATCACCCAGTCCTCTGGCCTCCCTTTCCTGTTGTCAGTTCTTTTCTGACTTCAATCCCTTCCCTTCCCAGACTGGATCTGACTGTCCATGAACTACATGAACTACTCTCTTGCCTGCACCTTTGATTCTCTATTTCTTTGTCCTCGTACCCCATCTACCTAGCAAAGCCCCAACTGTGGGTCCTTCCAACTCCTCAGCTTTCTGCCTCTACTTGCACACTGCTAAGCACAGCTGGAGGAAATCACACTACTAATTATTTAGAAGCACCAACAAGAAAATGATTTCCAGCTTGAGCTATGTCACCCTGGGACAAACCTTTTTTTTTTTTTTCCTTTGATCAGTTGTCATGCCAATTTCCTTGTTCAATAATTCCAAGTCTTCTTTCAGCCCCATAACCAGTTCCTACCAGTAAGTGATGACATAGTTTGGTATTTCGCGATTGAACTAAAGGCCACTAGCTAGAACTCCCTTCACTCCTTTCTGACCCATCCCCTCCCCAACCCCCCATCCTCCCTTTGCATCAGGGTCAAAGTCAGAGAGGCACACCTGGGACATAAAATGAAAGACCACCTCAAGGATCTTACATTCCAGAGACAGCTGGACGTGCAAACATGACACGATGGTAGAGCCTGGCACAACAGAAATAGACCAAGGAGCAGACAGCATCCAGAAGAGATAGCCCCTGGGAGCCTGGGAGAAGAAACTGACAGCTGAAGCTTCCGAGCTGTGATTTATTATCTCTTCCACATCTCAGCACTGCCCTTTGCTTCCCATTTAAAGAAAATTGTGGTAAAATTCATATAATGCCATTTTACCATTTTCCATTCTTGAGTGTATAGTCCAATGGTACCAAGGACATTCACATCAATACTACATCCATCTCCAGAACTTTAAAACAAAAATCTTGCCAAATTGAAACTCCGTACCTATTAAACAATGATGGCACTGCTACCCTTTTATTTGCCCAAGCCAGAGTCTCTGGAGGAAATGCTAGACTCCTTCCTCCCTCATCAGTCTGGCTCCTGGACTCACTGATTTCACCTCCTAAGCCTCCCGGTTAATCCAATTTCAGGAACTTCCTAAGTAGTGCCACTGATAATCATCTTGCTCCCCTTCTTACTGTGACCTGAAGGACAAACACCAGTGTTCTGGATCTTGTCCCATTTCCCATCGCCGTCCTTACACTGAGGTCCACAAACCATCTCACATTTCTGTGCCTTTATCCATGCAGCTTTTCCAGCGTATCATCCCTCAGGACCTGGGTTAAGCATCCCTCTTCCCTGAAGCTCTCCTAGTTCCCATCCTGTTTCCCCAATCCTTCTGATAATCCTGTTTCCTGGTGGTGCTTTCATTAAACATTTACTTTATTCTGTTCTTCATCGCAGTGCACTGTTGCTGTCTCTTTCCCCTTGTTGGACAAGGATCTTGTCTATTACATTGTTCTACAGCACTTGGCACCAACATCGCCATGTGTTGTGCCTCCAGGCAACCAGCAGTGGCCAAGAGCCAGCCTGTACCTTTCCTGCCAGGCTCTGCACCCTTGTGTGGAGCTACACCTGCCCCCAGAGGAAGGGTTGTCTTCCTCTAATTTGCACAAAGTAGCTGTATGTGATGACAGCGGCTCTGCTTGTCACATGGCAAGGGTTCAATTAATGGTAGTGTTCTCTCTGGGGGCTCCCTTTGCTCTTTTAGCAGCCAATGCTGATGCCCCTGGGAATGCGTCTGAGAGTCATCCTAGTCCTCTGATTCTAGCCTCCTCTGGAGTCTTGAAGGGAAAGGAAGCCTCCAGGGACTTCTGAGAACAAAGATCCCTCTGGCTCCTCCTCTACAGGGGCTCTGGTTTAGGGCAGAGTCTCTGCTAAACTATTTACAGTATATTATAATCTTCCAGGAATTAAGTTTCATCTTAGCATTTTAAATCTACAGAACTTCTGGAGCTCTTCAAGGGATGGCAAACACATACAGGAAGGCTACCTTTCTCCCTTTCCTTGATTGGCAGACATTGCCAATCAATCGCCACACTCTCACAAACATGAAATGTCTCAGAATCCTCAGCAGGGCCACTAAATTGTTGGAACTGACATTTCAAATAAAACTTACTTTTCTTCAATGTAGCCCAATCTGTTATTCTGTGAATGAGATGAGAGCCTTTTCCCTCCATGACCCTTGCTCTCAACTCTGTGCCTTATTTCTAGTTAACTTCGCTGTAATGATCCCATTTATCACTTTACAAACTGGCCCCTTTTGGGAAGTCTTTCCTCAGCAGTCCTATTTCTTGAAATCATCCTTTACATACCATAGCACTGAGATTCCTAATGTGTTTAACTTCAGAGAGCTGCTTCAATGTCCTCACTTGAAAGAAACCAAAGTCCCAAGTTTCGAGTATAAGTGATTTGCCTAAGACCTCAGTTCAACACATGACTGAGCTAGGGGAAAATCCAAATATTGTAACTCCAGGCTGCGGTTTTCTCTACGAGGACACCTTCTTGTGACTCACAGCTGTGATTTGGATATGGTTAAGGGTTCATGTGTTGGAGGCCTGGTCCTTAGGGCGGTACTACTGGGAGGTGATGTTTAGTGGGAAGTCCTTAGGTCTGCTGGAGGTATCACCTCTGAAGGGATTATAGGTCTCTCTCTGTCTTCATTTCCTATTGTGGAGAACTAGGGATTAACCCTGGGGTGCTCTACCATTGAACTACACTCCCAGATCTTTTTATTTTTCTTTTATCTTGAGATAGGGTCTTGCTAAATTGTTGAGGCTAGCCTCCACCTTGTGATCCTTCTGCCTCAGCCTCCCAAGCTGCTGGGATTACAGGCATGCACCACCAAGCACTGCTGCTTTTGTGCTTTTTGATGTAAGGTCTTCCTCATACACGTACTCCTGCTATGATGTGGTGCTGCGAGAGGGCCCTCACCAAAACTGTGCTGTTGGTGTCGTGCCCTCCAAAACTTGAGCTAAATAAATTTCTTTAAAAAATAAACTTAGACTGCCTCAGGTATTTTGTTATAATTACACAATACATTTATTTGTTTGTTTATTTATTTATTTATTTATTTTTAAATCAGTAGGTACCCAGAGCATGGAACCAGACTTTGAAGTTAGAAAGAATCCAATAGTACTTTTACCAAAGTTTCACATAAGAAAGAAGTTCCTTTCTCTATATTCCTATAAATATTCCCATAAATGAGTATATTAAAAGAGACATATTAATATCCAGAGAGTTTAGGCAAAGGAGGGGATTCAGTGGAGAAACAGTCTACCAGTCACAGCTCATCCACTGGTCACCCATTTTGCTCACACCTTCCTGGCCCAAGGTTCTACCCTGATGTTATCACACATCAACCAACCAGATAATTCAGGGACCAAGGCTCTCCAGAGTAAATGACTGTTTCCCTTAATCTTTAGAAAACATAGTCTCCTACAAGAAACAATAAAGAAATAGAGCAAGATCTAAAAGTTAGATTTTTCCTCCTCTTTGCATCCTGACCTTCTTATTTGGTTGCTGCAAATTAAACACATCAAAAACAAAAATAGGCTTCCTAACCCATTTCATCATAATCACATATGCAGCAGATTAGATTTCTGGAAAGAACTTTAAAAGTTTGATCTCAAATGTAGATTAACTTTATAAATGGTCAATGAGGTAAGAGGGCAACAAAATAATGGAATTAAGAACACTTAAAGGATTTATCTATGACACTTTGCATGACAAAAATGCTTTTCAACCTTACTGAGCAGCAGATATTCAGGCAAACCCTTTAGAAAAATAGCATCTTTGCCCCACTGTTCTCTCCAATGCATTCTTCCATTAGGTAAATCCTGTTAATCTATGCAAATGAAAGCATTGGCTGAGCTCATAGAACAAAACACTGCTATCTACAAACTAATCCGCCTTATAAGTATGGAGATGGACCTGGCCACTGTTTGGCTGGTCAGCTGTCAGTCAGTCAAGAGCTTGAGGATTTCAACATCTTTCATTCTAGTCTAGCCGTTACCATTCCGTTTTCTTGGGGAACTCCAACATTCCTGTCCATTCCTCTTTGAATTCCTCCAGAGGCCCTGAGTAGTTAAACATTCCCTCATAGGTCTTTGTACACACCTCTAATGTGTTATCTCTGGAGTTACTTGTTTGTTTACACAGCTTTTCCCAACTAGATGGAATTTATTGCCAGAACCAATGACTTATCCTGTAAATGCCAGTGCCTGGCATTTAAGTAAACACGGAATAAATGATAGTTGAATAGCACATGCATGCATGAATGAATGAATGAATGAGTGCGTGAGTGAGTGATCTGATACAAACGATCTCTTAAATCCCTTCTATCTGTCCAGTCCATGATCATATTTTAGTATTCCTGTTTCTCAAACTCCAGAAGCAGAAACAGAAGCAGAGGTTAAGCTCACCCTATAAGGGTGTGTTTACTTCTCCTTGGAGACTGTATACTATATAACACACACACACACACACACCCTTTTTTTTTTTTTTTTTAAGGAAATGAGGTTACTAACTGCTCAGGTATGCTAACTCCTCCATCCAGGAAGGGGGTGGGGGTGAACTCTTAAGCAGGCTGAGTTAAAGTCTTTCAGAAAACCAGATAAAGCCTTTTAAGAATATATGAAGCAGCTGTGCTCTGTCATTATACCTATATCTACATCTGTATCTGTATGTCTGTCCCACCAGAGGAAAACAGGACACTTAATTTGTGCAAGGCACTGGCATATCATTGTTTTTTCTGAGTATTTCTTCTAGATTATTATTATATGATTATATTATTATTATAGAATATGTGAATCTAAGACAGCTCAAAATCAAACTTACTTTTTTGTTGACTTATTTTACATGCTAGCTATGTAAATGGTTGTGACTAACGAAAATGAGCTCCCCAGGAGAAAGCAAAACTATACTGATGAAAAAAGCAGTCAAACAGCTCATAAACAATGAACTTCTTTTGGATTCAAATACAAAAATGCTTTTTTTCTCAGCGTGCTAAACTTTTTCTTTTGTGCTTCTAGACCAGACTATCAAAGTCAAGTACAGTAAAAGGAGCAAAAGTGTCAGTAAGATTTTCATTACTTAGCAAACACCTAAGATAAACAACTTATAAATAGAAAAGGTTTATTTGGGCTTAACAGTTCTAGAAGTTTCGGTCCATGAACAGTTGGCCCCATTATTTGGGTGAGGCAGTGAGTCTTGTTGGAAGCACCTGGAGGAGCAAAACTATTCACCTCATGAAATGACCAGGAAGCAAAAGAAAAAGAGGAAGAGATCAAGATTCCATATCCCTTTCAAGGGCAAATCCCTGTTATAGTTTGGATTTGCAAGGGCTCATATGTTGAAGGCTTGTCCCCAGTGTAGCAAGGTTCAGAGGGGAAGCTCTTGGAAAGTGATTGATCTTGAGGGCTTTAACCTCACTATTGGATTAATCTGTTAATGAACTGATAATTTGATGGCATTACTGAGAGATTGTGAAACTGTAGGAGACAGAGCTGAGTTGGAGAAAACAGGTCACTGGGGATGTGCCCTGGAAGAGACTATCTTATCCCCAGCCCCTTCCTCCCTCCCTCTTTCTATCTCTGCTTCGTAGCTGCCATGAGACGAGAGCCTTCCTCTGCTGTGCCTTCTGCCATGATGTTTATACCTTGAAGCCGGCTGATCATAAACTGAAACCTCAGAAACTGTGAGTCAAAATGAGTCTTTCCTTCTAAGTTGTTTTTCTCAGTTATTTTGGCTCATACCCCCATGGCCTAGGACCCACGCGACACTGGAGAGCAAGCCTTTATTACTTGGACCTTTGGAACACACTTAAGATCCAAACAATAGCAGCAAAATATTTTCATACTAAACACACCTCTTCCTGGAGAAAGGTGGGGCCTTGGAAGTAGAAAGACAAACTCTACTTTGTCTCTGATTTTACATACCTGGGGTCAGCTTTGAGGCCCTCCTTGGAATCACTTGATCCCTTCTTTTCTTGTGGTTGCCCCACCATGAAAAAGGTATCCCTGATAGTAGGAAAATCCTCCAGGAGGGCTCTCAGGCTATTACAGTGTGCCATGATCTGACTCCGAAGAGCATAGTGAGACATGTGGCGGTTAAACCTGAAAGTCAGAAGAGATGATGTCCCAAAGGAAAATCCAAGTTGTTTCCCTTCTCATCAAAGTTTCAGCATCTACTTCCCTGGAGGAATAGAGCATCTGTGTCAAAAAGAAATTTCCATGTGGTGTTGCTTGAAAGCAGAGGTATGAACTTCTTCAAAGTACTTTAAAGTGTTCTCTTGGTGCTTTGCATATGAGAGGTCAGTTTAACTTGATTTTATCCAATAGCCATGTGATTTATTTAAACAAAACCAACCTCACTTTTTGTCTGAATTTCTGCATAATACCACTTACTGATTCTTGCATTCAGAACAAATCAGCGTGTGTTATCACATATACAATACTTACTTTTGACAATATTCAATTATAACATCCCTCTTGAGTTTTCCAATTTCATCCTGTGGTAAAAGAAAATGATAGTTCTTCTATTAGATGGTTGGCTATAAGCACTACCCAACCTGGTACATGTGTACAAACAAACTTCAACTTTAAGCAGGAAAAGGCCACACAACTGAGACATTCTTTCTGGAGGTAAGCTTATTGGGATACCCTCTTCTCTGTGTCTCTTCTATCGCATATTTCTAAGTATGTCAAGAATGCAAGGTCCTGATCATTCTACCTGGATCATTTCTCAGGGTTGTGTTTGCAGAGAGCCGTCTTAAGGGATGAGTTAATGTCTCCTTCTAGGAAAATGAGCAAGCTTGCTATAAAAGAGGTGGGTTCCCCAAGCTTAGTGTTTTCAACTATGACACAAACCTAGTGGGCACGTGTAGGCTCCTCCTAGTTGTCCCTGTGGGATTTGGGAGGTAAAGACAACTGACACAAATATAGAACTCATGTTACCTGCTCTGCTGTAAGCAATAAAGTTCTTTGCCTCTGACCTGCAAGTCTTGTGTCTTCTGCTAGCAGGCTAACTTATGAACATGCAAGTAGGCTAAAATCCCAGATCCTAGCAAAACTAACTGATCATTATATTGCATAAATTATTTTTGATCTGTGGGTGTTGGATAATGCTGAAGGATAGTTAATGTTATATTTTCACTCTATCACTATTTTTTGAGAATTGCTTATTAGAAGGGGCCCTTTGCCTCCATGATTATTCATCAGTAGTTAAAATGTCTGGCCTTCATCATACCCATTTGCAGAAGTAGGTTAGGCAAATTTAATTTTTTTTTTTTTTTTTTTTTTTTAGTCACAAGTAAGGACAAAGCCTAGAGATAAACCTCTCATTTCCCACCACAACTATTCATGAGCATAATCATTTCCTCATCAAAATGAATGAATAATAAAATGCTATTCACAAAATTAAGCAATGGTTTTAACTAATTAAAGGTTTGAATTTTATAATATTTTTCAACTGATTAGAGTAGTATGAAAACTCTTAAACAGTAACATGTTGGAAGTATCTCAAAAACCAAGATAATAGGTATCAGAGCCCTTACCCACCTTACCTAAGCCACCCAAACCCAAAACCTACCTCAGGAGTAGATAAATGTTTCAAAGCACGTGCTGAAATGAGCCCGTTTAGAAAATGACAAAACAAAATGTGGCCTTGAAAAACTGTAAGCATTTTTAAAAACCTGACTATAACCTGCTTGAATTTATTCGATTTCTATTGGATTTCCTTTATCGGTTCCTTGTATTTTCAATAGTCCCATCCAAATAGGTTGAAAGCCACAGACCCCAAGTTCAGAAATTTTATTTGCTCAAATGCAAAAGGACTAGAACTGTGGGGAGCTCTTATCTCTGTGCACTCACAGGGCTGTTCATTCTGCCGGCCATGGTCTGTTTCCTGAGGTGAAAGGCGGTCAGCATCATGTCCCGCAGCCCCACCTTTTCTAGTTGAATAGACACAAAAGCCTCTGGAGCCCTGAGAAGTGAACAGAGGCATCTGAGCCAAGGTGGGAGGTAAGAGGACACGTGACACAAGGACAACTCATGTTCTGGGTGTCACAGCAGGAGAGCTCCATGGTTCTCTCTTGCTCCAAGTGTTTCTGATTGTTCACCAAAGATGTTGATGTGCTCCAGGCTTCTTGGAGACATATAATGCCTAAACCATACGACAGCCGTCCCTTCTTGATCCCAAATATCAAGCCTGGCCCAATGTGCCCTTTACCTGAACTGAAGTGGTCTCCACGGGTCCCCTTGACTAAACACACTGATCTTAATCTTCTATCCACACATTGGGAATGTGGACTGAAGGCACTTGAACTCTGGCCAAGTCAGTGGCATCTTGAGTAGTAGAGTTGCTTTGCCTGTTTTTTTTTTTTTTTTTCCATTCTAAATTTGCCAGTGTCTAAATTTGTGAGTGTCCTTGGTATGGCTCCAATAAAATACTCAGAGTAATCACAATTATTACAGAATGTAAGCATCATTCTTTCTTTGTCATGGTGAAAAGAATTCAAAACATAGCAGGCCATCCTGATTTATAGACATATCTCTGGAGACCATGCCTCTGTGACCAGTTACCATCTTATTATATAAACAATAGCAAAATCTTTGTTAGAATACAGAGGGAAGTTCTGGGCTTCTCAATTTAAGAGAGTTACGGAAAATTTAGAGTGTCCTATTAATGTCTTGCTTGCAAAAAGAGTATAAACAGGGATAGGGTTGTAGCTCAATGGCTGAGCACTTCTCTCACATGCATGAGGCACTGGGTTCGATAATCAGCACCACATTAATAAATAAATATATGAACAAAGATATTTTTTAAAAAAGAGTATGAACAATTACAGAGAAAGAGGAGAGAGTGAAGGAAGGGAAGAGAAAGAGAAAAGAGGAGAGAGACAGAGAGTTAGAGGGACAGAGAGTAAAGAAGAGGCTTAAATTAAGACCAGGTGACTTTCTTTCATAGACTAGGGTATACTGGAAGGAGCTGAGCCTTCCCAGTGTTCACACAGGTCTTCATATGAGGCTCTTAAAGAAATAAAACACATACTAGTTACTCTGGGAGTTTAGGCTTCTTCAATCCCATAACACAATATTATCAATTGAATTAAAAGAGGATAATTTTATTATCTTAAACAATCCTCCCATAAGGTACAATACCTTTTGGTCCTCTGAAATCTTTCTGAAGAGTGCGTAAGGTTATTTGGGACTTTTGGAGTTGGGGATAACAGTAAGCTTTCGGTGTCATTCACAATTCTGGAATTTCTTCTTCTGGTTGGACTCATTCTGCCATGATTTTTCAGTTCTGCACTTACTTCCTAAAACATTTTAAATCACAGTGAATTAAATTGGTTAGATGTGTAAGTGCTCCCTATAAAATTACATCACAGCCACAACTGACCCCAAGCACAAGTAATGCCTGAGTAAGTGGGAGGAGGAGAAGGGGGAGAGGAAGAAGAGGAAAAGAGATACCACTTTGCACAACAAAGGGCTGAGGCACTAAGGAGGACTATTTTCAGAATAGACTACTGTTGTCTAAAGTGCTATAAGAAAATTCTCCATTCTACAAAGTGGTTAGGAGTAGTGTGCTATGTGGAATAACCTTTCAAGAAATAATGCTGATGGATTTCACAGCTATAAGATCTGGAAGATTCCCTCAGGGCACCTAAGCAAATGGAGGTGGGATTTAAATGCTGCCTTGCCAATCCTCAATAAATGTTGGCAAGGATATGGTAGAAAATGTACACTCATACATTGCCAGTGGGACTGAAAATTAGTGCAACCACTGTGGAAAGCAGTATGGAGAATTCTCAGAAAACCTGGAATAGAACCACCATTTGACCCAGTCATCCCACTCCTCAGTTTATACCCAAAGGACTTAAAATCAGAATATTACAGTGATGAAGCCACATAGTAGCTCAACTCACAATAGCTAAACTATGGAACCAACCTAGATGCCTTTCAACAGATGAATGGATAAAGAAACTGTATATACACAATGGACTATTACTCAGCCTTAAAGAAAAACGAAATTACGGCATTTGCTGGTAAATGGATGGAACTGGAGAATACTATGCTAAGCGAAATAAGCCAATCCCAAAAAACCAAAAGCTGAATGTTTTCTCTGATATGCGGATGATAATTCACAATGAGGATGGGGGAGAATATTGGTGTTTTGGACTAGACAGAGGGGAGTGAAGGGAGGAAGGGGGCATAGGGATAGGAATGATAGTAGAATGAATCAGACATTATTACCCTATGTATGCACATAAGATTACATGACCTGTGTAACTCTACATCATGTACAACCAGATGAATGAGAAGTTATACTCCATTTATGTATGATGTATCAAAATGCATTCTACTGTCATGTATAACTAATTAGAACAAATAAAAAATATTAAAAATTAAATAAATGCTACCATGCACCCGTAGCTATGAAGGAGGGAAAGAAGAGGTGAGGGAGGGAAGTGGAAGGAGGGAGGGGTGAGGAAGGAGGGAAGGAGGGGTAGGAAAGAAAAAAAGGAAAATGAGTATCTTCCAGCTCCATTTGTTATGGAGCTGTGAGGCACAATGAACGGTATAGTTTTCTAAACTACTGACGAAAGAAAAAAGCTAAATCTTCAAAGGAAAGTCCATTCTTCTTCTATGGAAGAATCAAGGAGATCCCTATATCAGAATTACTAAAGGAGACGGAAAAAGAGTGAGGCAAAAAGAAAAAAAAAATCCTGGGTAGAACATCTTAAGAGTTTCCAACCTTATTTTTTTCCCCAAAATCCTTGGAGTCTTCCAGTCTGCGGGAAATAGGAGTCTCTACCAGCTCAGGAAACTGGGGAGGTCCTACAAGGTTGTGAGTGGGAAGAGAGGGAAGAGTCCTTGCTCTGCAGGAGATTCTGATACTGGCACTTCACAGGTGACCCTGTCTCTCTTCCTTCCCCTCTCAGAATCTGCTTCCTCACCTGGAACCAAACCCATCCCATGGGGCTGGAGAGGATTCCATGAGCCCACGTAGTTCCATCACTTAGCTTCCTGCCAGCCTGCACCACAGGAGCTCCTGATCTCCTCACGGCACTCTCCCTTCAGTTCCATCTTCAATTCCTTCCTCTTTTTCCAACTCCTTCCTACAAATGTGTCCACCTCTCTCATTCTTCCTTATTTCTCCTACTCCCTCAACTTTCCTCCTCAATTCTGACCAAACTTCTTAAAGAACTGCTATGGGCCGTTTGTGTCCTTCTAAAATTCACGTGTTCAAGTTTTAACCCCCAATAGGATGGTGTTTGGAGATAGGTGGAAAATTTAAATGAGGTCATGGAAGTAGGGCCCTAATCCAATAGGGCTAGTGCCCAATGACAAAGGGCAAGAGACCTCAGCACTCTCCCTTCCTTTCTTCCCCCTGAGGCCAGGGGACAAAAAGATAGTCAGTGTAGGGAAGGAATGTTTGGGTCAGAAAATTACCTCCAGAGCACTTCCCCCTCTTCCTACTGTTGCCAAGGTGACCTGCCTCCAGAGAATTGCGCCTCCTTGCAGGGAGTTGTAGAAGTTGTTAATTAATGCCCCCTGGGCTGCTCCCTTCCTGCCTGGATCAATCCACCTTTGGCCCACCTTCTGGTCACTTGTCACTTATGCAGGATGGTGGGAGAGAGGCCATGAAAAGAGGAATTCTAAAATGTATAAAAGGGGCAGGACACTCCCACTTCCTCAGACAACCAGCTCTGGGGTCCCTTCTCCGCAGAGAAGTCTATCTTTGTCCCATCCTTTAATAAAACTTGCGTTGTACACTTGCCTCTGCATTTCTTAGGTGTTCAGTCTTCACATCTGGGGAAACAGGACTTGGCCCTGATGGATTCTCCTCACCCGCATCACTACCACCCTCTTCACTCCTTGATAAGAGAACACAGCAGAAGGCCACCATCTGCAAGCCACAAAGTCAGCTACACACCAGAAACCAACCATGATGGCACTTTGATCTTGAACTTCTCACCCTGGAACTGTGACAAGGTAGATTTCAGTGGTTGAAGTCACCTAGTCTGCAGTGTTCTATTGTGGCAGTATGAGCAGACTGATGCAAGAGCCATAAATACACACTCCTTGGACACTTCTGTCAGCCTCTTGCTCCTTAACTCTGGCCCTCTCTGGAGCTTTTACTTCAAACCAATTAGTAGACTTGCTCTGGAGTTAGTAGAGCAAGTGACCTTTTGTGAAGGTTAATGACCTCATTTTAATCCCTAACCATCTAGGTTTTACCTCTCCATTCAAACTTACAGAATTCTTTCTTTCTAAAATAATAACTTTATTGAGAAATAATTTACACTTAATAAACATCACATGTTTAAAGTGTAAAATCAGATAAGTTTGGACAAATTTATTCAACTGTAAAACCATTATCACAATCAAACTAATCACCACAGCCATCCTTCCCACCTGCTCCCTTCCCTGGTCTGCTTTCTTTTCTTTCTTTTTTTTTTAAATTTGGTACTAGGAATTAAACCCAGGGATACCTTACCACAGAGCTACATCTCCAATGCTATCTATCTATCTATCTATCTATCTATCTATCTATCTATCTATTTTTTAAATAGTTTCTCAGTTGTTGAGGCTGGCCTTGAACTTGTGATCTTTTTGCCTCAACTTCCCAAGTTACTGGGATTCTGACACATACCTCTGCACACAGTAGCTGCTCTGCCTTCTGAAACTTTAGGTTCAAATGAATTTCCTACAATTTTGCATAAATAGAGTCATACAGTAATGCTCTTTTTGGTTGGACTTCATCCATATTTTTGTACATATCAATGATTTCTTTTTATTGTCTACTAGTAGTACATTGTAGGATGTATCACAATTTATTTATCCATTCCACCGTTCATGGACATTTGAGTTCTTGGCTATAATGAATGTAGCGTCTATAAACATTTTTTTTTTTTTTGTACAGACACATACACTCATTTCTCTTGGTTACATACCTAGGGATGGAATGGCTGGATCACATTGTACGTTTATGTTTAACTTTTTAAGAAATTGCCAAACCATTTTTCAAGGGAGTTGTACCATTTTTTTTTCCTACTAACGGTGTACTAGAGTTCCAGATCCTCAACATCCTTGCCAACGCTTGAGATGGTCAGTCGGAAACCTTAACCATTCAAATGGATGTGAAATGTTTCTCAGTGGGTTTTAATTTGCATTTCTCTAATGACTAATCATGTTGAACATCTTTTCATATTTGTCACCTACATCTTTGGTGACTCATTCTTTCTTGAAATATCTCCTTTGATTTTGTGTTCTCTCTCTCTTTTCTCCTCCTTCCCTTCCTTTTGTCCCCTTTTATTGTATCCAGAATTTATTCCTGCTGGTTTTGTCACCACTCCCCTTCTTGTCCTGTGATTATAAGAGAAGCTACACACATATTACCTGCGTATGTTATGTGTGTGTATGTGTATGTGTGTATACACCCCCACACACACATTCACAGTATACTTTTATGAAGGAGTCACAAAATTCACTTTAACAGAATTAAAATAGACATGAACACTTCCTGAAAGAAGTAATAACTGGGTTGAGTTGAATACTGGAGGATGAGTAGAATCTTATAAATAAAAGCAAAGGGGCAGGGTAGACTGTTGAAAGGAAAGGAAAAATATTATGGGGAAATCTGAACAGAACCATGGAGATGTGAAACAGCATAAAATATTTAGGGCCCTTAGAGTGCAGGGGAAGTGGCAGGATTGGAAGCTGGGGCCAGGTAGTGAAGACCATGCATACATAGCTAGGGAGGTTGAGCTTTACTATTTGGACTACAAAGAGTCACTGAAGGCGTGGATACTTTGGTCACTGTGTGAAGGGGAAATCTGACTGGAGGCAGATATGGTGGTACAAGGCAAGGGCCCAGGAGGTGGAGGCTAGTTCAAAGGCCATTATAACCATAAAAAATGAGATAATGAAGGCTGGGGATATAGCTCAATTCGAGTGCTTGCCTCACATGCACAAGGAACTGAGTTCAATCCCCAGCACCACACACTCACAAAAATAATGAGAGTTTAACCTAAACTGGAGGGAAGCAGGTATAATGCAGATGGAGAAAAGGGGCATATTCAATCAATATTTACAATATGATATTGGTAAGAGTTAGTGATCGAGTGTATGATCCAAGGTCACTTAACCAAGAATGGAAATACTAAAGAACCATATGGGAGAGAAATGAGTTCCCTTTGTACATGTTGAATTGAGATGCCTATGGGATACCCAAAAAAGGTTGTCTAGCGGGCACTTGGACACCCAAGTTTGGGGCTTAGTAGAGAGATTCTATGAAGTGATGTATTTTTGAAAGTTGATCATGTATTGGTTTAGGATATACAGGTTTTAAATCTCAAGAGGTGATGAGAATAGCCATGGAGGACAGGTAAAGGAAGAGCCAAGGTATTCTGAGGCACAATAGAGGGAAACACCAACATCTAAGAGCTGGGAGAGAAGAGAGGTCCCACTCCAAGAGACTGAGAAGGAACAATCAAAGAGACAGAAGAGAGCCAGGAGACAGTGGAGTCAGGCAAGCCGAGGAAGGAGAGCCTCAAGGATAAGGTGGTAGTCAACAGCATTAAATGGAGGGAAGAAGTCAGGTCAAGTTGCTAAACGGCATCTTCTGGGTTAATTAATAAGAAAGTCAAGGCTGAATCTAGTGAGAGGGGTGATGGAGGAGGGATTGCAGCTATAGTAAATGGGGTGTTAGTACAGGAAGACAAGGAGTTAAAAACTATCCTTTCAGTAAACATAAATGTGAAGAAGAGATCCTAATCAGGGTACTGGCCAGAGAGGCACATAGAAGGACAAGGACAACAAGCTTTATGGGAGAGGATGAAAACAGTTCAGCCTGTCCACAATTGGAGAGTTGAAAGTGAAGTAGAGAAAGCAGGTAGCTGATTGTAAGGAGCATCTTCCATAGACATTCTGGGACATGCTGGGACTCACTAAGTTGGTGGCCATAGGAACAGCAGCCATTGAACTGCTTAGTCCTGTCTGCTTGTAATTGATGAAGAGCTGTGAGGGGCACTGGCCATAGACATGCTTAGCGATGACTGGTTACAATTGATAGGGAGCACAGCTCCGTGGACATGCACAAAGAACATGTCCAACTGCAATTACATCACCTCACTGAACATAACCAATGGACATTGACTTTCACTATAACCAATCACCAACATACACCACCAACTTGGAACTGTATTTAAATTGCTGGTCCTGCCACATTGAAGAGTTTTGCTCCAAGGACATCAGTGAGGCTGGCTGTCTTGCTGTCCATCTCTGGACTGGCTCCACCCTTCCCTGATGTCCAGCCATTGACTGGAAAGAACCACCAGACAAGGACAACATCTGCTCTTTGGCTAAAAGAAGTTGCATGGCATCGGAGGTATTTTGGGACTCTTAGTTGCCCTGGGATTGTGTGATTTGCTTATAGTGTTTAATTAGTGTGCTTTGAATGCTAGTTGGGGTGCTCCTGCACACCCAACACTTTTTGCATTAATTGTTTATATTTAATGATTGGTGTGATTAAATATATGCTTGCATTTAAAGACAATCCACCTCTGAATAATTATTAATAGCACCGCTCGCCATACTGATGAAGCAAGGTCTCAGAAGAGTTGGGAGCAAATGAATCAAGAATATACCCTATAGGTAGGGCCCGGCACATGGTGCATGCCTGTAATCCCAGGGATTTAGGAGCCTGAGGCAGGAGGATCACAAGTTTGAGGCCAGCCTCAGCAACTAAGCAAGGCCATAAGCAACTTAGTGAGACCCTGTCTCAAAATAAAAAATTAAAAGGGCTGGGGATGTTGCTCAGTGGTAAAGTCTCCTGGGTTCAATTCCCGGTACGGGAAAAAAAGAAAGAAAGGAAAAAAAAAAAAAAAAGAATCTAGGTGATAAGGATCCAACTGGCAAAAGAAATACTTGAAACTCAGAAGGTGGAGGGAAGCAGGTATAATGTACTCAAACTTGGGAATGTGGTTGTGGGAACCCCAGTTTGTAGCCAGTCAGCCAGAAGTTCTGGTGGTCCAGACTTGTGACTGGATCTGAAATGGGAGCAGTCTTGGGACTGAGCCCTCACCTGTGGGATCTGATGCTACATTCGGGTAGATGGTGTCAGAACTGAATTGAATTAGAAGATGCCCAGCTGGCGTCCTCTGCAGAATTCATTGCTTGCTTGCTGGTGGGGAGAAGTCCCCACACCTTTTGGGGTCACAGGGTGATTTTTCTTGTGAGTATATAGGATGAGAAACTGAATCTAAGTTTGTTTTTCCTACACAGAGAGGAAAGAGGAAAAAAGGGACTAAGAGGAGAAAGGGAGGAAAGGAGGAAGAAAAGGAAAGAACAAGTCCAGTTGCAATTACATCACCTCACTGGACATAACCAATGGACATTGACTTTCACTAAAACCAATCACCAACATACAAAGAAGGAGGGAGGGAGGGAGGGAAAGAAGGGAGAGCTGGTGATAGCCGCAGCCTGAGTCTGGCTTCTGCATTATGTAGGCTGACCTTGACATCAGCAGGACAGCCCACTGTCCTGTGATAGAAGGATGCTTGTTGAACTGCCACCATCAAAGCATTTTTCTGAGCAGCTTGACATGCGAGGGTCACTTGCATATTTTCCACTCCAGACTGGGACAAGAGCTGAAGGAAGAAAATGTGAAAGGCATTAGGAATTGCTTCCATAAATCGGCGAAGTTGAAGGTTGAGATCATCACTTATTCAACATATAAATTCATGTATGAATTTAACTGCAGGATGAGCTGGGATCCTTGTTCCTCAGCCACGAGACTGAGTCTGCTCTCTCCCCAACAGCATTTCATCCCAGCAAGGCAGTCCTTAGGCCTGGTTTGTCCTGTACCGGGACACCATGAGGTTTCCCCAGTGGTCAGGAAAGGATGGGCAGGCTCTGATGAAGTACAGTGGTGGGCTCTGGTAAGCCAAGATTAGATCCATGGTAAAAGAAAAGAAAAGAAAAATCCAAAAACACATAGAGAAGCAAAGAAATCCAACTGTTGGGGCGGGGAAAACCCATCTAGTTTAAAAAGGTCATATAAAAACTCCAAATAATAAGTGTATATTTCAAAAGCCTGATGCAAAGATGGCCCTCTACATGTGCTTCTTTTTTCTATCTAAAGAAGCCATTATACACGTGTTGCTGTCTACATGGTTCAAACCAGGTCAATGTGCAAAGGACAAGGCGATACCATTGTTATTACCAATGAAGTAAAGCATTTCTTAAAAATGGAAGTCAATATATATGAATTAAATATTGATTTAAAAAACACATAAGCAAATTCTTTATTTTGCTTCAGTTTCTTTTGGAAAAAATAAATAAATAACTGACCTTAAGGATGGCTTCTTTCGTATAAAAACTAAATTTGCCAACTTGGTTATCATCCACCTCAGAGATGGCTAAGGCAAGTGTAGTGGGAGAATATCTGCAAGAAGAAATATGAGGTTGTTTTGATGTGTCATAGTATGTGTCATGAGATGCCCCTTCGGATGGCACAAATGGCATGAGATCAGATCTGGAACATCAGCAGCACCAGCAATTGTGGGTTTTATATAAGATATTTCAACCTTAAAACTGGAAGGGCTCACCAGATGCAGTGGTGCACACCTATAAACCCAGTGGCTCAGGAGGCTGAGGCAGGAGGATCGTGAGTTCAAAAGCCAGCCTCTGCAACAACGAGGTGCTAAGTAACTCAGTGAGACCCTGTCTCTAAATAAAATACAAAATAGGGCTGGGTGTGGCTCAGTGATTGAGTGTCCCTGAGTTCAATTCCTGGTCCAAAAACCTGTAAGGCCTCTGGAGTCTTTTCAGTCCTTACTCTGCAGTTTGGTCGTGGTAACCATTCCATGTTTGAAATTCTTTTCTCCTGATCCCTCCTATTTTCCTCCCACCTTCTTGACCGAGCCTGCTCAGGACACCTTGCTGACTTCCTCCTTGGAACACACTCTCTTGTGGTTCCAAAAGTCACCCAAATATTCTTTGCAGTCACATTTTCATCTTGGGACATGGTCTATTGTCTATAACTATGAGATTTTGTTGGGTAATTTAATATCAGTCAATTTTGTTTCCTCCTGTGTAAATGAGGATATTGCTCATCTCATAGGGTCATGGAAATACAAAACAGAGTAGTGTGCGTAAATGTGCTTTTTAAAACGGAAGTCACTATTCTCATATCTGGCATATGCAGTTGTTACAGTGGCCCTCCAAAGTGGTGGCTTCATGGAATTAACATAGATAACATAATATAAACTCAAGACACAAGTGCCCTAGATGCATGCACCTCCCCCCTGGTGAGTCAGAAGGCTCCTCTTGTCTTGTAGCATCTCTGGATCATCACTGGGAGGACCAATCACCACCTGACCAGAGCACAGAACACTCAGGCAGTTTGTGCTGATTGGTGGATTCCAGCTGAACAAGAAGGTCTCCTATTTTCACAGCAGGAGGCCCTTGAGGAACCGGTAGATACCCTGGCTTCCGACTTGACTTTTGTCAGTTGGAGACCTGAGCCTGACCACACTTCCTGCCTTGGCTTCTGTGGCATAGCTCTGTATCGTCAGTGCATTCTGGGTTTGGTTTAACTAGTGACAAAATAGAGTCAGGGAGATTTGCCTCCAGGGCATTATTTGGCAATGTCTGGAGACATCTTTGATTGTCAGGAAGAGCCAAAGGGTGGGGGTTGGGGGAGGATAGAATATGTGGTGGGGGTACTACTGTCATCTAGTGGGTGGAAGTCAGGCAGGCTCCTAAATTATCTAAGACACACAGGATGTCCCCCTCCCCCAAGGAAGACTTATCCAGTCCAAAATTTCCACAGTGCCTTGGGTAATCTGGGGGTATTGTATTCTACCATCCTAACCCTTTTTGTTCCAGCCACACACTGAGGAGTCCTTTAGCATGTCAATATAATTAGAGCAGTGATCCACATTAGCAAAACTAGGGTGATTCCCTCCTGGGAGTCACCTTTGCCTTCCCTGGGGCAGAGCTAAAACCAGAAACCTCCAGGGAGACAGCTGGGACCCTAGGGGAAAGGGCAGATTAGCAGAGAAGGCAAGAAGAGAGAGGCAGAAGTTTCTCCTCCCCACACATTAAAGGCTGCCTCTGTATAAGGAAGAAGATTCCTTCCCCCAACTCAGTAGATTCAAGGTCTGTAGCTGATAAACGGGGTTTCTTTCTGGCAATGTGCTTGACATGGCAGATGGGGCATAAGAAAAAGAATTTAGAAGTGCAATTCATCTTGTTTGTCCATGGGTGAAATAAATTGTCCCCACTGGTTGTTTATTCCACCATTATAGTAAATTTTTTTTTTTTTTCACTCTGGCCCTCCCAGGCTCACCTGTCTAGCTGACCACTGTGCTCCAGCAGAGACGTTATAAAGGCAGGAGGTGGTTGGTCCACTTTGTCCCTGGGTGATGCAAATTCAAAGTGAACGGGCCTCAGATATAAATGGAACTCTTCAAACCCCATCTCCTCAGCCAATTCCTTATAGTGCCTAAAAGAAAAGGAGAGCCAAGGCCATGTGTTAATATTTTCTCCTGAAGGAAAGTAATCATAATAAAACCAAGACACTTAAAAAAGCACAGAAGCAAAAAAATCAAACAAAAGTTGGCCAAATACAGTGTGGGAAGTGAATGAGCCCCCCCCCCCCACCAAGGCCTTGTGTTCTGCTCTTGCTGTGACCACTGCGGGCTGCAGAACACAGTCAAAGTAGAAGGAGATGCACTTGGGCACTTCCACCACTCTCATTTCCTCCAGGTTGGTTTCTGTCCCCAGAGCCCTCACGAGGTCACCAATGTCACTCCCCATTCAACATTCACCATTTTCTCGCGGTGCATTTCCTGGCTGGCCTCTCTACCCTGTCCTTGAAGAAAACATCTGTGCTGTCCCAGATCCAAGATCACTATGCTCCTGCTCCTGCCCAATCTTTCTCATTTTCAAATTCTGGTGTTTCCTGAGTTCTAGACCTGACCTTCTTCTCATTTACTGCATCCCCTCCTTGAGCCGACTATCCAACCCCAGGCCCTAACATCACCCCCTCTTGTAAGACTCTGTGACTCCCATGTCTAACTTGACTCAACTCTCAGCCCCAGTCCCAGGTTTCCATGGCTTGCAGTGTGGCAGATGCCAGGTGGCCCTCTGGCATCTCAGCCTTACATGTCTACAATGTTCTCCCAGTCTCCACACCCCTGTTCTCACACATTTCTCATCTTGAGAAGTTGATGCAGGAAGTTCAATTGGCACCTGTGTCAGTTTGCTCAGGTTGCTGTAATGAAGTGCCACAGAAACACACAAAGTGCTTAGTAGCTTAAACAACAGAAATATATTGTCTCAGAGTTCTGGACAATAAATGTCTGAGATCAAGGGGGACAGTGGAATGAACCTGGCACAACCTTCTGATGTACATATATGAATACACCACAATCAATCTCCATATTATGTACAACCACAAGACTGGGATTCCAATTAGAATAAGATGTACTCCATGTTTGTAAAAATATGTCAAAATACATTCTACTGACATGTATATCTAAGCAGAACAAATTTTTAAAAATAAAGAAAAAAAATGGAGTTCATATGAGTATATAACTCCACATCATGTACAACCACAAAAATGGGAAGTTATACTCCGTGTATGTATAACATGCCAAAACACACTCTACTGTCATTAATATATATATTAATTGTTTTAAAAAGATGCCTGGCAAGGTGGTGCATGTCTGTAATCCCAGCTTGGGAGGCTGAGGCAGGAGGATCATGAGTTCAAAAGCCAGCCTCAGCAACTTAGCAAGGACCTAAGCAATTCAGTGAGACTCTGTCTCTAAATAAAATATTTTTTAAAAGGGCTGGGGATGTGGTTCTGTGGTTAAGCACCCATGGGTTCAATTCCTGGTACCCCCCCCCCCAAAAAAAAAAAGGCCCTCATCAGATGCAGATGTAGCCTCTCAACCTTGGACTTCCCAACCTCCAGAACCAGGAGAAATAAATCTCCATTCTTTATAAATTCCCAAGTCTCAGACATTCTGTTATAGCAGCACAAAACAGACGAAGAGACCAGGTAATGGGATATCATGGTAAACAATGTGGACAGGGCTTTTTGCATTCAGGGAACAGATGCTAGCAGAAAAACTAGTAAACCAGTATTAAACATCAATTAAAAAGTCATGTGCTATGGATGGGTGCGGTGGCGCATGCCTGTAATCCCAGCAGCTTGGGAGGCTGAGGCAGGAGGATCGTGAGTTCAAAGCCAGCCTCAGCAACTGTGAGGCCCTAAGCAACTCAGTGAGACCCTGTCTCTAAATAAAATACAAAATAGGGCTAGAACATGCTAGGTGATCACTTTAGCCAATTAGAACACTCACTCTGGGGCAAGGCTTATAGATGGGGAGGCCCGGGCCTGTCATTTATTCCCCTCATTTTGCTGTAATGCTCACGTTTCACCTGGCTCCTTGGTCCCCCTACTAACCGAGCTAGGTGTGCACTCTCAAGACTCATTGCAATCAGACGGTGGTGGAGGGTCAGGAGTTCCAGAAGTTTGGAAAATGTCTCCAGGAGCAGCATGTGAGGATGTTGGCCCTGTTTCTGTCCTTCGTCTGTTGCGGATGTGAGTGCAAGCAGGCCTGTCTCTTCCACGAGAAAGGGATCTCCCATCACTCTAGCTGAAAACAGCTGAAAGAATGCAAAGTACCTTTCAAAACACACACACAAAAAAAGACTTCATTTTTTTTTTTTTTTTGAAATGCTGTCATTGCATAGACTCTGGGTCCAGATTTCCTGAGCTCAAGTCCCAGCCCTGATACCATCTCTGTAAAGTAGGGATAAAAATAATAACAATATCTACTAGTTACTACCAGATAATAACTACCTAATAGAGCTGTGTTAATGTATACAAAGACATTTGTTGTTATCATTATTATAAATGTTTTCAGTCTAAATAAAGACAACAATAATATAAATAGAAAAATAAGTCCCTGACCTTAAAAATTATTTTTGTGGCCAATAATTTTTTATAAATCCCTCTAATTGCAGTTTCAAAATTTCAAGTATTTACACATATTAACTCATTTTTATTTTTGCCAGACACTCTCCCGCCCCAGGAATTAGGCACCACAGACACCATTATCCACCTTTGCCAACAAGGAATCAACAACATTGACAGCACTCATACACGTTGGCATCCAATTCTCTAGTTGCATATTTTTCCCATGTATGGAGCCTGTCACTTGATGTCTTACCATAATCTAGTGCTTATAATTAAAACATAACTCAGTAATCTCTCTCTTCTCCTCCCCTCTATACCAGGCCCAGGGTATCTGGAGTAAACTGAGCTTCCTAATGCCGTGTCCAACAGTTTGACAGGACACCCAACTGTCCTCACAGGACTCCTTCCCCATACTTAGAGCTTGCCATAGGTAATCTGTGAAGTAACAAAATGTCCTTTAATGCCATGTGGTACCTCCCTCATGGGTAACTCTGCTCTGACATCTTTGTTGTCCCCTAAGGTACCACCCCCAACAAGGACTAAGTTTGGGGACTCTCTATCTGCCTTTCCTGGTTTGGTCCCCCAAGGTACACTAGCTTCCTCATCTACCCACTTATCTGCCAAAGGATGTTGTACTCAGGATGTCTTTCCTAGACCCTTGATGTCCTTTAACAGGATACCAAAGAAGTATTAAATTCTTGTATGTCTTCTAGGCGTAATACTTCCCACATTTTTTAACCTAATACAAAAAATCTGGCTGAATATTTAGCATTTCTAACTACAGATTTGAACACATTTCAAAAATGATTATTAAGGGCTGGGGGTGTCACTCAGAAGGTAGAGCACTTGCCTACCATTTGCAAGGCCCTGGGTTCAGTCCCTGGTACCAAAAATAATAATGATGATAATAATAATAATAATAAGGTATCAATAGGAGACTAGACAAATATCCCAGATATTCATTATGATTTATAAGAAAATTTCAAATATATTTTAAAAACACAGCACCATAAGACAATGTAGAAAGAATCTTCAGTAAATGATAGTAAAATAAATGGCTGATAGTTTGAAGAAAAACTCAATTTTGATTCATACTTTACACACACACACACTTGAGTGAAATAGTAAAGGAGTTAAATATTTTAAAAACAAAAGCAAACCTGTAAAATTAGAATAAAATAAGAAAATTTGAAACATTGGAGAAAGATTTTCTCACTGCATCTAGAAGGATAGAGGAAATCACAAAGGAAATGATCAACAGATTTGACTAAATGAAAATAAAAATTTTCTGTTAAAAGACAAATGGGGGAAATATTTGCAGAAAATATGATAGACATATGATAGAAAAGCTCATGTAAGTGGATAGGAATGGCATTAGGATTCCAACAGAAAAATGAACAAAGAACAGAAATGTTGCAAAGATTATAACTAATAACCAAACATTTGCAAAAATAATCTCAATAAATAGCAATGTAAATTAAAATCATATTGTCACTATACGTTTAGGTTAGATGAGCACATGCATTGTGTGTTTTCACCAAATCCGGCCCTCTGTTGGTAGCAACATAAATTGGCACAGCTCTTTCAGGAAATAATCTGCCAATTTGCATCCAAAGATTTAAATTTCATTTCAGCAATTCCACTTCCAAGAATCTATCAAAGGAATCAGTTCAAAATTCGGAAAAATCCCTAAGCATAAAGATGTACTTCTTTGTGTTTTTAATAATGATGAAAAACTGGAAGCCACTCAAATGCCCATCAGTAGGGAAATGGGTAGAGTGGTCATAATTCATTACATAAGAGAATGATGTGGTCATAAAGGTGAGTGAAAAGACTAGTTAGTAACACGGGAAAATATATAGTATAATATTCACTAAGAAAAATAGAAGATAACAGTGTATGAAAGATATGTTTGTAATTATGTCAAACAGGCATGTGAAAAATACATGAACTCAGAAAAATATTGAGTGTATTTGAGTGGTTAAATTTTGTTTTCCCTCTTTTGCTAAATTCTCTTTAATTTTATATTATTATTTTATATTATCTAATAAATTTTAAATCACATCAAGTCTTAGTTTGGGAGGGGGAGGATAAGAAGATAAGACAGAAACATGGAGCAGATGTTTTTCTATCATATAGCAAGTGCCCCACAGAGTAACGTCAAATTGGAAACCCAGGCTCAATCTTGATAGACTTAGTAGAAAAGAAAAGAAAAGAAAGAAAGAAAGAGGATTAAAATCCAACTAAGGATACCATATAAATCATTAGGCCACAGTTAGAATCACTGGGCATTAGAAAAAAGGACTTTCAAGGTCATCAAGCTTACCTCTGTTAATTTCTCCCCAAATATACAAACATAAAATTTCAAGAAAAGTAGGGCTCAGAAAGGCTAAAATAGTTGCCCAGACTCAGCAGGTTAATGGTAGGATTCAATGGGGAAGTCCAAAAACTTAGTATTCTGTCTCCTCCACCAGAATTTGACTCAAGACAAACAGAGCAAATTCTAAGAAGAGTCTTAGAAGAAAATATGTAATTTTTAATAAAAACATGTTTTGTTGTAAATAATAAACCGGAAAATATTTTCCCATACCTACATAATCTCCATTTTAATTTTAATTGTAGCAGCAGTCTTATAAACTAGAAACTTTAGACCAAAAAAAGAAAAATCACATAAAATTATTGGCAAGGCCTAGCACTGTGATCTATCTCTGGCCAAAAAGAAGGGTATAGAGCCAAGCAGAAAAACAGAGCTAAACAGTAACATCTGGAAGGAAGTGTTCTCTTGCCAAGAACCCAAACTACCCCCTGCAGAAGGAACCCACATCTTTCTGGAGCTGTTCGCTGTACCAATTCTCGGGCTTGGTTGGCGCGAGCCACAGGTTCAAAGCCAGTTGCAGGATGTGTCGCTCCAGCGAGGCGAGGCCACTGGGTGATGTGGGCCTGCAGGTGTGGCAGGCCTCACTGAACAGGTGCTCCAGGGCTTTGGGGACCAACCCTGCCAGGCCCAGGGAAGGGTGGAACTCCAACAAATAAATGTTTTTCAAATCTGGGCTTAAAGAGAGAAAAATTGAATGGTAATCTTATGCAACAAAGATATTTGAATTTTAGATTTTTAAAGACCAATGATATAGCTTCTATAGATCCAGAGCATTATAAAGAACTAGGAATCCAGAGGGACCTCAGAGGCCATCCAGGGTTACATATATTTTCTTTGCTTTAACAGAGACCCTTTAAAAGGGAAATAAATAGGCATGTATTCTAAAAGCTCTAAAAGAGTAAGATTATATATGATCCTGGTGCTGTTTTGTGCACTGATAGTCCCAGGACTTGGAAGGCTGAGGAAGGAGGATCACTTGAATCCAGGAGTGCAAAACCAGCCTGGCCTATACATAGTGAAAGCCATCTCAAAATAAAAGATGTCAAAATTGTCAGCCATTCAGTCATCAATATCTAGTCAGATATCTGAAAACAAAATAAAATTTAAAAATAATTTTCATGGTTATAAGTTTCTCTTTTTCACTTGAATTTTTATCTTCCCCTGCCAAAAATGTTAATGGACAAAGACAATTTTAAACTTTTGTATTCAACTGCTGGAATTATTCATACTTGTGGCAAGAATGTTATATTTCAGAAACAGAGGCCAGAAACAATAAAATGCTTATCTGTGAGTTATTACTACTTTGGAAATAAAGGCTCTAGTACAAGACATTTACATAGAACCGAAGGACATAAATGTTTCCCTTTAAACTCATGCAAATGGAATTCTCCTTAGTCCTGGATCTTAAAAAAGACAGCCCCAAATCCAGAAAGGATACTCATCAGACAAGTAACATTTGCATCTGAGACGATTCTGACAGGTTTTAGTATCCATATAACCTTAGCCAAAAATCATTTCCTGAATGGTAGATTCTCACATAGCAAGCTGTATACACAGCTGGAGTCTCAAGTTCATTACAGTGAAGATATCAGTCCTGAAAAAGTGCTAGGGAGAAAAGGCAGAGTTTTGCATCCGAAGCTCCCAGCTGTTTCTGAAGAAATGAGGTTAGAATCTCAGCTATTAATTCCCTCGGTACTGTGCCTGTGCCCAAGATGATACCATAGCCCATTATGGCAATTTCTTACATAAACTCTGTCATTCCTATAGACACCTCCCAGGAGCCTAGGGCTATGCCTGTGCTCACAGCTGTGTCCCCAGCTCCTGGCACACTGCCTGGTGCAACAAGTCTTTGTTGGATGTTGAGAGAAGCTAGACAATTTCTCCACCCATTTGAAGGCAGTGGAGAGACTTTGATCTATGAATATACAGGTTAACTTGTGACTTGCCACCCAGTTCCCTTTACCCTCAAAGACTGGAGGGCAGGAGGAGAGAGGGAAGAGTCATAGGGAGGAGGAGACAGAATGTGCACCCTCTCTGAGTAGTCTCAGGAAACTGAACTCTGCCTTAGTGAGTTCACAATAAATGTTGGCAAGGATGTGGGGAAAAAGATTGACTTATACATTGCTGGTGGGACTGAAGTTGGTGCAACTACTCTGGAAAGCAGTATGGAGATTCCTCAGAAAACTTGGAATGGACTCACCATTTGACCTGGTTATTCCACTCCTTGGTATATACCCAAAGGACTTAAAATCAGCATCCTACAGTGACACAGCCACATCAATGTTTATAGCAGCTCTATTTATTTATTTATTATTTATTTATTTATTTGGTCCTCAGTATTGAACTCAGGGGCACTCAACCACTGAGCCACATCCCCAGGGTCTCACTGATTTGCCAAGCACCTCGCCATTGCTGAGGTTGGTTTTGAACTTGCGATCCTCCTGACTCAGCCTCCTGAACTGTTGGGATTACAGGCATGCACCACCGCACCCAGCTATAGCAGCTCAATTTATAATAGCCAAACTATGAAACCAACAACCTAGGTGCCCTTCAACAGATGAATGGATTAAGAAAGTGTGGTATATATACACAACGGAATATTACTCAGCCATAAAGAGGAATGAAATTATGGCATTTACCAGTAAATGGTTGGAACTGAAGCTATCCTGCTAAATGAAATAAGTCAATCCCCCAAAAACAAAGGCCAAATGTTCTCTCTGATATTTAGATGTGCTGACATACAATAAGGGGAGGAGGGAAGAATACAAATTCAGTGGATTAGATAGAGGGGAATGAAGGAAAGGAAGGGGAGATGAGAATAGGAAATATGGTAGAATGAATTGGACATAACTTTCCTATGTTAATATATGAATATATGACTAGTGTAACTCCACACCATGTACAACTGCAAGAATGGGGAGTTATACTCCATGTATGTATAATATGTGAAAATATATTCTATTGTCATGTATATCTAAAAAGAAGAAATAATTTTTTTAAATGGGGTAAGTTCAGAGGTCTCTGCAGTGACACTTGTTAGAAGAGAAAAATTCCTTTTGAAAAACTTTCAAGCACATCCAAGTCAGATATGTAGGCTTATGTGCATTTCAAAAGCAGCTGCCTTTTCCCAAGGACTTTACAAGGGAATGGTGATTCTGTACCTAGTGACCTGCTTAAATCCCAGCCACCTAGTCTTTATTATTTACAAAGCAAAGGGACATTCAATATTCAAGGGAATACCTCTTCTGTGGCTTTTAGACATATATTTCTCATCTCCTCAAATACCAGAGAGGTGCTTCCTAGAGGAGTAGATTTAACATTATGCCCTTCATTAATCTACATTAAATGCAAAATGTAAAGACAACACCAACTTACCAGCTGTTGTTGATGGAAATAAGTTGCTTACAAATGATGTTAAGGGGAAGTCCGAATTTTTTGCGATCATCTGGATGATCATCTCGCCAGAGCCTCTGTAAGTACTCCCGCTGGCGCTCCATCTAAAATGTAGCGGCGTAAAGTGCCACAATGAGAAGAGTTAGACTTTCCTGTGGATGTGAGTTATGAGCCTTCACAGGAGAAGAACATCATCCTTTTGTGTCTCTTTATCATTTGACTAATTTTCATCCTGACATTATGAAGACTCATTGCGATGAGACATACTGGTCTCTCTGTCCAAGCCAAGGAAAGCACAAGCAACCATGGTTCAGAGGCAAAAGAAAAACTTCTTTAGGTCAAATATTTCACAATTTGGAAAAAATTCTACCCTTTGTTTCCTGCTTGCTTCATGCCCAGCTTTTCCCTAGAGGATGTACAATGGGATCATATCTTTCGGTGTCCTAAAAACAGTCACAAAAATTTTAAATAGACACCATATTATATGTCTTGAAAAAGATGTATCATTAGTTATTTCTGTATTGATAAGCTTTATGATCTCATGAAAACTGAGGCACCCAATTAACAGTAAATAGGATTAAAGACCACCCTGTAAGACCCTAATTATGCCAGGCATTTTGGCATATGCCTATAATCCCAGTGACTAGGGAGGCTGAGGCAGAAGGATGGAAAGTTTGAGGCCAGCCTGGGCAATTTATTTTTTTATTTTTATTTATTTATTTTTTTTTAGTTTTCGGCAGACACAACATCTTTGTCTGTATGTGGTGCTGAGGATCGAACCCGGGCCGCACGCATGCCAGGTGAGCGCGCTACCGCTTGAGCCACATCCCCAGCCCGAGAGAAAATTTTTTAACATTTATTTTTTAGTTTTTTGGCGGGCACAACATCTTTGTTTGTATGTGGTGCTGAGGATCGAACCCGGGTCACACGCATGCCAGGCGAACGCGCTACCGCTTGAGCCACATCCCCAGCCCGAGAGAAAATTTTTTAACATTTATTTTTTAGTTTTTTGGCGGGCACAACATCTTTGTTTGTATGTGGTGCTGAGGATCGAACCCGGGTCACACGCATGCCAGGCGAACGCGCTACCGCTTGAGCCACATCCCCAGCGCCCAGCCTGGGCAATTTAGTGAGGCCTTAAGCAACTTAGCAAGACTGGGTCCCTCCATGCAAAAAAAAAAAAAAAAAAAAAAAAAAAGGCGGGACTGGGAATGAAGCTTAGTGTTAGAGTGCTGCTGGTTTCATCCCTGGTACCGAAATAAAGAAAAAAATTACAAAAACCTGAGTTATGCTTGGAATTCAGCAATGCAAATGAGCTTACAAACAAACATGCTAGAAAGCCCAGATTCTGCACCAGCAATGAAAGGAAAACATTATCTTCTGGTTCATGTTTTCCATCCCCTTTTCATATGCAATATTTAAAACCCTACTCACCTGATGGTTAAGGAAGCCCTTTATTAGCTGCAGGTGAAGCCTCAGGCAGGTGCATTCGTCTTGGTAGGCCTTAATGAAATAAGGGTGGCCAAGATCAAACTTGGGGCGCCGATGCATAATGTCAGTCATCGCTTGTGCTAAGGCAAACCTTTCCTCAGGGTCCAACGTGTGCTGGTAGGCTTCAAAGTAACTATCAAGAAGCTAAAAATAGGTGAACAGTCAAGAAAGAGCAGAAGACCCCTATGGGCCAGCAAGAGGGGAATCTCCTCCTGGGGCTTTGGCAAGTCCCAGGGCCTCAGGAGGAGAGAACAGTTTGAACATCAGAATAGCCTGTGGCCCTGGTGTGGGCAGATGCAGCATCAACACAAGCTGGTGTAGTGAGTAAATCTGTAAACCAAGTCAGGGAGGAAAGGGAAAGAACACAGGCTCCCCTCGCCCCCTCTGATACCAGGGATTGAACTCAGGGAAGCTTAACCATTGAGCCACATCCCCAAAACTTTTAATTTTTTATTTTGAAACAGGGTCTTGCTAAGTTGCTTAGGGCTTCATTAAGTTGCTGAGTCTGGCTTTGAACAGCCCACCAGGAATCCAAGCGTTCTCTATTAAGAGATGCCCAGTGTCTGAGGACTCAATGCCAAGGCTCAAGTAGGGACAGCCTGAGGTACTTTATTTAGTGCCTGATTTTTAGGAAATACTTTTTTGGGAAATATTAATCTAAGGAAATTTGGATCAGCCTCTATATGAAAAGGAAAGCCCCAAAGGAGACTAAAAACCCACGTCATGGAAGGCACTCCACAGGCTGGAAACCCTCATATCACAAGTGTACAGAAAAAAAATGAAGGAAAATAATCCCCTTGACTCTAGGTGAGTTCAGGGAAAAATGAATGAAGCAACGTAACGACCTAAATGACCTTGCTCCATGAACCTCAGATCAACCCTAGAATAATATTCGATTATTAAATAGCAGAAGGAAAAATAGAAATGAAGGGAGAATGACTTGATGGAGTAAGAAGGGTGTCACCCAGTCGCCCCAGGAGAGGATTAGGAAAGAAACAATGACTTATCTAATTCATTCTGGACTAACCTGAACCCTTCTGGCTGGGTCAGGTCAATCCCAGGAGCTGGTTTAAATAGTATTGATACTTCCTTGACCTGTTTTTGGACAAAGAGCCCAGTTGTTTGGTTATTTGGCAGGAGATGCTCATAAGGAATTGTGGGGAAAGCTCTTGCTGGTGATTTTAATCTGGTGAAACCAGCTTGCTAAGGCCCACACTAATTGCACGCCATTGCTATTGATAAGGTTGTCAGATTTAGTAAATAAAAACATAAGATATGCAGTCAAATTTGAATTCAGATAAATAATAAATACTTTTTTTAGTATAAGTATGTGCCAAATATTGCAGTATCTCATCTGATAGCCTTAGTTGTTTAAATTGATAAGTCTTCAAATTTTGAACAGCCTTGAGAAGTTCTCAGGTGGATCCTTGTATAATTTTAGTATGAATTCTTTCCCAACAGGGGTGGGACATGATTTTTTTTTTTTTTTTTTTTTTGCCTCATAGGTTCTATTTATTATCTGTTTGCTAACTGGCCCATTTCCATTTAAATCTGGGCTGGTATTTGTCTAAGAAGTCTTTCCAGCCTGTCAAATGTCACCTGTGTGTGTCAAGGGCCAACTTACAGGCAAAATAATATGCTGTACACACTGGTAGTAGGCATCAAATATTGGAGAAAAATAAGAAATAGACAAAAATGAATAAACTGAACCCTTCCTGCATTTATATTATTTTTATTTCAAACTTTTTTTTTCTTTGTAAGATTTTAAAAAAAGTTTTAAATGTGTTTTAGATCAACTGAAAGTGCCAAAACAGAAAACCAATGCTAGGTTCAACTTATCACAGAATTCTTTATTTTCTTTTCAAAAGAATAATGCATGAAAATCTTTCAAGTGCTGCATATGCTAATTCAAATTATCCTCTGAGTGTATCTCTGGGGGACTATCGAGAGAATTAGCAGAAGATAGCATCACTTAGGAGCTACTGCAGCAGATTTGGCTTCTCTGTGCCTTTTAATCCACTTCAATTGACACCCGTTTTAATATGATGAATCTTCATACATAAAATGGTCATTTTAAAGGTTTTAAATAACCCAATATGTTCAAGCAATTCGTAAGTAGTGACACCAATATACTTAACAATCAAAAACAGCTGGGGAAACTTGGCAGTGGAATCAGTACTGGGGGGAACCAATTGTATTCAAGATAGAAATCTGGCTTAGCCATTGAAAATGGACCCTTTGGACAGAATCTCTGGCATGGAGGCCATATTTTATAGTGTTGGCACAGATAACTCAGTTTCTATGGTGAACTTATTCTCAGGGTAGAAAGAAGGGAGATATTTTCAACAATTGTTTTAAATTAAAATAGTTTCATTTATTCTAGAAAGAACTAGTGAATAGCCCTGAGAGCTTAGCACAGAATGTACTGTAGGTAAAAGTGTGGAGATGGCTTGTTTTTCTGTCCTCTCTGCCCTTCTATTCTTCTATTGCCTTTGAATTCAAAGGAGGTTAAGAGGAATAGAAAGGGAAGGTGGGAGAGAAGAGCAAAGGAAGGGGGTGGGGCATTTAAAATGCATGCCTAGACCAATACACTTGGGGAGGTAGGAGTTCTGTCCTGTTTACATTTAATACCACCTTTCTAATTACTGCACTATGAATCTAAATTTTTCATTTACTTAGTTGATCAACATAATGTTCTAATTGGCAGTTAATGGTTGCAGACTAACTCTTACAAAGATAACAAAGTGTTATCTTTGAAAAGAAGAATATTTTTCCCCCCAAGGCTCAAGACTTGCACCTCTTAAGCCCAGCCAGTTGTTTATAAAATAAAAATAAAAATCTGGTGACTTTCATCTCCACAAGTAACAGAGCAAAAGAGTAGGTGAAATGGTGAACTATCTATTCTACTAGAAAAACAATTCAAAGAAAACACTCCACTTCCCTATCTTCAGACCACATCAAAGTGTACTGCAGTCTGGCTTCCACCCCCATAGCTCTTCTGAAAGAGTCCCACTCAGCAGCCAGTGACCCCCTGAGTGCTGACTCATTGCTGGTTTTGAGGTGCCGTCTTTCTCAATGGGCCACGGGGCTCCACACCAGCAACCATCCCCTCCTAAGTAAAACTCTTTGTTCTGCTGGTTCTCACTATACCATTTCTTCCCTGCTTTTCTCCAATCTATTTGTCTACTCCTTGTTCCATGAATTTCCCCTTGAATGTATTACTCAGGGACTCATGCAGACCACTCTAGCTTTTCCTGCTTGTATGGGTTTATTACTGGGGTTCAACTGCCACATTCACACCCCCAATTCACAGCTGCTATTGAACTTCAAACCTATAGCTCCCCACAGGGCTGAGGTTGTAACTCAGTGGTAGAGCACTTGCCTAGCATGTGAAAGGCCCTGGGTTAGCTCCCCAGTACCACAAAAGAAGAAAAAATAAAAATAAAAAACCAGTCTAGTCTATGGCTCCCTACAAAACACTCACACCTGGGTTTTAGCAAACCCCTCTCAAATGCCTTGTGTCCTACTCAATATTATCGTCTCCTTTAAGACCACCCTCCTTTCTCCTGTGTCCTGTTTAAGTTAAGAGCCTACTCCCTGACCCCAAGGAAGTCCTAAAACCCACCCTTACTCCTCACTCAGACCTAGTCTTCAAATTCTGCCATTTCCACGTCAAAGTTTTCTCATGTCTGCTCCTCCATTCTGTTCTCACTGCTGCATCCTCAGTAGAGAGCCTCCTCCTAATTCTTTTTTTCTGTAAATTTTTTATTTATATATGACAACAGAATGCATTACAATTCTTGTTACATATATAGAGCACGATTTTTTTACATCTCTGGTTCTATACGTAGTATATTCACACCAATTCATGTCTTCATACATGTTCTTTGGATAATAATGATCATCACATTCCACCATCATTTCTAACCCCATGTCCACTCCCTTCCCCTCCCACCCCTCTCTGCCCCATCTAGAGTTCATCTATTCCTCCCATGCTCCCTCTCCCTATCCCACTATGAATCAGTCTCCTTATATCAGAGAAAACATTCGGCATTTGGTTTTTTGGGATAGGCTAACTTTGCTTAGCATTTTCTTCTCCAACGCCATCCATTTACCTGCAAATGCCATGATTTTATTCTCTTTTATTGCTGAGTGATATTCCATTGTGTATATATGTCACATTTTTTAATCCATTCATCTTATTTAAGGGCTTCTATATTGGCTCCACTGTTTAGCTATTGTGAATTGTGCTGCTATAAACATTGATGTGGCTGTGTCCCTGTAGTATGCTGTTTTTAAGTCCTTTGGGTATAGACAGAGGAGAGGGACAGCTGGGCCAAATGGTGGTTCCATTCCCAATTTTCCAAGAAACCTCCATACTGCTTTCCATATTGGCTGCAACAATTTGCAGTCCCACCAGCAATGTATGAGTGTACCTTTTCCCCACATCCTCACCAACACTTATTGTTGTTTGTATGCATAATAGCTGCCATTGTGAATGGAGTGAGATGAAATCTTAGAGTGGTTTTGATTTGCATTTCTCTAATCACTAGTGATGATGAACATTTTTTCATGTATTTGTTAATTGATTGTATATCATCTTCTGAGAAGTGTCTCTTCGGGTCCTTGACCCATTTATTGATTGGGTCATTTGGGTTTTTTTGGTGTTTAGCTTTTTGAGTTCTTTATGTACCCTATTGATTAGTGCTCTATCTGATGTGTGAGGGGGAAAGATTTGCTCCCAAGATGTAGGCTCTCTATTCACCTCACAGATTGTTTCCTTTCCTGAGAAGAAGCTTTTTAGTTTGAGTCCATCCCACTTATTGATTCTGGATTTTAATTCTTGTGCCACACCTCCTCCTAATTCTTTAGGTCACCATTGTAATAACTCCCCCCCCCCCAAGGACTTTCTGTTTCTGTCATGAACAAAGCATGATCATGCTGTCAGCTTTGGAAGTTCATCATTGATGGCTCTTCTTTGCTTTTATGATAAACTTTTATTTTATTTTTTTATACTGGGGATTGAACCCAGGGGCACATGACCACTGAGCTACATCCCCAGCCCTTTTTATTTTTATTTTGTGACAGGGTCTTGCTAAGTTGCTAGGCTGGCCTCAACTTGCCATCTTCTTGTCTCAGCTTCCTAAATCACTGGGATTAGAGGGGTGGGCCACCATGCCTGCCTTAAACTTTAAAATGGCATGACTCTCAGGCTCTTCACAGTCTGCACCCAAAACATGTTTAGAAGGTTTCCCAACATGCCATAGCATTCTACCTTGGGTTCTAATGAGCCAATCCCACATTACAACTCCCTGGCATTATAAGTGCTGTTTCATCTGCTTAAGAATCTTTTTCTTTCCTCTGCTGGACAACATCTTATTCATAATTTAGTAATAAGGTTAAATGTCTATTCTTCTGGGAAGACTTCCTAGCATTTCCTCCATTCTGACAGCCACCACGTAAGATAGATCTCTCCCTCTAACCGGGGACCCAGTGTTACATGTCCTTAATGCCACGAACAGTATCTGGCAGAAGAAAAACTTAATGTTTAAAGGATAAACTCCTAACAATTGGTGATTATCAAAAGAACTATTAATTCAAGCTAAGGACACAAATGAAGAGCAGAATATCTGCAGTGTTCCATTTATTATTGAGATAGGAGCCATTAATGATATGGTTAATGGTTTAGTAGCTTGCTATTTCACTGCTTTAAACTCCACCCCATAACTTAATGCACTCAGCACTCCTTGCCCAATGGCAGTCACCCACCCTCAAGTGGCATATACTTCTAAAGGCCATGATTGGGTCAGTCAGTTTATCTTGTATTTAGCAAAGTGAGCTTGTCCCTATGACTAGATAATGAGTGTCAGAGGAATCATCATTCATTCTCACTAAAAGTATACATATTATTAGAAAGACCTAAATTATAAAGGCTTCTAACAAATTATGCCTCAAGATAAAGTGTTCTTGCCTGGTGTAGTGGCGCAGGACTATAATCCCAGAGGCTCAGGAGGCTGAGGCAGGAGGATTGTGAGTTCAAAGCCAGGCTCAGCAAAATCAAGGCATTAAGCAACTCAGTGAGACCTTGTCTCTAAATAGAATTCAAAAGAGCTGGGGATGTAGCTCAGTGGTCAAGTACCCCTAAGTTCAATCCCTAGTACCAAAAAAAAAAAAAGTAAAATAAAAAAATAAAGTGTTCTTCACATTTTATTTTTGTGACAAAGAACCAAAGAAAATTTTACTACCCATATTCTTATGATTTGCTGAGATTATTTACATAAAAATATTTGCTTTATTGAAAACTTGACTAAAAGTCCCAGTGGGTTCAGAAGAAGAAGGAAAAGGAGGAGAGGAAGGGGGAGGAAGAAGGGGAGGGGGAGGGAGAGAGGAGGGAGGAGGAAAGAGGAGGGTGAAGGGAAGGAGGGAGGGAGGGAAGAAGGAAGAGAAGGAGGGAAGAAAACAACTGAGTTTTATAAGAATGATTTTTAACAGATGCTTTATTTTTGGGAAAAATACCTGACGTTTGTTTTCTAGGAGAGCTGCTTCCCATGTCCATATGTCATACAGAACAGCAAATCTGTCCACACCTGCATGGGTCCATCTCCAATCCTGGCCACTCTTTGACTTGCTGCCCTCTTTGAGACCTGGGAGAGGGGGTGGGAATGATTAGAACCAGGACTTTCAAAGAAGCTGTTTCTATTAGAAGCGCGCTTTTGGATTACCAGCTGCCTCGCAGAACTGGTCATACTGAACCAGTCATTGGGATTCTTAAAAATGAACTAAAGAACCATTGGCAAAGATGAGGCCCTGAAGTCATACTTTTTGACTTCTAATTTGACAGGAGTTTTGAGTTTTACTTTCTGATTTTAAAGAGTAATTTTAGAAATAGAAAAAACAAAATTCAGTTATGCTCAGTTATATATATTAAAGGCAGAACATACATTTTTCCTTTTATAAAGACTTGGTGATTAACAAATTCAGTTTAATGTTAGCTAAATCAAAAACTTTCAGGGAGTGTTTTCAAGGTATTCCTTAATTATGTTAACTACTAACTTAGGTCCATAAAGTTAATTATTGTCATTATTGAGCTAAAATATTTACATTATGTCGATGTTAGTTTTCACTACCAGTATTGTTATTGCTTTAAAATTTTAAGTGGCCTTGTTCAGGAGAAATGTTAGAAGGGAAGAAATTTTCAGTGCTGAAGTCTAAATTGAATAGTTATCAAGTATATGATGGGTACTTAGCAAGATAAAGACTTTGATCAGGAATTTCTCTAAGACCTGTTGGGAAATCACTTCATAATTGGTGACTATACACTTCAAAGCTCAGTTGAAAGATACCAATGGGTAAATGACTACTGACTAAGTGTTTCGATCAAATTAAATCTTTAGCAGCTAGAAACAGTTGCATGGTATTATAAATTCATATGGACAAAAATGATGCATTAATATATAGGATAGCCTGTAAAGTTAAAAGCTGAGCGTTGAAATTAAATGCTCTGGAATGTTGGATGATGCTATCACTGCGCCCCATGATTCAGATACCAATGGTTGTGACAAGGATGGGGCATAGAGTTCAACCCTTTGTTAAACTGATTCTGTCTGGGATCTGAGAAGTTAGTTGTCAAACATTCTTCAAGCAGCATTTTATAACTATATGAACATGAATTATCCTTAATTACAGTCTGCACACATTACAAAATAACATAAACCCTTGCTAAATTTCCCTGTAGGTGTTGCAATGTGTCTAGAAACTCTAAGCTCTTTCTTTCCAGATGTAATGCTAGTGCTATCATATTATTCCAAAAGAAATACTCTTACCTCATCTACTTCTAAAATTGGAAAGGAAGAGAGAATACAGATTATGGGTTACTTGATTACCCTGAGTAATGATTCCTCCCTCTGGAGTTTGTCTGGCATTTTCCTAGCCAGATCTTCTTGCATCCTGGTGGTTTCCTGTTAGGAACCCTGGGATGTCTCTGCTTCTAAATGCAGTTTCCTCAAGGTCAGTTGCTTAGGGGAAAAAGGTGTTCATTTCACTTGTTTTCATTCTGCTTCCTTCAGGTCTCAGCACCATATCCGGGGCCCCCAGTAGGTGACACTGAAATGTCCCTGGGCCACAGAGTCTAAACAACAGCAAGAGTTACAACTGAGCCCTGAAAGAGGAGGCACAGTCTTCATCAGAAAGGGAGACAGAGCAGGAAACACTATCTTTTCTAAAGTGAGCATGTGTTGGGTGTAAGGGGCGGGGTACGTGCTTACTGAATGCTTAGACACCATTAAATATGAGTTTATATGTTGGGATGGAGAGCATTAATTAGGGTCTTTAGGTGTTTTTATTTATTTATTCTATTTGGCCAGTTGATTGATTGATTGATTGATTATCAGGGATTGAACACAGGGACTCAACTACTAAAGCCATCATCCCCAGCCCTTTTTATTTTTTTATTTTGAGACAGGCTCTCACTAAGTTGCTCAGGGCCTTGCTGAGTTGCTGAGGCTGGCTAGGAGCTCGATATCCTCCTACCTCAGTCTCCCAAGCTGCTGGGATTATGGGCATGCACCACCATGCCTGGCGTGGCAGTGGATTTTTTTTTTTTTTTAATGTGCCTTCTTACCTTTTTCTTTCTCAATGTAATGGCTGGCCACAAGCAGCAGCTCTGCCTCGAGTTCCTCCAGATCCCTTAAGGCTTCGTCGTACATAATATGCACCCCTTGCTGGTCCTGGGTGTGGATACTGCCGTCTTCTGTGCTGTAATAGTAATCCTCATACTCCACTTCGGAGAACTCCATGAACTGAACACTGTGGACCTGGGGAAAGAAAGCCAAGCCCAGAAGTTCCTGGAAAAAGGGGGAGCTATATTTTGCCAGTCCAAATGGACCAACCAGAAGGTCTCTACTCCTACACATGGGCTGTTAGCCTGGAGCTGCAAACATTCTGAATGTATAAAAAGCTGTATGCAGATAAAAATGTGTGGACAACAAATGTTTATGGGGAGAGGTGGTTGCTAAGGCAGGTAACTAGCTGATTAATTCATTTTTTTTTCTGATAAATTTAAGAGCAATTGCACAAGGGCAGCCACTTGAGCCTAGTGTTAGAAGTGGTCTCTAGAGGCTGGGCGCAGTGGTGCATGCCTGTAATTACAGGGACTTGGGAGGCTAATGTAGGAGGATTGCAAGTTCAAGATCAGCCTGGGCAACTTAGTGAGACCTCCATCTCAAATTTAAAAAAAGGGGGGTGGGCAGGGACTGGGAATGTAGCTAAGTGGTAGAATGCTCCAGGTCTGGGGTTCAATTCCAAGAAAACACACACACACACACATACACACAATCTCTGAAGTCAAAGTGCCTCTTTTAGGTCCTGGCTTTGCCAGGATCATACCCTGGGCCGTCACTCAGTTTATTTTAGCCCCCACAACTATTGTAGTTGACAATCATAGTGTAGTGACACTACACAATCAAGGTACTTGGAATCTATAAATGCCAGCTGTTAATACATTTTGTTTTAATTGTATAAAAAACCTTTTAAATGAATTAGCACAATCTCATGTCTTAGTGATATACTGGGTTGAATAGTGTCCCTCCAAATTCATGTCCACCTGTGAATGAGACCTTATGTGGAAAAATAGCCTTTGCAAATATAATCGAGTTAAAATGAGGTCATACTGGATTAGGGTGGGATACCAATAAATAGTGTCCTTATAAAACAAGGGACATTTGGAAGACAGACTTTTAGGGGAGATGACCACATGAAGACATTAGTACAATTCACCAGATCAAGGAGGGCCAAGGAGTGGCAAGCACAGACAGCAACTACCAGAAGCTGGAAAAGATAAGGAAGGAAACTCCAGAGCCTTCCATGAAAGCATGGTCCTGCCTTATTGATATTAATATTTTACACTTATTTGTGCTATTTTGGGCCAATATTTGTCTCACCCACTGGACTATAAAATACTAAAAGATTCAGTAACGTGTCTACTTTTGTTTATCATTGTATTCCCATTGCTTTAGCAGAGACTACCACATAGTAGGCACTTAGACAATACTTGTTAAATAAAAGAGTAGATCAATGTACACATTTTAAAAATATTTTTACACATAGGTTTCTTCAAGTCTAGGCTTTTTATGATCTCTGCTTGTACTTTAAAAATATATCAGTCAAAAAATATATCAATCAAAAATTCTAGGCTTTATTCTTTATAAATTCTGACTTTATGCCACTCTACCCTGATACATCATTCTCTATGAGGGTTATCATGATCAGGGTTCTTAGGTGACAAAAATAAAATCTTATTCTCTTTATATATAAAGCATAGATAGATGTATCATACATAAACAAACATATGGTATGTTTCTGGTATTAACGTTTTTTGGAGAATGGTGATTAGGGGGAAAATGTCTAAAAAGAGTATTTGTGGGGGGATCCATTATGAAAGAGAGGTTAAGAAACATAGGCCCATGTTTTATAAATTATACACACACGCACACACAAATATATATATGTAAAATACATAGAGCATAAAATTTACCGTCTTAATATTTTTTAATATATTGTTTTAGTTGTAGATGGACACAAAACCTTTATTTTGTTTATTTATGTGGTGCTGAGAATCTAACCCAGTGCCTCACACATGTTAGGCAAGTGTTTTATCACTGACCCACAGCCCCAGCCCCATCTTAACATTTTTAAGTGTGCAATTCAATGGCAGTAAATGCATTCATACAGATGTGCAACCACCATCATCTTGAAAACCTGTATTCACTAAACAAAACTTCCCACCCTCCTCCCCCAAGCCCCTGAGAACCACCATTCCACTCTGTTTCTATGAATTTGACTACTCAAGCATCTCACTTGTATAAATAGACTTGGCAGTATTTATCCTTTTGTGATTGGTTTGTTTTACTGAGTACAGTGTTCTCAAGGTTCATTCATGTTGTAGCACATCAGAATTTCGTTCCTGTTTAAAGCTGAATTATATTCCATAGTATATATAAGTTACATATTGTTTATTCATTCATTCATTGATGAATACTTGGGAGTATTTCCAATTTTTGGCTATTTTAAATAATACTGCTATGCGGGGTGTGGTGGTACATCCCTATAATCCCAGCAGCTTGGAGGCTGAGGCAGGAGGATCGTGAGTTCAAAGGCAGCCTCAGCAAAAAGTGAGATGCTAAGCAATTCAGTGAGAACTTGTCTCTAAATAAAATACAAAATAGGGCTGAGGATGTAGCTCAGTGGCTGAGTGCTCCTGAGTTCAATCCCAGTACTAAAATAATAATAATAAAAAGAAGAATAAGAATGTGAATATGAATATAGGTGTACAAATATCTGTTTGAATTCCAGCTTTCAATTCTTTTGACTATATAACCAGAAGTAGAATTTCTGGATCATATTGTAATTCTATTTTTAATTTTTTGAGGAACCTCCAGATTGTTTTCCACAATAGTTACGCCATTTCACATTTTAACCAACAGTGCACAACCTTCTAATTTGTCCACATCCTGGTCAATTCTTATTAATTTTAGAGAGTTGGTTGGTTGGTTGGTTTTGTGTCACTAGAGATCATTTAAGCCAGGGCCTTGTACATGTTAGCAAGTTCTCTCATTGAGCTATATCCCCAACCTTTTTTTTTTTTTTATCCCCAGACCTTTATTATTTTGAGACAGAGTCTTAAAACAAGTGCTCACATCCATGTCTGGCTCTTTTCAGGATTTTTTAGTATCCATTTTATATTTAAAAAAAATAAATAACTTGATTTTCTAAGTGTCATTCATGAGTCATTTAAACTATAAAACCAGTTCTCCCAACTTTTGGTCCCAAGCCTATTTATTCTTATGACATAAAAACTTTGCTAAAGAATCAATTGTTGGATATAATGTAAGAATCTATACATTTTAAGCAGTAATACTTTGGTTCTCCATTGATCTGTCAATGGATTTATACATACAGTGTTGTCTATTATACAAATACAGGAACCCTTCTGGAAACATCACAAACAGGGCAGATTATTCTTGGCTTAGATGGTTAACTTCCGATATCGGAAAGAGGGACAAGGGCTCTCTCTGAATCCATATGGTTTTATGGATCTACAATTAGTTTTTATGTGCTGTAAAGTTCTAGATTCTCAGTCACTGAAGCAGAAAGTGAGAAACTTTCCAATAACTAAAAATGTGAGCATTTCTAAATAACAGCTATCATTTGTACTATTTCATCAAGAGGGAATTTCTTAGTTAAGCATTCCTCTAGCAGGTGGTGGTTTTTTTTGTTTTGCTTTGTTTTTTGCTGTTCTTTAGTCATATTTTTTTATATAATCAGGAGCTCCCTTTGATTAGAATTCAAAAAGTTAAATCACGGATTTTCACAAAACTGATTAGTACCTAAGCATCAGTGGAAAAAAGAAAAAAAGTCAAGAAAATGAGAGGTTGCATATAAAAATTAACAGTTTTCTTAGGTTTACGAATTACCATGTTGGATTCTATTAGCATTTACCTCCTGTCTCTTATTATGCAAAGTGGGTTCTCCTTTAGGGAAAAAAAAGTGGGGGGAGGCACACAACTTAATATGTTATACTTTACCCACTTTTCTGGAAAAGACCTTTCCCAGTATTCTTGTACAGGGGAAACTGTACGACTTTAAAGAAATCGCTATTGAATTGAGTTCTGAAGCTGATGGAGAGCAATAGTATTGTCCAGATGCTAACTCTAATGCTACTGTCTATTTAAATCCTCATTTTCCTGCTCTCCTCACCAGGCTCCATTGTTCAGACCCTTTAAAAGGCACACGTATTCTTTCTCTTTGGCTATGCTTTGCTCTTTTTCTCCCCTATCCCCTGTCTTTGAAATGTGCACTTGGGTCCACAGGAGATCCACTTTGAAGACCAAACAGCCAAATTGCTTCCTGCAGGGTTATGGCTTAGTCACTACAATGTTTCCTTATTTCCTTTTTAACTTTTCCATGGTCCTGTGAAAGACTCTCCTTCTAAAGGTTTTGTGGTCTGGAGAGTTGATTCTTCAATATTATGCTTGGAGGAGTGGCAGGAAGGGGAGGGCAATAATTATCTGAGTAAGAAATAATATGACCTTTGGAATGATTCACATGTGATTTTAAGTCTGAAAATTAACTCACGCCAAGATTACTATTTGCTGAAAAAAAAGTAACTACAGGAAAATTGGTGGCCCATCACTGACTTTTCTCCCTAGAGACTACTGCCAGCACTCAGTAATGTGTATTGTAGGCCTTTTGGCAGTGTAAACAATGCTTATCTGACTAGTTTTCTTTTCCTTAATCATCTTGTATTAATTTAATAGTAGTTCAACCTAAGAATCCAATCAAAATTGTTTGATAAATGACTCAATTATTTTGCTACAATATTTTTAAAAAATGATCAAAGCTATCTTCTATTTGACACCCCACCCCCCGCCAGTCTGTAGAGTATAATGTTGTTACTGTAATTAATTGTTCTGCTTTTGGCGGCACTTTTTGTTGTTGTTGTAATTTTGTTGTTGTGTGAACATCACAGAATGTACCTACACACTCGTAGATAGTATAGACTGCTACTATATGGTATAGCTTATTGTTCCTAGGCTCTAAACTTGAACACTATGTTACTGTGCTGAATATCTGTGTATCTAAAAATATAAAAGGAGGTTTGTTCACATTTCCATCACCACGAGCTCATAAATAATGCATTGCATTATGCCACTATAATGACTATGATGTCACTAGGCAATAGGACCTTTTCCGATTATAGTTATAATTTTATGGGAATACCATTGAATTGCAATTGGTCATTGATCAAAATGTGGTTATGCAGTGCATATGGTCAAGTTTGCTTAATGCAATAGCCTCCTAACTAGTCTCTCTGTGCCAGCTCTAAGTACCTTCTGACTGTTCCCACTATGGCAGCATGAATGTTAAAATATAAGTCAAGGCCGGGTGTCATGGCTCACACCTGTAATCCCAGGAGCTAGGGAAGCTGAGGCAGAAGGGTCACAAGTTTGAAGCCAGGCTCAGCAACTTAGTGAGGCCCTAAGCAACTTAATAAGATCCTATCTCAAAATAAAAAATAAAAAGGGCTGGGGATGTGGCTCAGTGGCTAAGCACCCCTGGGTTCAATTCCTTGTAACACCCCCAGGAAGAAAAATCACTGTTATCACTCTTCTGCTTTAAACTTTCCCGGGACCCCCTTCCCACTCAAAGTCAAAGCCAAGTTCCACACAGTGGTCCACAAAGCCCTAGAAAGTCTTCCCCCACTTCTCTAGCTTTATCACTTACTGCTTTGCCCTTCATTTACTCCAGTCACTCTGAACTTCTTTGTTCTTGCAGCCCTGCTGGCCACAGTCTTGCCTCAGGACCTATGCACTGGTTTTCCTCTCTGACACTCTTTTCTCAGACGGTCATGTGGGTTGCTTCCTGAAATTCTCCAGGTCTTAACTCAGGCAGTCCCTTCTCCGTAAGGCCTTTCCTGACCACACTACCATGGCAACACCCCATCACCCCTACACCAGTCTCCACTCTCCTTTTCTACATAGTTTTTCTCCACGTAGCTATTACCATCTTTATTTGTCCACAAAGGCTAGGCAATTCTGTGATAAACAACCGCCAAGTTTAGTAGCCTAACACTTAAAATGAATTTCTCACTCATGCAAAACCCACCAAAGGACCGAGACTCTAGGCCGCCACCTTCTAGCAGCAATACAGGGATCCAGGATGTTTTCATCTTGTGATTTGATCATCTCAACTTGTGCCTTCCACTGGCTAAAGCAGAAGAGGGCCAGAGGCTATGCACCAGCTCCTGAGTGCTTTGGACTGACAGTGACATAGGCTGTTTCTGCTCACAGCCCACTGGCCAAAGCTAGTCATAGGCCACATGCAACTGCGAGGGCTAGGAAGTCTGGGGAAGCCTTGGTGTCAAACCCCTGACATTCTGCATCTGTTATAAATATGTTTGTTTCTCTCCACAGGTAAGTCCCATGACAGCAGGAATTTATACCAGTTATGTTCACTGCTGTATCCCCAGTGCCTAGGACATTTAATAGACAGAATATTTGTGCAAGGAACGGATGATGAATGATGGACTCACACGGCTTCAGGGAGAAGATAAGCTGATAGTCAAGCCAGCCATATGCTGAGTGCTATGCTGGAAGCAGATTCAGGGAAGAAACAGCGCTGCACAGAGATGGCAAGGAAGGCTTCCTTAGAGAGGAGATATTTGAATGAACTCTTGGGTCACAGTAGGCACTAAGGAGAAAGGAAGTGAGGGACAGAGGGGTCCAAAGAAGCAAGTAGTTCTGCCCATTCCAAGAAGTCCAGGCCCAGCTTATTGACATGGAAATTTGGGGACAGCCCAGGGAAATGAGGTCTCAGAGGTTCACAGGGGCCAGATTGTGCTCAGCCTTGTAAATGTCACCAAGGAGCCTGGGCTTTATCTTGTGAGAAACAGGAAACCCATGTAGGATTTCAAGCAAGGAAATAAGTGGGATTACATTTGGGCAAAGATCCCAGAGAAATTTACAAAGCAATTTGGAGAGACAGTCTCCTATTTAAAATTCTTCTCTATTCCCTACCAATCTTGGAATTGGTCCCACATCCTAATGAGAGCCTAGGCCTTCATGGTCTGGTCCACTCTTCTGTGCTCACCTCCCACCACTTCCTCTCAACATCCCCTGCGATCAGCACACAAGTCCCAGCAGACCCTGAACACCAACCACATGGACCGTCAGACCTCACACCTGAGGAGTCAATCTCAAGGCCAGACAGCCAGGGTTTTCTGCTCTTGTTTGGGGCTCTTTCTTTCACATGCCTTTAAGTAGACTCATAAAGCAGCAAGATATCCATGACAGATTTTTAAGTGCCTTCTTTCTTCTGTATTACTGTTGAATGAACAGTCTTTAATATTAGCCCCAAACTTTCCTTGTGGGATCAAGCACACTGGATGAAGGGAAAGGGGGTGGGGAAAGGGTCTTCATCCTAGGAGCTCCTCTCATATCTGGTAAGCTCAGAGGTCTTGCTCCCAGCAACCTTGTCCCAGCCAGTGAGATCAACCCAATGGATTAGCATTTGCCCTGCCCTTTCCCTGCATGGGAAAATCACACCAGTCAGGCCTGGATAAACGCCACACCCACAGCAAGTAGCTAAACCACATGGTCCCATTAAAGTCTCTGACAAGTCTTGAGTGTCTCACACTGAAGTAATAGCAGCTGGTAGCTCTTAGGGATGATGTTATCCCTATCACTTATGAGAAAATAGTAAGGAAATATTGCATTAACCCGAGAAACTATTCTTCCAATCAATGGGGCAGGATAATATTTGTGTCCCTTTTCCTTTATTTCTACTCCTCACCCTCACCCCAGAACAAACAAAGTGGGACAGGACTCTTGGGCAAGAATTTTTTAAAAATCAATTAGCATAATAATATATCATAGCTATGGTAAGATTAATAATATTAGTAAGAAAAAGATGTGTTTGTCTTACAAGGGTTTGTTTTGGGAATTGCACCTAGGGGTGCTAAACCACCGAAGCACATCCTCAGCCCTTTTTTAATATTTTATTTAGAGACAAGGTCTCAGTGAGTTGCTTAGGGCTGCACCAAGTTGCAGAGGCTGGCTTTGAGCTCATGACCCTTCTGCCTCAGCCTCCTGAGCTGCTGGGATTACTGGAATGTAACACCAACCTGGCTGTAGGTTTGTTTTAAAGTGTCTTAACCCTCCTCTCTGGTTCCACTGAGGGGTGAGCTCGCTGGGCTTGATGAGCTGGGATCAACACAGGAGGGCAGAGAGGCAAGGGGTGAGGGAGTGGGGGGAGATTGGAGACATCTGTGTATAGTAGGGGATAGGAATTTGGGGTGCTTATTAGGTAAGAAGATAAAAAAGGGAAGGCTGTCTTGGGTACAAGGGAAGGTAGGACTCTAAATGACTGGGTGGCAAAAATACTTCCCACCATCTAAAGCTTAACTGTTCAAGATCTCTAGTCACATGTGACCATTAAGCCTTGAAATGTGACTTGTTGGAGCCAAAATGGGTTTTTCGTATTAAATAGAACCAGATTTTAAAGAAAATACCAAAAAAAAAAAAAGGTATAGTATCTCATCAGTGTTTCCTTAGTGAAATAACTTAGACCCTGTTTCAAAATAAAAAGGTCTGAGAATGTAGCTTAGTGTTAGAGTGCCCGTGGATTCAATCCCCAATACCCAACCCCCCCAAATTTAAGTTCATATGTGTCTTTGAATGTTTTTAAATGTGACTATTGGAATTTTAAAAATTGTGTGTTGCTTGCATTTTGCTTCTGCATAGGCTGATCTAGCATGCACATAGGAGCAATGGTTCACAGTAAGGTTTCACACCCTTACAGATATGACGGGCACATTAGCTTAGAATATGATTTGTTTGGTAGTTAAGTAAGTTTTATTTTTCATATTTGTCAATCACTGTCAAAAAGTGTCTTTTAAGAGTATTAAATTCATGGGCTAGAGATAGAGCTCAGTTGGTAGAGCCCTGGGTTCAATCCTCAGCACCAAAAAAAAAAAAAAGTATTAAATTCATATTAAAGCCCATCTTTAGGAATAAACTTTCTAGATTTTGAGATGGAAAATTTGCAAGAGACTTACAATAGCCCACCAAACCATAGGAATGCTCGACTTTGTTTCCGAATAAAGGGTCTTTTGTTAGGTAGGATTGAAATTTTACTTTTTTTTTTTTTTGGTTCCAGGGATTGATCTAGGAGCACTTAACCACCAAGCCACATCCCCAGACCTTTTTATTTTTTGTTTTGAGACATGGTCTTGCTAAGTTGCTGAGGGCCTCACTAAGTTGCTGAGGCTGATCTCAAACTTGCAATCCTCCTGCCTCAAGCCTCCTGAGCTGCTGGGATTACAGGTGTGCACCACCATGATCAGCTAAGGGATGGTTTTCAATGCAAAGAATTAAGAGAATGTTTTGTTTTGTTTTTGGTACTTGGTACGGGGTGGGGGTGGGCGAGGTGGATTACAGGAATTCACATGCCTGACTCTAGGATTGAAGTTCTAAAGAGGCTATAGAAAAATATGTTCAAGAGACATCAAAAGCACCAAAGGGCAAACAGGCTTTTTGAAAGAATAGAAATTTTTTGTTGTTGTTTCATGTTTTTTTTTCTAATTTTTCTCTACCCCTCCCCCCCTTTTAAAAAATTCTATTTTTACATTCAGGGCTTAGAAAACAGCAAAGGGTCAAAATGGTACCGCTAGCAATGTCAAGGGGAAACTTGTAAGAGCTTCCTTGTAAGAACATGTGGTTCTCAGGCGAGGAAAACAGATAAAGCACCATATGCTCTCTGTTCACAATGCATCAACAATTCAGCATCTCAACCTTTCTTTCCATGGTGGCCTTAGAGCTGCTCTTAGGGTGCTCTCTGTCTGGCTCTTGCCCTCAAGTGGACACTGTATTTTATTGTGGTTAGATACATATTTTCCCTTTTACTACAATTTTTAAAAAACAAAACCAAAAACCATATGCCTAAGAAACACCCCACTACTCCACCATATTAACTGATTTGAATTGCAAGAAAAAAGTTGACTTAGGAGACAAGGTAGTCAAGGAAGAAAAACTCATAGCAGAGCACCTCACCTTGTGCTCAGCAGATGTCCCATGGACATAGTGGTGAGCTCCCAGGCCTTGCGAGGTGCCCAAGCCTCCTTGTGTCACATTAACCCAAGAACTATCTTCCATAGTGGGGACCAGTTTCCCTGAAACCAAGGTAAGGCCTGAAGTATTGATTGTCAAAGTTCGCTCGACAGATCTGAAATAGTTCATAATTCCCAAGCAGGTACGCTGAAACAAAGAGAAGAACAGAATCAAGATCCTGCCCTTTGCCTTGTCCCACCCTACAGAGTGAAACTTCAGGAGGTGACGGGGTGGCAGGCCAAGCCTACTGTGGAGAAAGGAACACACTGCCTCAGAAAGGGATTGGTTTCATGTTAAAAATAAATAAATAAAAGAATAAAGAGCAAAAGCATAGAAATGAATTACTACTGAAGAGCAGAGAGCCCCCTTTCTAGACAATCAGACATTTCTGATACCTGAAACTAGTGTGCCGGGCCATCCACATACCTGCAGCGACCTGATTCGCAGGTGGCGCAGACACAGAAAGGACAAGTAGGCCCCTTTCATGGAGACAGGGTTCCCGTCACTGAGCTCGGCTTCATCATCCAAGCCCAGCACTTGTAGGGCCATTGCATAGTTGTACCTTTAGTAAGCAAGAGAAATATAATAATTTTTTTCCATCTCAAAGGAGTTCAACAATTCACATACAAATCAAAGTCATTTTATTTAACATAAAGAAATTTCACAATAGCTTCCCTTTAAAAAAAAAAGCACTGGAGCGGAAATAATTACACTGTGTATAAATATAAAAAGAAATTTCTCTTAGCAATTACTCTCATTAAAAAGAGTCCTAGGGTGAAACATTACTTTAGTTGTATGACCTTTTTAACATTCTTGTTTTCATTCCAACTCCAAATATTTTTGAGTTAACATGTAAGCTGCATATTAACCAATCACTCGATTTTTCCCAAAATTTTTAATCCATTTTCTTGAGTCACCAATAAAATCATTTATGGTTTAATTTTACCCTGTCTCTTTTTTCTGCTTGAGAGGCCCATCAGCACATTGACTGAGACTTATTCGTGTTAGCACATTTTCATTTTGTTCCACTGAAAGGTCATTCTCCTTCATATTTGCATTCTATCAAAAAAAAAAGAGCATTAGTTCAATTACATAAAACATTTGCAACATTATTAACAAAATCATAACAAGTTCTTATAAAATTAAACCTCATGATCCATATTTAGACGCATTAGTGGAAGAGCTCCTTGAGCCATTTCAACCTGACATATGAAAATCTGGAGGGTCACTGTTTCAGTAGCTAAGTCTTTGTTTTATGAAAACATTCACAGCTTTTAAATAGTAGCCACCCCCAAAATTATTGCCTTTTGCATGATTCAATTTATAAAAAGTCAATACATTTTTCAAGAATATGTGTGTCTGGAACCTTGGACCTCTGTTTTTAAAGAGAGATCAATGAATTTAAACCCTCCTTCTACCCATTAGCTATATGATCAATCATTTAAAGTCTTGCACCTGAGGGCTGGGGAATATAGCTCAGTTGGTAGAGTGCTTGCCTCACATGCACAAGGCCCTGGGTTCAATCCCCAGCAAGAAATAAATCAATAAAGTCTTGCAAAAGTCTTGCACCTGTTTCCTCCACAGTTGTCAAATGATATGATTGTGGGAAATGGTATATGTGAGAATTGAATGACAGAATTATAGAAAGCCTCCAGCTAAGTGCCAGGTACCTAATAGTTCCTCAAAATGCCAATTCTCTCCTCCATGAATTGTAGTCGTCAGCCAGACCTATAGGATGTGTCGTGGAATTCATGGTTTGCATTTCCATGGTCATTTTTCCTGATGCTGTCATACACAGCATACACAGGGGCCCCAGGGCAAACTGTGAAGAAGGCAATTTCTGTGGTCCTGCCCCTGGTTCTCTAGACAGCCTCTTCTTGGATGCCCTCTTTACCTGTCCCTGGGCATGCACCCCATTCTTTTACAGTGGCACTGATCCCCACATTAAGTACTGAGTGGCAATGACTGAGGTTCCTCTCTGGGTTCTAACAGTTGATTCTTGGAATTTCAACAAGTCCTTATGGCAGAAACTACTAGTTGTTCCCCAGCAGCAGCTCTTTCTCTCTTTTTCTACAATAAAATATCTATCTTTTCATTTGGCCACTCAGATAAAGATGGCATTTCTGTGAGTTAATAAATTACAAAAAAAAAAAAAGCATTCCCAAGCCTCTCTCTCTTGGTGTAGCTACATGACCAATGGACTGGGGAAATGTGCCAGGTTGTATCTTCTAGGAATATCCCTGATGAGGCAGCTTGCCCACCCCATCCTCCATCCTGCTGCTTAGAACATGAAGGTGACAGCTGGAATTCCATCTCGGGCCAGGTGTTGATCTCCAATAAGGAGGCCACACTTGTTGGAATTTCTGGGACAGACTGAGTTGAGGTGCCTGAGGACTTCATGGAGCAGAGCTGCCATGCCAGCTCTGTACTTCCTACTTCTAGATGTTAATCAGAAGGCAAGAAAGAGAAATTTCCATCTTTCCTGAATGACAGAATGTATAGAAAACCTCCAGCTTAATCCTTAATCTTTAATCTTCTGCTATTTTGTTTCCCTACAACCAACAGCCAAACCTAATCTTAACTAATATGGTCCCCAGGGCTCTGAAGACAGACTACCAGGCTTCATGACTGGCAGTTGGATGGACAATTTTGATAGGGACCACAGGAAGAATAGGTGAGTGAGAATGTTGGTTATCATTGGTGGTTGCCCATTGTACCGGTGGGTAGAGTCATTTCCTGTGTATTGCGGGTCAGTGTACCCATCAGTGTATTCCTGGGTAAGTATATCACAGCCCTAGGACTATGACATGGTACACTATGACATGGACACACAAGATCATCATCCCAACATGAAGAAAAATCTCTATTTTAAAAAAAAAAAACTGCATGAAAATAAAAACTCTCTGAGGGAGCTGAAATTTTACAATTCTCTAGAGTTTGGGGGGAGAGGGCTCCTCTGGAGCCTTTCGCCAGCTGGACCTGTGGTGTGCTCAGGCTGCAGTTCAGCCCTGACCTATGTGGTCTCGGAGTGAAAACTCTGAGCCACATCCTTTCTCGGATGGTATTGTAGCTTTTTCAGCTACTTCTAAAATTACCCAGAATTACATAGGAAAGAGCAGAAAGTGACATCAAGTGACAGCAAAAGACGTTTGAAGGAATGAACAAACCACAAAAGTACTGTCTGGCTAGCAGACTGCCAGGAAGAAAGGAAGGGGGCACAGACAGGCTGGGATGAGGAAGAGGATATAGCCCAACATCCTCTGGGAAGAGGGAATCAACCACAGCCATGAAAGAAAACTGCTTTGGAAATACCAAAAACCAGGAATGTAAGCAACAGTGCAGGTAAGCAGCAAGCCGCCCAGAATCCAGAATGTCAACACCTTTTGTGCGCACACTTGCTTCATGAGTAGATATACCTTTGACTTTTATTGACCTTTACCCTGCCTGTAGCTGGGTTCTTGCCAGCATGACCAAATTTATGTATTTTCAGTTCTGAGATTTCTACTGATTGCAGATCTTATTTCCTTTTGGGAAGTTGGCAAAAACATTGGATGGGGAAGTTGGATAGGAGGAATGAAAGGAAAAGTAAGTCTATTATGTATTTCCCCATCCCCAAATGTCTCCACGATTTAATGTGTGTTTATCCATGGACAAAAAGAATAGGATATATACAAAAGGTTCACAATATTGTTGTTATTTTAGGTGATAAAATGATGGTTGTTTTTTTCTTTCTTTCTCATAATTTTCTGTTTCTCACATTTTCCATGATAAATATATGCCACTATTATCAAAAACAGTTTTTTTTTTAAAGTAAATGCCACATTGAGCCTGGATATGGTATTTCTTTACCACTTACTCCATAGGGTTAAAAAATAGTGACTGATTTAAACCACATATTTAAAAATACCGTGGTTAATAGTAGATTATAATGTCCAAACATAGCCATTTTAACAAACAAGTGCTTTCTTAGTGGTAGGGTTTGAACATGAGGTGTTCCCCAAAAGCTCACATGTGAGACAATGCAAGAAGGTTCAGAGAAGAAATGATTGGGTTATAAGAGCCTGAACCCAATCAGTGAATTAATCCCCTGCATTGGGGGAGTAGCTTTGTAGTATATTTCGTATCTGGTGAGTGGAGTCTCTCTCTCTCTCTCTCTCTCTCTCTCTCTGTTTTCTGATCATCATGTGAGCTGCTTCCCTCTGCCACACTCTACTGCCATGATATCCTGCCTCACCTCCATCCCCAAGGAATGAAGCCAGCTGTCCATGGACTGAGACCATTGAAACTATGAGTCCCCAAATAAACTTTTCCTCCTCTAAAATTGTACTTGTTGGGTATTTTACTCACAGTGAAAAAAAAAAAAAAAAACTGACTAAAATACAGACTTAGCAGAATCCACAAAGACCTCACTGGACCATTCCTTGTCCTGACCAGGACAATGGCTAAATATGTATATTTTTTAATTTTCAAAGGAAAATAAAAGTCTTATAGTCCATTTTGACCAGAATTATCTCATTTTAGTTATGCCTGATCTTGAATTAATAATTGGACATTTTTTAAAAATTTTTCTATATTCCCCAAACCCAGATCTTTAAGTAAATATAGAATTAGAATTTTGCTAGAAAAGAAGGTCCAACCTTCAATTAAAGCCCAATTTGAAATCTGATGGAAACATTACAAACATTATCAAGTTCAGACAAACATCTCCAGTGTTTGTTCACAATAGTTGTAGGAAACAGAAACCCTCATAAGTTGCTGGTGCGGGGAATGGTTTAAACACCTTGGCAAGATTCATGTAAAAGTTTTTGTGCATATTCTGTGACCCAGAAAATCCACCTATTTAAAGGAAGAAACACACATACAAGAAAGTTCAGTAGGACTGCTTTTTACTAGAAGAAAAATTGGCAGCCACTTTCCATGAAGACAGCTGTCTAAGCTGTGGCCTGCTATAAAATATCATATAGCCATTAAAAAGAGCAGCAAGACAGATCTTCAAGACAGATTGTTGTACAAAAAAAGCAAGTTATAGACGGACATTCTCATGGTGTGACATGTCATTTATACAGAAAACTGAAACAAAATTATTCTCTCTCTCTTTTTATGGGAATATACAAATGCATGTACATGCATTGAAAAGGCAGGAAGTAATACTAGTGTTTACCTCTGGGGAGATGGAACAAAGAGGAACACTTGGGGAGAGGGTAGTCAAGGAGGAATTTAACTCTTGAGTTATCTTTTTCATCTTTTAGGGTGAGGGGCATATGGGAACTCTTTGTACTACCTTGGAACATTTCTGTAAATGAAGAATTTATTTACTATTGCCGTAGTTTAAAATTATTAGTTTTTAAATTCCTTAAAAAGAAAAATGGTAACTATATGGAGAAACCTGGCAAACATCACCAGCTGAACCTAGTGAACAAAATTAGCTTGACTAGTGATGAGTCCTATTGACTTCCCATTCCCTGGTGTGATGTGATGAGAGGGGCATTTTGTCTCTGTTGTACTCTTTCACTTAAACCCATAACCCCAGCAGAACCATGAGAAAAACATCAGAAAAAAATCAAATTAGGGATCTGTCTATAAGTCACCTGGCCAGAATCCCTAAAGACCGTCAAAGTCACAATAAACAAAGGAAGACTAAGAGACTATCACAGACCAGAGGAGACAAAGGAGATGTGATCAAATGCACTGTCATAACCTGTATAGAGTCCCAGAGCAGAAAAGAGAATATTAATAGGGCTGGGGATGTGGCTCAAGTGGTAGCGCGCTCGCCTGTCCTGCGTGCGGCCCGGGTTCGATCCTCAGCACCACATACCAACAAAGATGTGTCCGCCGAAAACTAAAAAATAAATATTAAAAAAAAAAATTCTCTCTCTCTCTCTCTCTCTCTCTCTCTCTCTCTCTCTCTCTCATCTCTCTCTCTTAAAAAAAAGAGAATATTAATAGAAAATTTGGTGAAATCCAAATGAAGACTAGTTAACAGTCATGTACCAATGTTTGTTCCTTAGGTGTGACAAATGTACCATAGTGATGTAAAATGTTAATAACAGGCAAAACTGGGGCAGGGCTCTACAGGAACTCTTTGTACCACCTTGACAATGTTTCTGTAAATATCAAACTATAACAAAATAAAACTTTTATTTAAAAAAAAAAAAACTAAGGAAAGGTTACTGGTAAACAGCGTTCTCCTGGAACTGATCAGAAGCTGTTCTGTGTTTGCGTAGTAGGAATTACATTCTGCTGTGGCTGTCAAAATGTCAGTCTGATGAGATTTGCTTTCCTTTGTGCAGAAGGCGCTTAAGAAAGTTATTTGTCATGGGATGTTGGTTGCCACTTGCCAGCTTCAGAACCAGAGTGCTGACCAGCATACAGATGCTGAACTTGGTACTTGACTGCTACATGCTTGTAAATCAGTAACTGAGCTTTAAAATTCAGAGCCACATTCCTATGCCTCCTCCCAGCTGCCACATTTTTTTTGCTTCATCCTAATCTCATCTGACTAGTATTCAACATTCAGAATGGCAATACGCTACCGCTGGGGCTCTGATACAGTGTAAAGTGACAGAAATGCTTGAAGAGGTCTCACATTATCACCCACAGGAAAATGGGAAGGAAGGTTAAAAACATTGGTTTTTGCCTCAGAGCTTTTTTTTTTTTTTTCTTTTAGTACCTGGAATTGAAACCAGGGGCACTTAATCACTGAGCTACATCCCCACCCCTTCTTATTTTTTTATTTTGACACAGGGTCTTACTAAGTTGCTTACGGTCTTGTTAAATTTGTTGAGGCTAGTCTCGAACTTGTGATCCTCCTGCCTCAGCCTCCTGAGCCACTGGGATTATAGGCTAGCACCAATACACCTGGCTCAAAGCTGCCTTTCTTAAACCCAGTGCTATTTTCTGTTCCCTTCTTGGAAAGCTGTTCTCCAGGCGTTTTACATGGCAGCTGCTTCTCAACCATTAGATGTCAGCTCAAATGCCACCTCCATCCCTACCAAGAGATCTTGGCTACCCTCTACCAAAGCATGCCCCTTTCTGCCCATTGTTCTCTGCCCCTGTGGTTTCTTTGTGGCAATCACAAGTTAAGAAATCTAGATTTACTTCTCTGTTCACTTATTTATTGCATGTTGCTCCAGGGGCAAGGACCCGTCTGTTTCATTTCCTGCACCCAGCATAATTCCTGGCACAAAGGTAGTATCTGAGTAACAATTGCTGCAGGAATGAATGAGTCAGACTAACATGTAGGGTGACTTGTGTTCCTTATCTGCCTCCCTCGTGCCCCACCTCTGGAATCTAAAAATAAACAGGTATTCTAAGCTCTTTATGGTCCTATTGACCATAAAAATCAACTTGAAAATACAGTACCCATGTTTTTCTCCCTCTGGTCAAATCCAAGAACAACATTTATGTCAGTAAGTAGTAAGGAGAAGTGGTTTTCTTCTTTCCTCCTCCCTTCCACTTTTTTCTTTCTTCTTCCTTTTTCTTTTTTTTTTTTAACATTTGGGCATCTGCTTCAACACAGACATTGATGACAGCATAGACTGCATCTGTTTCGTACCTGTCTTTCCAACCCCTCTGCTGGTGGAAGGAAGTAGAAACGAAGAAAGAAGCATCAGTTCTCCCTCCACTGTGTGACAGGGGAAAGGCAGGCTGGGACCTTCCACTTCGATTCCACCATGGCCTCTCATGCTATTGCCCTAACCGTGAGTTCCTACCACTCGATACCTACCTGAGGCCTCATCTCTGGAAGTCCCTGTGAACCTTCTGCTCTTCGCTGGCATGGAGGTCCCACTAAGTGCCCATGGGAACTACTAAACTCAGTGACCTGGTGGCCAGGCAACACCCTGGATCCTATGCTTTCCCACAATTTCAAACATAAAACTCTTTATAAAACTCCTTCTTCCTTTGCCTCCCACCTCTTCCTCACTCCTGTTCCCCTCCTTCAGTTCCAATGAGCCCCCTAAGAGTTTGACTCCTCCTACTGTCCCAGCCAATGAGGAACATAGATTTGTGCTGATGGCCGTCAGACATAAGTATCAGAACTTGGGGTAAAGCATGATCATTGCATCAGCATCAGAGGCAAACTGTCCAGGACTCTAGAAGCAGAGAGATTGTTCAAAGTTACCAAGGGCTGACTCTGCCTCCTCCTTCCTTCTCCACTACCCTCCACCCTCACAGTTTAGTTCAATAAGTTGGATCATAAATGTTTTAAAATACCCCTTGGTTAGTATAAGTTCTTCCTTAATGGTGACATATACCTCAGTGCGAAAGGCTGACAGTATAAAGAAAGTGTGGCTATTTATTTAACTCTGGCAGGAGACTAAAAGCATCACTGGTATTGCATGCCCCATCAGAAAATTGGGGAGCCAGAGAGATAAATGCTGCCTCTGCTCCTGACCTGTGCGGCCAACTCATTCCTCATTAGATTCTCTAGATCTCATTCAAATAGATTTAAAAGTTGCACAAGAGTGCTGTGTTTGTGTGTTCATGCTTGTGTGTTTGCTTCCAGCCACTCCACAACTCACCTGACCACTTCAGGTCTCAGTCACCACATCCCTGGCCTGGGAAGATAGGCCAGGAGAGGCTCCTCTGTCCAGCAATCTACTCAATCAACTTCCCCACACCTTTGACTTTAGACAATTTTCAGTTACTCTATGATTACTGCTAGGGTTGAAAGTAATAGAATTTGTGGAAAATGGGCTCACAACAAATTCATGTCCTCTTGCTTTAAGTGGGGCCTCTTGGCTATGTGCTCATCTCTATATTCTTCTCTCACTGACTGACCCACCTTGCCACAGGCCACTCTGAAATTCCGACCTCACTAATGCTGACAAACTGTGCCTCCTCTGTCCCTCTGTCTCTCTCGTCTCTCTCTCTCTCTCTCTAGTAGCCAGAACCAGGCATCAGTGCCTGCATCTTACTTTTTTGCACCTAAAAATTCTCTATCTTATCCACTTCAAGGCAAGTGATATCATTTTCCCTTTTTCAAAATTATTCCTCTACCTGGTTTCTTCATCCCATCTCCTCCTCCTCCTCCTCCTCCAGAGTCATCTGTCTCTCCATTTCCCCCTTTCATTTCCTCCACCTCTTCTTGGCCATTTCCCCTCCCTCACAGACCATAAACACATCAGGGTCTTCCCATTTTAAATAAGCAATTGACAGGAAACTCTTCCCTTTGAGTGACAAATAAATAATAGTAGATTATACCTTCAAAAACATGGTGGCACTGTGAAGACAAACGCCCACTAGCTTTGTGCGGAAACTTCCTTTCACTACCAAACTTCATGTCCATCCTAAATGGCAGCTACCTAACTGGCCTCCTTGCCTTCGGCCTCTCCCTCCATGAATCCAACTCACACCAGCTGCCATATGAATCTTCCTAAAAATTATGCCTTTGAATATGTCACTTTTCTTATAGGATTAAGCACAAATTCCCTCATCTGGGATTTATGGGCAAATTCACAACCTACCTCTGTTTCTGTCTCTCCCAGTCCCTCCCCCACAAAAAAAGGTCTCTTCATTATATTTCCTCATGAATCTTCTATTCGACCAGCTGGACTGGAACATGTGCCATATTTCCTCTGCATCATCTTTCATGGTGTCCCTCCTCGAATGCACTCCTCACTCCCCCGCCCCCCCCCCCCACGGATTGCCTAAGTTCCTCACTTGCTTCAAGCCTGGCTCATTACCTGCTCCTCCAAGAGGTTTTTCCCACTAGCACCAGGCCAGAGGGGACCGCCTCCCCCCAGACACTCTCAATAGTTAATAACTGCCCAGCTCACTGGGGGCTGATCATCAGGATGTGCAGTCTTGCACTGGTATCATCAGCTGTAGTCTATGTCCTGGCAGAAATATATTATATTATACCTCTTTATATTCCTCTTTTCTATTGGCACTTAATCTTTCGTATAATGAAAATAAGCCTGGCTAGGTAATAGAGCTTTTCATAGAGGGTCACAGAAAAACCATCAATGAACATTTCTCAGAACTGCAAACAGGTTGAAAAAGAGGGCCTATTGATTATTTCATCTTCTTCTTCTTCTTCTTCTTTTTTTTTTTTTGATACTGAGGATTGAACCCAGAGGTGTTTAACCAGTGAGCCACAACCCCAGCCCCCACCCTTTTTAAATTTTATTTAGAGACAGGATCTTACTGAGTTGCTAAGTGCCTTGATAAGTTGCTGAGGCTGGCTTTGAACCCATGATCCTCCTGCCTAAGCCTCCTGAGCTGCTGGGATTACAGGTATGTACCACCACACCTGGCATATTGGTTATTTCTTTATCTGGTACCTGGTAGAGGTTGACATTGCTATAAATGTTCTCCCAGATCTGGTCATAGTTGCACTGAAGCGAACTCTGGGAAGACATGAAAGACGGATGGTGCGGAGACAGCATGATTATCTTGGCAGCATGATCCTGGAGTACTTGCATTACTCGCTTGGGGTTAGAGATCTTAGGTAGAACAGAGAGGAGAAGGAATTGTTAGCAGAAACATTTTCCCCTTCTTCTCAGCTAGCATTTGGTCACACACACACACACACACACACACACACACACACACACACGAACAAGAAATAAACCCTAGATGGGGCTTTATTCAATTAAAAATAACACTGAATTTAAGCATCGCGATTACCCAAACATGTTCGTTCACTCAACATAAATATTCAAATATGCATAGTAACTCATTTAAAATTCTGTGACCACCCCCAAGGCAGTATCAGGTAGCATTTGCACAAGTGTTGTGGCACCAATGAAATGATAACATTTATCAGTTCTAGGTGAAACTCTGTCCACTGAAGGAACTGCTATGAGATGGAGGAGGAGCAGCAGAGAAGCAGAACGAGAAACCAGACATAGAACTGGGCTTATATCCTTCCTGGAATCGTGGCTTTTCACCTAGAACAGAGTATGTTGACCTAACAATAAGACTGGGGATCTCTCCCCAGATTCTGGAGGCATGGAATTGAATAATGGCCCCAGAATTGAACATCAACTTCAGGGATACACGTATTACTATATCATTTTAGTATCACAAAGAACCTCAAAAATCCCAGAAAATAACAAATGTTGGTGAGGATGTGGCAAAATTGGAATCTTGTACACTCTTAGTAGAATTATAAAATGGTGTAACAGTTATGGAAAGCATTGTGGAGCTTCCTCAAAAAAAAATCACAAATAGAATTAACATATGATTCAGCTATTATACTTCTGGGTATATATCCAAAATAATTGAAAGCAAAACCTCAAAGAGATATTTTCACACCTCTAGCAGCATTATTTACAGTAGCCATGAGGTGAAAGCCACCTAGATGTACATCAATAGATGAGTGGATAAATAAAATGTGGTATACATTTATAAGAATCTTTAAAAGGAAGGAAATTTTTACACATGTTCTGACATGAACGAATCTTGAAGATATTGTGCTAAATGAAATAAGTTAGCCACAAAAAGACAAACACTGTATGACTTCACTATATGAAGTATCTAAAGTAGTCAAGTTCATAAAAACAGAAAGTAAAATGATGGTTGCCAAGAGCTAGGGGGAGAGGGGAGTGGGGAGTTGTTCAAAAGGTATAGAGTTTCAGTTCTGAAAGAGGAGAAAGTTCTGTTGTGAGCAGATGCTCACAACAATGTCATTACATTTAACTCTACAGAAATGTATACTTAAAATGGTTAAGATGGTAAATTTTACGTTAAGCATTTCTACCATAATAAAAAAGATCATTTAGTCCAATATTTGTATTTCACAAATAAGAAAACTAAGGCTCAGAGAGGTTACATGACTAGACTAATATCACACAGAGACTTGACAATAAATCTGTGCTAAAGTCTAGCTCCTTTGACAATTTTTATTCTCTACTGAAAGCTAACAGGATTTTTAAAGTTGGATGGATTAGAAAGTTCCAAATACAGCCTTCACTTTGAATCCATACTAACATTTTTCAAAAGGGAAAGAAATTTCCTTTTTTTTTTTGAGGATGAATTTTATCTACAAGAGAACCTAGTTCTTTTCTCACCTTCAAAAACTTTGCTTGGAGTTGCATTAATACATCTATTCTTCTCCTTTCTTTTAGTTTGGTCAACATCTTCTTCTGCCAAGGATCACATTTTGGTTTGATCTAGTGGACAAACATATTCACATAAAGTTTCAACCTAACAGGATGGTTCTCAGTAAAAGCTGCAAACAAAAAGATTCAAAGACTTTCTGAAGTGGGATCTGGCCTAGGTACTAGGTTTGCTAGAACATGTGAGATCCTGGGAAGGGTCTGCTTGGGATCACAAATATGCGGAAGGAGATAGCAGTTCTCTGTCTGCAGTACACAGTCTATGAGCAGGAGGCACCCTGACTCCATCACGGTTGGGCATTGCACTTTATTCATGAAGTAAGAGAAAGAAGTTCACCCATGGACTCCTTCCAACTCCATTTTAAAACATCATGTCTCACATTAACAAATTGTATTTCAAAAACTAGTTCTGTTGTCGGGTGCAATGGCACATGCCTGTAATACCAGTGGCTTGAGAGGCTGAGGCAGGAGGGTTGCAAGTTCAAAGCCAGCCTCAGCAATTTAGTGAGGCCCTAAGCAACTCAGTGAGAGCCTGTCTCTCAATAAAATATCAAAAACGTAGTATATACACAAAGGACTGAAAATCAGCATATTATAGTGATGCTGCCACATCAATTTATAGCAGATCAGTTTCACAATAGCTAAACTATGGAACCAGCCTCAGTGTCCTTCAACAGAGGAATGAATAAAGAAAATGTGGTATATATACACAATGAAATATTACTCAGCCATAAAGAGAAATGAAATTAAGGCATTTGCCAGTAAGTGGATGGAACTGGGGAATAACATGCTAAGTGAAATAAAACAATCCCCCAAAAAACAAAGGCTGAATGTTCTCTCTGATATGCAGATGCTAACACACAATGAGTGTGGGGAGTAGGGAAGAATAGAAGTACTTTGGATTAGACAAAGGGAATGAAGAAAAGAGAGGGGAGAATGGGAATAGGAAAAGATAGTAGAATGAATCGAACATGACTTTCTTATGTTCATATAGGAATACACGACCAATGTAATTCCACATCATGGAATTACAACCAGAAGAACAGGAAGTTGTACTCCATGCATGTATAATATGTCAAAATACATTCTACTATCATGTATAACTAAAAAGAACAACAACAAATAAGGGGTGGGGATGTGGCTCAGTGATTAAGTGCAGTTGGGTTCAATCCCCAGTACCACACACACACAAAATTTCTGTGACTGTAAATACCATCAGTATGCTAATAGCTCTCAAATTCCCATTTTCCCCTCTCTTTCCTTCATTCCCTTTGTCTAATCCAAAGTACTTTTATTCTTCCCTACTCCCCACATTTATTGTGAGTTAGCATCTGTGTATCAGAGAGAACATTCAGCCTTTGGTTTCTTGGGGATTGGCTTATTTCACTTAGCATGATATTCTCCAGTTCCATCCATTTACTGGCAACTGCCATAATTTCATTTCTCTTTATGGCTGAGTAATATTTCATTATATCTGGACCCTAGGTTTTAGCTTCTTGTCCAACTATCTCCTTGATATCTATATTTGGATGTCAAGTTTAGCAATCTAAAACAGAAAATTCACCTTCCCTTATGCTGATCACTTGTGTGCAAGTCCCAAACCTAATCTTTGATTTCTCTCCTTTCAGTCCACAGGTCAGAATAGACTATGCTGAGAACATCTGTGTCCCTCTAAATTCACTTGTGAAATGTAACCCTGTAATATGATGTTAGTAGGAGGTGAGATCTGTAGGAAATAATTAGTTTGTGAGTGTGGAACCCTCATGAATTTACTCAGTGCCCATACAAATGAAGCCTGAGAAAATTTGTTCCTTCTATCTTGTGAGGACACAGCAAGAAATCAGTAGTCTACAACCTGGAAGAGGGCCCTCACCAGAGCCTAATCGCAATGCCACTTTGGACTTCTCAGCCTAGAGAACTGAGGGAAATATATTTCTGTTGTTTATAAACTACCAGGTTTATTGTTATTTTGTTAAAGCAGTCCAAATGAACAATGAGAATCATATGAAATTTTTCTTTCCCTCATAATACAATTAATCTTTATCATTCATGGATTTCATACTTTCAATTTTGCCTACTCACTAAAAATTACTTGTGACCCAAAATTTGACACTGGTAGAATTGTCATAGTCCTTCAAAATCATGCACAGAGTGGTGAACAATTGGAGTTGCTCACATTTCCAGCTGAGGCAACATGGTGCCTTCTCCTAATTTTAAAGGATACTATAGACAAGTATTCTTTGCATGGTCTATTTAGAGACACACTTTTTTGCATTTTCCATCGTTTTTGTTGGTAATTTCATTGTTAAAATGGTCTCTAAGCAGAGTTCAATAGCATGTTGTCTAGTGTTCCTAAGCACAAGAATGCTGTGACGTTCTCTATAAAGAAAATACATTAGATTTGCTTCATTCGTAAATGAGCCAGAGTGCTATTGACCTTGAGTTCAATGTAATGAATCAATAGTATATATTAACTGGGGATGTGGCCTAGTGGTAGAGCATATGCCTGGCATATGTGTGTTGCCCCTGGATTTGATTCCCAGCACTGAAAAAAAAAACTAAACAAAAAAACTTTAAATTATATATACATATATATATATATACATGTATGTTTATACATATATGTACATATACACATGTGTATATGTATATACATATATGTGCATATATGTATATATACATACATATGTATATACATGCATATATATATATATATATATATATATATATAGTCTTTAAACAGGAACACACGCAAAACAAAGTTATGTATTGATTAATGTTGTGAGCAGAGGATCACAGAACCTAACCCCCTGCCTTTCCCCTAGGAAAGATATGATGTGGTATCTACTAAAGCAGTGTTCCTTTCTAGAACATAACTTCCTAGAATGAGGAATGATTGCTCTTAGCACTATCCAAAATCATCTTATTTAATCTTCTTAGGTGTTTCTTATTAATTGTGCTTCTCCAGCACCAGTGATTGTGCCTGACAAAGTATTTACCCAATACTAGTTTTTAAATAAAAAGTTCGATTTACACGAGTCAATTACATCTTTGGGCATTATTCTTTGTTCTTTCCAAGTATTGGAGATCTTTAACCATAAGAAGGGAGTTTGGACCCAATGGAACAGGACAGAGGTATCTGGAACTTCCAGAGGAGCACATCAGCGTGGCTAATATCCACACAGGCAGCCAAAGCGCTGGGAGGCCTGATGCCCAAGGCCAGGTTCTCTGTGTGGTCTCCCCCCAGGAATCTTCTGGAGGCACTAAGGAGAGAGGACGAGAGGGACCAGATAGACCTGGTGCTGCCATGTTGCCTGGCCTGGTTGGAGGAAAATCTTGTGACACTGCTGACATCACTGACAGGTGATCGCCATCACAGGCCCCCTTACCTTTATAAAGGAAATCCAGTTGGCTCTCTTTTTCAGGGCTATAGGTGGTCCTGACAAATTCTCTGCTTTAGCTGTTCCAGCCTCATAGTCTGGAAACATCTGCATTCTCTGTTGCTCTGTGAAGATGCTTTGAAATTTTTGGAAAACCTAAATAAGATTTAGAAGAGAGAAGTGAAAAAAAAAAAGTCTCAGATGATATGCAATTTCAAAAACAGCTACTGATTATCTTTGAAATAGCCATGAAGTCAAACTGATTCATAACAAGAATCTGTGATAGCAATAGGACCTTACATGGATGTAGCTGTGTGGCACATGTGCAGTCAGCTCCTTACCCTAACTGTGTTTGTGTCACTTATCCTGAATGTCTGCTGCAAAGATTGGAAATACATTAGCATATTTATTTGTGTGTATTTTGAGCTGGGCCCTAAATGTAAGAAGTACATTGTCCACATCTGGAAACGTTTTGACTTTTTTCTGACCACCTCATAAAATAGAACATCCAAGGGTCAAGTATATCCTACTCTCAGAAGCCTGACTGGGATGTTACTAGAAAGAAGAGTCCAGATGCAAGAACCTCTTAAAACTTTTTAAGGTGCCTTGGCCTATTCCCTTCACATCTCACTTCCAGACTGAGGCTGCAAATGCTTTCTATGACATGACTTCCTACTACCAAAGTGCTGAGCATTTCCTCCTTTATTCTCCTGAGTGGCCCCAGGATCCACTGGCCCTTTGATGGCACCTCCATGATGCGTTGGCCAACTGCATCATGGCATGCTCACTACATGGTGATGGTTGCACAATAGTGTAATGTCCTTAATGCCACTGAACCATCTCCTTAAAATGTTCAAAATGGCAAATTTTATGTTATATGTATTTTACCATACATGTACATACACACGCACAAACACACACATACATACACATACAAAGAACCTACCATGCATGGTGCTGGCACATACTAAGATCTCAACAATGGTTTCTGAAGTGAGTGAGCAAGTTTGTGAGTCACAGAGCTGAATATTCTTCCAGTGCATGCTGGTGCTTCTGTGGCTGTCGAATACAGTTGTACCTTGCCACATGTGGCATTTTAACATTTAATTGAGGATTAATTAAAGATTAAGTAAACTGCTGGGCACGGTGGTACACACCTGTAATCCCAGCAGCTCTGGAGGCTGAGGGAGGAGGATTGTGAGTTCAAAGCCAGCGTCAGCAAAAGCGAGGAGCTAAGCAACTCAGTGAGACCCTGTCTCTAAATAAAATACAAAATAGGGCTGGGGATGTGGCTCAGTGGTCAGATACCCTCAGTACCAAAAAAAAAAAAAAAGAAAGAAAGAAAAAGAAGAGATTAAGTAAACTTGAAAATTTAGTTTCTCAGTTGTAGTAGCCACATTCCAAGAGCTCAATAGCTATAGGTGACTACTGGTTAACTTACAGGTCAGAGCAGCCAACATATTCATCACTGGGAAATTCAGCAAGACAGTGCTAGATTAGGACTGAATTGCACATTTTCTTCAAGGGCCAGATAGTAAGTATTTTAGTCTTTACAGACCACAGGGGCTCTGTTGCAACTACCCAAGTCTGCTGTTGTAGTGAAAGCAGCCATAGATAATACATAAATGAATAGGCATGATTATGCTATTGTCTGAATATTTATTTATGATTGTACACAATTTGTGTATTGAAATCCTAATCCCCAAGGTGGTGGTATTAGGAGGTGGGGACTTTGGGATGTGGTGAATAGCATTAGTGTCACATTAAAAAAAACCCAGAGAGACTCTTGCCTTTCTACCATGTGAAGACACAGCAAAAAGGCACCATTTATGAGCCAGAAAACAGGCCCTCACCAGACACTGTATCTACCTTGGTCTTGAACTTCTCAGTCTCCACAAGTGTAAAAAATATATTCTTTTCATTTATAAGCCACCGAGTTATAGCCATCTAAATGGGCTGAAGCACTGTATTCCAAAGAGTTTGATTTTAGAAAAACTAGTGTTGGGCAGCAGGCTTTGGGTTTGCTGAACTGACTCTGCTCCAGGGACATTAAAGTACCAGAATAAACATTATCTAAACATAAGAACTCTCCCTACACAAAAATGTTGTTGTAATATGATTGATTAGCTCAGGAGCACAGTTAACGTTTCACATGATGCTATTATAAGAAAATCAAATGGCAACTATCACCACATGGAGGAGACAAGTTGTCCTTTGGAACAAGGCTGCTTTGTTGGAGTGCCCAGCTGGCCTGTGTCCTCTTGTTTATCATTGATAATAGTCTACTGTGCTGCAATTTATTATTACTTATTCTGTTCTTTTTAAATACCATCCTATTCCTGTTCTGTGTTTTGCCCTTCATAACACTTGGTGATGATAAGGCTGAGGACACTCCCTAGAAGCCCCGTGAGGACAGTGCTGCTGGGTCAACAGAAGAAAAACAAAAGCTAAACATCATCACCTTCAAAGAAACTGGAGGAATGTGATACCACTGGTTTCACTGAACTGCGTTACTAATGGAAATGATGGAAATGATCCCGGTAGAATGATGCAAGAACAAGTACAAACCCAAGGGCAACTTCAAGGTCAAACGAATGATGATAGAGGAGAGAGTAGCACTTGTCATATGAAGAGCAATCCAGAACACTCAGATTTGATTTTTGCCCATTTGGATCCGTTCATTTGTTACTTTTATTTAGCAAATATATACATTTGCAAATAATATCAGCTAGAGGTAGAAAACTATTTTTATTGTCAAAACGTTTGCTGAGAAATTTTGTTATATCCGATGCTCTTCACCCATACTCCTGTTTTTCCTTTTGCAACAAGTTTTAACATGGCTTTTGATGATGTGAGTTCCTTTTTCAGGTTATACAACACTGTGTTTTCTTGTTTTTTGTTTTGTTTTGCTTTGGGAGGGGAGGTACCAGGTTCGATTGAACTCAGGGGTGCTTGACCACTGAGCCACATCCCCAGCCCTATTTTGTATTCTATTTAGAGACAGGGTCTCACTGAGTTGCTAAGCACCTCGTTGTTGCTGAAGCTGGCTTTGAACTCATGATCTTCCTGCCTCAGCCTTCTGAGCCACTGGGATTATAGGCATGTGGTACCACACCCAGCTAACTCTGTGTTACAGCAGAGAAGACTGTGACTCTAAACCTCACGACACAAGGTACACTTTGTTGAATATAAAGCATTTTGTCAGCAAGGAGAGTACTGCCACACATTCTGAGAATCAGAGGGCTTTAGACACTTGATGACTCTACCATGCAAATTTGCCAGATCTTGGCTACATTTTTAGTTCCTACAGACTGTTGCCCAGCCTTTTCTTTAAATTCTGCAGAAAAAAAAAAAAAAATCCTACAGTTCCTCTGGGTTTGCCATTGGAAGGTCCCATTCCTCTTATGGAAAGTAAGTTCTTCCTAACTGCCAACCTAAATGTCACCTATTACTATTTTATCTAGAAACAACCTTGGCAATATAAATATGCATCTTGGTGGCAAATAATGGTGTTTTCCTTCACGGACATCTAGATTTATTAAGAGTACATATAGGGGGTGGGGTTGTGGCTCAGTGGTAGAGCGCTTGCCTAGAATGTGTGAGGCACTTGGGTTTGATTCTCAGCACCACATATAAACAAACAAATAAATAAAGGTCCATCAATAACTAATAAATTAAAAAAAGAGTACATATAGTACCATTGAAAAAAGTTCCATTTCCTTAGCAGAGTTCCTTAGCTCCTGCAGGTCGTATGGGATATGGAAGTGTGACAACAGGAGCCTCAGCTGAGGTTTCAGTTCTCCTGTTTCTGTTGTGTGTTGGGGCAGGATGAAATCAGCGTCTGTTCTCATTGGCCCTGAAAAAGATCCAAAATCAAGAGCGTGAAGGCCAAAGAATACAGGAGGGTCTACAGAAAGGCACAACCAGGCGGCCACACATCAACTCAGTTCTTACAGAAGCATCCAGGTTAGGTTCAAGAGCAACACTTTGCTTTGATAGGGAAGGAAGGAGTTAGAGGTGGAACCTCAGAGGGTCCTTGGAGATAACTAAAGATAGGCCCTCCTCTGCCCCTTGCCCAACCTTCTCTGCCACATTTATAATCAGCACCACACTTGGCCAGGTGTATCCGACAAGTCCTCGGAGCTAGATTTCTGCAGGAGAGAGCCAGGACTCCCCACCCTCTCACAGCCTGCAGGAGGAACCCAACAGACCTTTGGGAGATGACTAAGTGGAAGCATCCCTGCCCAGATTTCTTTGTGGCAAATGAATTATATCACTTAAACATTAATCAACAAATGAGAAGAAGGTGAGAGCTTTCACCTTCTTGTGTCTAATTCCTATTCAACTCTAAGGACCCAGCTGGAATTCCCCTCCTCTCCATCAAGAAAACTTCTGAGATCCCCATCACTGAGGTTGGCTGCCACTCCCAGGTGCTCCTGGGACACTCTGTGCATACCCTAAGCAAGAATGGTACTCTAAGTTACATCAGGTTTCTTGACCATCTGTAACAAAAGACCAGGAAGACTATATTAAATTGATTCTGATGAATAATTAGTTTAGAATTGTGTGATCTTAAAACTGAAAGGAACACTAGAGATCACTTATTCTGAAAGGTTTATTATGTAATAAGTAAACTGAGGCCCAAGAAAATGCAGGCCTAGATGGGCAGGACAGAAACAACCCCAGAACCCAAATCTCCTGATGTCAAGTCCATTTTTTCCCTTTCTTTTAATTTGTGAATTACAAAGATCAAAATGTCTAAGGGAAGTGGTTAGTGATTTTTCTCATCAGAAAACATAAAATTAACATTTGTTCATTAGGAAGATACAACTTTTGATACATAGAAAAATGTTTGCGGGCTGGGGATGTGGCTCAAGTGGTAGCGGGCTCGCCTGGCATGTGTGCGGCCCGGGTTCGATCCTCAGCACCACATACAAACAAAGATATTGTGTCCGCCGATAACTAAAAAATAAATATTAAAAAATTCTCTCTCTCTCTCTCTCTTTAAAAAAAAAAAAGAAAAATGTTTGCAAAATCATGGTACAAAACAGCACATGTCCCCAAACACAATCTTCTTTTCTCCACATTACCCTAGGGGGAAGAAGACTAATTTCTTACCTGAAATGCTAGTATCCACCAGGCCAAAAGATGCAGGACCCTGGATGTTGGGGTCCATGTCATTGACACAGACCTTGTCATTTTCCTGACCAGCCTCAGGGTCTTGGTTGTCAGCTGGACTCAGCATGTTGGAGATGGGCAAATACTGAAGGGCCTACAGAAGGATATAACCATAAGCCACACATCAACCTGATTCTCAGGGAAGCTTCCAGACTCAGGTTCAGGAGCAGTACTTTGCTTTGATAGGAAAGGAGGGAGCTAGAGATGGGACCTTAGGAATCTGCTAATGATGAGGAACTAAATTTGAAAATGGGAAACCAGTATTGTTACCAACTCTGAGTGACCTTAACCTCCAGCCAGTTCTACACCAATCACACAACCAAAACAGACAAAGCCTTGTAAGGTACTAATGATATAAAGAGAAACAAGGGCTGGGGATATAGCTGAGTTGGTAGAGTGCTTGCCTCACATGCATAAGGCCCTGGGTTCAATCCCCAGCACCACAAAAATAAAGAAAGAAATAAAAAGAAACAAGTTGGTTCCCCACCTTGGAATTCACATTTTGGTGGAGGACCCAAATGGATGAGCAGATATTTATACCACCATGTGAGTGGGGAGAGGTATTAGAGGTGTAGCCCACAGTGACTAGACGTGAAAAAGAAGTCAAGTCAGGTGATGGCCAGGTTTCTGGTTTGAACTCAGTGGTGTCACTGAAATACGGAGGAAAGGAGTAAGAAAAGATTTAGGTAGCCAAACAATAATCTTTCTAAAATGGAAATGTAATCATGTAACTCCTTTGTGACCCTCCAGCCTGAGTTAGGTCCTCTCCTCTGTGCCTTTACCTTGTACTTGCTTTGTTTACTTTGTCTCTTATGCCATTGCATTTCAGTAAAAGTTTACTTGCCCTGCCTGCCTGGGACCTCATTACCTTTCAGCAAAGACCACATTTTGCTGTGTGGCCTAGGACAAGTAGCTGGCAGACTCTCATTAAATATTGCTGACTAACAAAGTAGACCCCTGTTGAAGAGCATAAATCTTGAACAGAAAACAGGATGAAAACAGGAAGTTACAGAGTGAATGGAAATAATACATCTGAGCCATCTTTGAAAGAGCTGAATTAATGCAGTGATTTCAACGGAGCAAGTTTTTTTTAAAAAAATTCCAGTGACTCATTGCTTTCCTGTCCTTTTTAGAGCAGGTAGAGTACAGAAACCCTGACAAGATGACAGATGCGAGAAAACGGCATGGTGGCCATTCGTGGGAGTGCATCACAGGGTCATATAAGCATTTGACATACCTGTAGATAGTGGTGAACAGTCCTGAAAGAGTGTAGGTGACACACTAACCACCTTGTGTAAATTGTCACATCTTCCAGCATCACTATGTTAGGAGGATTCTTTTTTCCCATAAGGAAGTTTTCTCGAGCAATGGATAATCTTTCAGCTCTCTGGACAGCATCACTGTATTCCTGCATAATGTAGCCAACTCGTTTCTGTTTAAGAGAGATAGGAAGACAGAGCTTGGCATTGGCAAGCCTTATTCTCTGTGCCATTGGCTTCCAAGCATAGGGGGATGATGTCTGGGGGCCAAATAAAGGGTGAATCCCAAAGTTCCACCATATTCTGAATTTGACTGATAAAGGCAGTGTTCATATTCTTAATTAGGACTTTGAAGGAAAAGACTGCAGACAGTCAGTGCATCAGGAGATTTAGTTACTGGACTCAGCTTTTGAGCTGTCACCTACAGCAGCGGAAGCCAAGTCTAGAGAGAAACACACATATTCTATCATATAAAACTTTCTTCATATCTCATTCTTAAAAATAGGAACCATTATCTTCTGCCACTAGCAGAACAGGCAAGAAGATGCACCAATCGATTCCTTTCCTATCTTTGTCAGTGATTTAAAAACATGGACAAGCTTATTGACCATTATTTTTATCATAAAAAAATAGCGCACAGAAGTTAGCCAACCCCCCAAAAACAAATGCCGAATGCTTTCTCTGATATAAGGAGGCTGACTCATAGTGGGGTAGGGAGGGGGAACATGGGAGGAATAGATAAATTCTAGATAGGGAAGAGGGGAGTGAGAGAAAGGGAGGAGGCAGGGGATTAGCAAGGATGGTGGAATGTGATGGACATCATGATCCAAAGTGCATGTATGAAGACACGAATTGGGTGTCAACCTACTTTATATACAGAGATATGAAAAATTGTGGTATATATGTATAATAAGAATTGTAATGCATTCCGCTGTCGTGTATTTAAAAAAATTATATATATAATATATATATATATACACATGAAAAAAAATAGCCCACAGGTACTATTCATGGTTTCCTACCTTGTAAAGAGGATGAAGTTGCTCCATGGTCTTACTCTGCTGGCAAAACCTCTTCCACCTAACCATGTGTAAATATTTACACTGGGCCAACTGGGTAATTCTCTCTGTGTAATACTTTAACCAAAAAGGAAAAAAAAGCACTTAGCAGAACACTATTGTAATAGGAAGACTGACTTAAGTCTTAAGAACACAAATTTTAAAAGTCGGAGAAGAAAGAACACAAATAATAGGTAAATCGAACTCTGATTGTTTTAGAAAAATGTACTTTACTACATGAAGACCATAAAATTAAGAAGTCTGGCTTATGATACCATTCAAACTTAAATAAAACATGTAGAGACTTCTAAATTTTCCTGATATGTTGCCAAGTGAATAGTTTATAAGCTCATTTATAAATTATAGAACAATCTTAGCAGTGATATTAAGGTCTATCAAATTATCCAATGTAGGCTTTAATTTTCTATTAAGAACTGAAATGATTCAAAATGCAAAGTACAACACAGGTAATATTAAAGCTTTTAACCTCAGATCAGAAGTTTTATTTACACTTAAAAATATTAAATAAGGGCTGGGGTTATGGCTCAGTGGCAAAGCGCCTGCCTAGCACATGTGAGGCACTGGGTTCGATCTTCAGTACCACACAAAAGTAAAATAAAGGTATTGTCTATCTACAACTAAAAAATAAAATAGTTAGGAGCTAGGATTGTGGCCAGCAGTAGAGAGCTTGCCTAGCATGTTGGAGACACTGGGTTGGATCCTCGGTAACACATAAAAATAAATAAAATAAAGGTATGTGTCCAACTACAACTAAAACAATATTTTAAAAAAGTAGTTAAATAAGCCAGGCATTGCAGCACATGCCTATAATCCCAGCAACTCAGGAGGCTGAGGCGGGAGGATAACAAGTTTGAGGCCAGCCTCAGCAACTTAGGGAGACCCTTTTTCAAAATAAAAAGGGCTGGGGATGTAGCTCAGTGGTAGAGTACCTCTGGGTTCAATCATCAATCCTCATACTGAAAAAAAAAAAAAAGATTAAATAATCTTTTGAAAATGTTTTCTTTCTAATAATAAAAATAATGCTGGCTATGATAGAATAACTGGGACTAGCTCTATCATGTCCTTCCATCATAAGCAAGTAGAAAATTGGAAAAAATAGGGGCTGGGATTGTGGCTCAGTGGTAGAACGCTCATTTAGCACATGCGAAGCCCTGGGTTCGATCCTCAGCACCACATAAAAATAAATAAATAAAATAAAGGTATTGTTTCTAACCACTTCCAAAAAATAAAAAACGTTAAAAAGAAAAAGAAAATTGGAAAAAATATACAAGTCAATTGTTTTCTGACCGTGAATAGGCAGGACTATAACCCCTACAAGAAGGAAACATATAATGTCAAACTCCCGTCACCCTGCAGTTTCTGAGACATGGAAAGGAACAGGGAATCCCAAGCAGAGTAAGTATTCTCTCTGAGTTAAGAAGGGAGAAAGTGAAACTTGTAAGTGGAGTCAGGAGTTTGCAGAGTGGAATACTAGAGACGGGAAACTAGGTAGAGAAAGGACTCCAGAAATACGCAGCGATCCCTTGAAGTCTGTGGCTGAATACCTAGCCAGGTGTGTAGAGGGTGAAACTCCACGTTGCTGCACCAAGGAGAACTGACTGGGGTGTTGTAAACTGAACAGATGTTCAAGATCCACCCAGCCAGAGCAAAGGAACTTCAGTGGGCACTAGATCTTCACTGGGACCCAGGACATTCAGTGGACACAACAGGGAGTTCAGTAATAAGGACAAACTATGACTATAGTAAAGTTATTCTAAACCCACTCTAACAAATTTAAAAGCAAAGCTCGAAAGGATTAAACTGATATGTAACTTAAAAGTCCGCTGGAATAAATTTCAACACTCACTCTAAGGAAAATACAAACTCTGGCACCCAGGAATGAAAAGTTGACAATTTTCAGCAATCAAAATTTTTTAGAGGGCTGGGATTGTGGCTCAGTGGTAGAGCGCTCGCCTAGCATGTGCGGGGCCCTGGGTTCGATCCTCAGCACCACATAAAATAAACATGTAAAACAAAGATTGTGTCCAACTACAACTAAAAAATAAATATTAAAAAAAAATTATTAGAGGGCTGGGGTTGTAGCTCAGTGGTAGAGCACTTGTCTTGCATGCGTTCGATCTTTAGCACCACACTAAAAAAATAATAATAAAAATAAAGATATTATGTCCATCTAAAACTAAAAATAAAATTTTAAAAAGTTATTAGATATGTAAAGTAGCAGGAAAACATGATCCTTAAGCAGAAGAAAATTATTGATGAGAAACAGGCCCAGAAAAGACAAAGGTGATTAAATTAACAAGCAAGCACATTGTTTTCTTTTCTTTCCTTTTTAATTCCCCACTGCTCTAGGATTGAACCCAGGGTCAGTGAGTCACATCCCCATTCCTTTTGTATTCTTCATTTAACTGACCTCAAACTCGTGATCTTCCTGCCTCAGCCTCCCCAGTGGATGGGACTATAGGCATGCACCACGATGTCCAGTTCAAACAAGAACTTTTAAAGAACTTAATATAAATATGTTCAGCATGATTGAAGATTGAAAGGAAAATGTGAACATAATAAAGAAAGAGATGGTAAATGTTAAAAAGAATCAATTGGAACTTCTGTAAATGAAAAACAAATATCTAAAATGAAAAATTGAGTGGATGGTATTAAAAGCAGATCAGATATTACATAAGAAAAGTTGGTGAACTTGAACTGGGGATGTGGCTCAGTGGCAGAGTGTTTGCAAGGCACATGCCAAGCCCTGTAACCAATCCCTAGTACTGGAAAAAAAAAAAACAAACTGGTGAACTTGAAGACACAGCAATAGGAAATGTATAAAATGAAACACTAAGGGGGAAAAAAGACTAAAAATTTTAACATAGTCTCAGTGATCTATGGAACAATATGAAGTGGTTTAACAGAGTATATTTGCAGTGCCACAAAGTGGTTGCAGACAGACAATATATATGAAGAAATAATGAATGAAATATAGTTGGTTACTACTTGCAACAGTTTTCCCAAACTCATGAAAACAATAAACCCACAATCTAAGGAGTTCAACTAACTACAAGTAAGAGGAATAATACATACTATAATAAAATAGCTAAAGATCATTAAGAGAAAATCTTAAAAACAGCCAGAGGACAAAAAGATGCATTATGTTCTGAAATAAAAATTATGCAAAACAAAAGAATAATGGAGCAACATCTTTCAAGTAAAGAAGAGAAAAAAATCAACCTAGGATTCTATATTGAATAAAAATATCTTTCTAAAATGAAAGGAAGTACTCAATGGTAGAGCACATGCCTGACATGTGAAAGGTCTTGGGTTCAAATCCCCAGTATCACACGCACATGCACACGCGTGCTCGCGCACACACACACACACACAAAACATAAAGAAATAAATAAAAGAAGACTAATTTTTGCAAAACAACATACTGTGAGAATTTGTCCATAGGAAACCTGCACTAAAGAAATGTTAAAGGAGTTTCTTTAAACAGAAGACAAATGATATATGGAAATTTATAGTGTACTAGAGTTTCTCAACCTTAGCTCTATTGACATTTGGGACTGGATAATTCTTTGCTGTGGGAGGCTGCTCTGGGCATGGCAGAATGTGTAAAAACACCCAGGGCAAAGTATCTCCAGACATTGACAAATGTCTCAAAGTGAACAAAATGTCTATTATCTTACCCTCTTCATCAACTCTCTCCATGGAGACGCACTGATACATACAAGGGAATTAAGAATGCAAGAAATAGTAGGTTAAAATAATCCTAAGTTAACAACAGCAGTATGACTTGCAAATAGAATCTCAGTATCTTTTGTTTCTTTGTGGTTAACTTAATTGCTAACTAGTTGCTAAAGAACTTATTTGTGGCTGGCACACTGTCTCACACCTGTAATTCCAGCTACTTGGGAGGCTGAGGTAGAAGGATTACAAGGTCAAAGCCAGCCTCAGCAATTTAGCAAGACCCTGACTCAAAATACAAAATACAAAAAACTGAGCCTGGGTTCAGTGGCACATGCTTATAATCCCAAAACTTGGGAGGTTAAATCAGAAAGATCACAAGTTTGAGGCCAGCCTCAGCAACTTAGTGAGCTCCTGTTTCAAAACAAAACTAAAAAGAACTGGAAACATAGCTCAGTGATAAAATACCTGTCAGTTCAATTCCAGCACAGAAAAAAAAAATTGTCTTGGGCCTGAAAATATTGCTCAGTGGTAGAATGCTTGCCTGGCATGTGCAAAGCCCTGGGTTTGATCCTCAATATCATTTAAAAAAAAGAACTTATTTGTAAGCATAGGGGATGTAACTCACAACACGTGAGTAAAGAATGAAGAATTTTAAAAATTAAAATTATAAATGCTTAGTATAAAAACATTTAGAGGAAATGTATTATCCAAACATAGTGATTGTTAACTTTCTGGTCTGTATCCACCCAGTGATTCTTCTAGACATGATTTGACTGCTATTATCACATACACCTTTATTAATATTATATTAACAATAATTCCTTAGGCTAAAAAAAGGATAAATAGTAGAATGACATTCTACTAAGTACCATACTGCTTTTCTAAGCTCTTTTTCATCCTGGTAGGTAGATATTTAGGTGATTCCAATTGTTTTACTTTTATTACAATGTTGTAATAATAATCTTTATGGAAAAAAATTTTCCATTTTGAGTTATTTTCTTAAGAAAAATTTCTGGAAATGTCTTTCCTAGATTAGCCAACAGTCTCTGGAAGGCTGAAACTGTCTCAACGTTGCATTGCCCCATATAAGCACAGGAAATGTTTAGTAGGAACTTACAGTGTGCCTAAACTGAACTGCGGTGTGGTATAACTGCACTCACACTAACCAAGTTCCGCAAACTACACATGTGTAGGAAAACCTACCAGAAAGCTGGCTTTGTTCATAAATTTCGACTAAATTCCAGCTGTGTTTTTGAATTGCAAAGGGACCCTTACCTGCAGCAGAAGCAAAGGCAAATTTTCAGGTGAGTACTCTCTTCTTAGGCAGCTCTCTAGCTCCCTCTGCAGGACATCTGCCTGAATAACAAGGGGCTTCGGCTCAGCCACCTAAATCCAAAAACTAATTTTAATATCCCAAATGGAGAACTGTAAAATTTCAAATCTCCAAGAAAACAACGGCCTGCTCTTATTCAGCAGGGATATTTTTGGGGGGATGTTTTGTTATCGTACACAGTGTCAATAACATCAGCTGTTTGATTGCAAAAGTAAACTTTCCTTGCTAAATTTCCAAGTTAGCAAAATCAAATTTATTGTTGTGTTGAAAAGGTCCACCATTACCCTCACCTGTAAGGTTTTCTTCAGTGCCAGTTCCCTTTCTCTTCTAAAGTAAGAGATGTCCTTTGGTATTTTAACAGAGCTGCAGAAAGATTTATGCAACAGAGCTGTAATCACAGAAGCTGTAATCAGATTATAGCTGGGCCTTGATTAATCTGTAACTCTTCACAACTGCTCATTCTCAAATAAGTATATCATATTATAGTAGATTATGGAGGGCATGTACAGGCCACATTCTTGTGTCTTAGAATCTTTCTCTCACAGACCTGATATTGGCTAACCCTTTCCCCAGGGTAATTTCTCTCTCCTTTTCCCCCACACAAATATGGTCTGTCCTTCTATTCATAATTTGCCTCACTATTTCCTACTCCAGAGTCCAGAGAGGGACATATGGTAAGAATTTTTATTTCCCCTGCCTTTATTCCTCCAGGAATATCTCTGCTTTAATTCTTCCAGGAACCTTATCTCTAACAAGCACTGAGCTTTACCAAATCTCCCTCTTGCCCTAGTTGACGCAGAGCACTGGTATCTTGTAAAAATTTTTAAAATGTTTTTTACTTTTGTGTTCTTGCTGAATTACCTGAAGGTGAAGGTGACCTTAAATATCAAACAGGAAACACTCTAAGAATTACTGTACCCAAGTTTTCTGCCTCAGGAAGACTATTGATCTGTAGGATAAGCAGACTTAGAAGAAGTGCCTGCTGGTGCAGCCTGATGGACCCTGGTCAAGCCCCGCCATGATGAGTTGTTCTCATCAGGGACTCTCATGCAGGCAGCATAAGCTGCAGGTCCAGGTAAGCAGGTGGGGTCTGGTCAGCAAGAGCAGGGCTCTCCCTATCGGGTTTAAGATGCATCCCAAGGCTTAGCAACATTGAAACACCAGGGGACAGTAACCCTGATGCAGATGCCACTTTCTCAAGATGGGATGTTGTAGACATTGGCAAAGGAGCCACAGTAGGCAGTTCTGGAACACATGAAATGACCTAGAAATTTTGAGGGAGGTGGAGGCAGTGAAATTTAGGTTCCTATTCTTCATACGATCCTACTTGTCCTCACAGATAAGTTGTTTGTTTGCTTTTCCAGCACTGGTGATACAACTCAAGGGTGCTCTAGCACTGAGCTACATCCCCAGAATTTTTATTTATTGTTATTATTACTTTTAAAATTTTGAAACAGAATCTCATTAAATTGCTGAGGCTGTCCTCAAACTTGCAATCCTCCTGCCTCAGCCTCCCAACTTACTGGAATTTCAGGTGTGGCCCATCAGGCCGGGTCCCACAGAGAAGTTTTTAAACTTCATGTTAGTTTGTACACTTGCCAGCAAGTGGTTCTGTGAAAAGAACAGGAGGTTGACAGGAGATTGGTCAACTGCATGAATCTAAGCAACTCATTTAGACACTCTGTGTCAAATTTCTCCCTCTGAAGCTGGGGCATTGCCTCCCTTAACTTTCTCCTCCTACCTTGGCTTTGATGGGAAAAGAAAGAAGCAAACTCTGAAAAGGGCTTGAGAGTAAATATGTCAACAAATCAAAGGTATAACTTGCATCTTGGCCACAGCCTCAAGGAGGAGGAGAGGCAGTGGACAACCAGAAAGGAGATGGGCTACTCGACAGGGAAAACAGAAGAAAACTTCCTGGCCCTCTTGTCTCCTTATCTTTGACAAACTGGGAGACTGGGCAGGGTCCCAGGCTTGGCTGCCCAACCCTCTCACTCAGATCACATCGTTCCTCTCAGTAAACCTCAAAGTGCCTGGGAGTGACCTAAAAGCGGCTGGTGAAACTAAGTGATGTGTACACTGACCCACAAATAGAGATTCACGCCTGTATGTCCATTTACCACACAGCCATACACTTATTCGATCAGCAGGCACATAAGAGACACAACCATTGCAAAGTCCAGCGCTTATGAGTTGAAATGAGGAAAAGAATGGGGGCGGGAGAGGAAGGGGAGGGTGGAGATAAGGAAAGAAAGATGTTTTTTTTCAGTGCCCTGGGAATACTTATTGGGAGTGGATACTTCCATTTTCCTTGGACTCCGGAACATAGCACAGTACTGGTGCTATGTTCTTACTAACAATCCTGGGTGGTTTGGGGGAGTAGAGAAATATGGGTACCCAGGAATTCCCATTGAAACTGGGGAGGAAAAGGCTTTGCTGCTGGTTATGCCTCACTAAAGCTTAGGAGACTGGTTTGCGAGGGAACAGGTTTTACTGAAAGCCAATGAGAAGAGAGAAGACTTTCTTTCTCACAGAGGGTGTGGAAAGCTTTTATAAGAGAGGGGCAGAGAGGGATGGTAGCCAGGGAATATAATCTGTAGATTTAGCTTGGCTGTGTCTATCTAGCCAGAGAGTCTTGGTCCAATTTCCTTGGTGACTCTCCCCAGCATGAGAAAGTTTTCCGGTTTCTGTAGGAGGGTGTTGAGGAGCTATTTCATCTTCAGTGTGCCCTAAAAGGGCCTTTCCCAAAGCTTTTACACTTGCCTAACTCTCTTGACATGTAAGTTGTAATAATATCAACCCTTTATTTTTGCATATGAAAAACTTGGGTTTTTTTCTAGTTTTCAAAATGCTTTAACATGCATTATGTCATTTGATCCTCACAACCTAATAAAGGAGGAAAAGTACATACTTTTTAAAATATATATTTTTAGTCGTATGGCCCTTTATTTATTTATTTTTATTTATATGCTGTGCTGAGAATTGAACCCAGTGTCTCACACATGCTAGGCAAGTGCTCTACCACTGAGCCACAACCCCAGCCCTGGGTACAAATATTTTTTTACTTCATTTTTTAAAGAAAGAAACCAAATTTGAGACAAATTGTGACTTACATGGGTCACAATCTTTCCATTTCCTCACACAACTGCAATAGCTTCAAAGACCCATCACAAAACACACCATATAATAGTTCTTCAGAATTGTCTTTCGAATGAAGCACTAATTCACCTGGTTACTGCCTCTTCCAATCTCCTTTCCTTATTGCTCACCATCCACCTTGTGCTTACTCTACCCAACAGAGTTTTCATGTTGTTCCTTTTGATGAATTATAACAGAAACAAAGGAATGTGAAGATCCAGGGCCCATGAGACTCCCCACTTAGGGACTGATCTGGCTACCCTATTTAAAAGAATTTGATGGCTCTCACTGGCAACATTTACCCTCTAAAAGAACTCCTAATCCAACAGCATTTTGTAGAATTCATTACGAAATACCTAGCATTATTTCAGGTTTTATATTTCTCATAAAAATCAAGATCAAACTCAGTTAAAATGTTATAAGATGAAGTCTCTTTATGGAGTATGATTTCTACAATAGTTTCTGGAACTTTAGGATGGTAGTGTTCTTGAACATGTAGGAACATTTCCCCACTTTCTTCAGTGAGACATTGATTGTTCCAACCTGCCTTAACAAATCTAGAATGTAGGAAAACTTTAGAGGCAACAGTTAGGTTAGAAAAGCGCAATTGGTCTATGTCTGTACCACCCTGAATGCTCATGATCCTGCCTGAGCTCAAAAGCTATGCAGGTCTGAGCCTGGTTAGTATTTGGGTGGAAGAAAGGGGTGCCGAATCTACTTTTGTATGTCATTTGTCTGAGTTTGAGATCACGTCAATTATCCAGGGGAAAAAAAAGATCGGGGAGGACTGATGGAGATTATGGGGTAAGAGCAGGAGGTAAAGCCCTGAGGACCACACTTTCTCACTCCTACTGTTTACCTGTAAGCTCGATGAGCTGTTCCCTGAAGGAGCTCCTGTTCTTCTATTTCAGACTTCAGTTCACTCAATTGCACCGCCAGTTCTTTCTCCAATAGCTGGGTCCTCTCTGTGGAAGTGATCTTATAAATTTCATCCATGTTTTGCATTTGCTCTTTTTCCGTATCCCTGAAAAACGAGAGCATAAAGCTTGTGGCTGACTTCCCCAGCAACCATTATCCAGCCGGTGGGACTTGATCTTTCTCCAAGAAATATTGTCAACTTCATGGAAAAACATGCTTTTGCAATTTGAAGGAACATTTGGGTTAGACTGTTGTCGTTTATAATTTATTACCATTATGTAAATAGTAGAGAGAAAGTAGGCTAGACTCTCCACTCACCAAAATCACCTGCTTAAAACTGGCAACTGTTAGAAGAAAACATAGGGTCAACACTCCATAAGATTGGTTGCAGGCACTGACTTCTTCAACAAGATCCCTAAAGCTCAAGAAATAAAACAAGAATCAATAAGGGAGATGCTACCAAATTAAAAAGTTTCTGCACAGCAAAGGAAGTGATTTGAGAGCATTGGTACCACCAGTGATGAGAATCAATCAGGGCCAAGTTCCATTTCTCCAGATGTGACAATGGAACACTGGAGACTCCGAGGTAAGCATAGAAGGCAAGTTTTATTTAAAGGATAGAACAGAGACAGACTTCTCCCCAGAGAAGGGGTCCAGAGCTGGTATCCAAAGATGGGGTAGTGTCCTCCCCCTTTTATACATTTTAGATTTTCTTTGGCGGCAGCAGCAGCAGGTAAGGCTTAGCCCGGCCGTCCAGGGACCCTGGCTCCTCAAGCACTCACTGCCGGCCCATTCCACCCGCAGCTCACAAGCCTCCTGTGGGCCTGAGTCCTCAGGCTGTGAACTAGCCCCAGCTACACCAGCACCTCCAATGCTTCAGGGGCTCCTGGGCTCTGATGACGAGGAACAGGAAGACCCCAAGGACTACTGCAAGGGTGAGGCGGATCTTGGGTACATGTGGCCAGATTGCCAATGCAGGAGCTCAGGTCAACCTGGAAGGAAAAGGGTGCCTAAAGGCTGGGCCCACGTGTGCTGGGTGGCTGGTAGGGATCGCTGTCCTGGGGAACAGGAAGGGAGACACCCCCACGATGATCTACTGGCTCTCTTTGGCAGGTGGCTACTACCCAGTGAAGATCGGTGACCTGTTCAATGGGCGGTACCACGTGGTGCGAAAACTGGGCTGGGGCCACTTCTCTACCGTCTGGCTCTGCTGGGACGTCCAGTGAGTGGCCCCTCCGTCCCCAGGACCCGGTGCTTGCTGGGATCCTGCTTTGGGCTTGGTTGAGGCCACCACTATGCTCATGCCCTTTCCCCCCTTATCTTGCTTTTCTCTTCTCCCCATCTTGCTTACGTGACCAGTGGTCAGGAGATGAGCCAAAAGGTGAGAAGGAAGCCCTCCAGGTGTAACTTTCTACATCTGCTCAAACAGGCAGCTCTGGAGATGCTTGTTAACAGCCCTTTGGGAGGAACTGTTCCCTATAGGCAATGGGTGGAGGGGAAGGGCTTTGGAGATGTCAGCTTTGGATTTTCTTTTCTTTCCTTTCCAACCAGCCCCCATCTTCCCAATCAAACCCAACTGTTTATTAAATATATTGACGGCCATTTGTTTCCCAGCTTCAGCATGAAAAGAGAAACTACAAAATAGAAGAATTTTTTTTTTTTACCAGTTACTGCTCTGACAGGGGATTAATATCCAGAATATACAGAGAGCTCAAAAAACTTAATACTGATAAATGGTTGGAAATGGAGAACATCATGCTAAATAAAAGAAGCAGATTCAAAAAATCAAGGGTCGAATGTTTTCCCTCCCGTGGAAGCTAGAGCAAAATAAGGGAAAAAAGAGCAGGGATCAGATGTCATGAAGATATAGGGAAGATCAATGGAGTGGAAAAAGGAAATTGAGAGGGAGGAAGGATAGGAAAGAGGAGGAAATGCAAATGAATTTAATAAAATTGCATTGTGTGCATATATAAAGATACCATAGGGAATTCCACCTTTATGTATATACTGTAAATAGTAGAAAAAAAGTAGGTTAGACTCTCCACTCACCAAGATCACCCTCTAAAAATTGGCAACTGTTAGAAGAAAATATAGGGTCAACACTCCATAAGATTGGTTGCAGGCACTGACTTCTTAAACAAGATTCCTAAAGCTCAAGAAATAAAACAAGAATCAATAAGGGAGATGCTACCAAATTAAAAAAGTGATCAAAAATAAATAAATGAGTGAAAGGGAGATAAATAAAATAGAAGAAGGAAAATAGTGGGAGGTTGGGGGGGGGAGTGGGGAAGAAAGGGAGTAAATCAAATTACATGCATGTATGATTTTGTCAAAATAAATCCAACTACTGTGTATGACTACAATGGTATAACAAAAAAAAAATTGTCTGCTGAATTGGTACCATATAAATGACAATGAACAACGAAGACTTCCTATTTTGAAATGAGACCAATGCAGGGGAAGGACAAGATGATTGGGGACCCAAATAGAGGTCATGCCCTGTGTGAAGAGGTTATCTTCTTTACCCAATGGTATCCAAAGTCCCATATTGCCTCAGGAATCACCAAACGCACCAGGCAGGGGACATGTCCCTGAATCCTACGGAAAAAAAGCATCTTTCAGTCTGAAAAATCCACAAACTCTAACAGAGCCCAGGCAAAGGCAAAGAGAACAGATCTACAAAAGATACCATTAGCATTTCTACTCTTCTGGCAAGGCACTGAGGCAATTGAAATTAGTGTGATGTGTAGAAAATGAAGGAATCCTGTGTTTCCTGGTGCTTTTTTTCTGGGAGTGGTGGTGCACTCCTGATCCAGGCTACTCGGTGATACCACCAGTTATCCGAGCCGAGTTCTGCTCCCTCAAGCACACTAAGTCAAGCATATAATGCAGGGTTTGCTTTAAAAGGAGTAACACACACCTCTCCCGGGAGAAGGGAGCCAAAGTTGTATCCTGGGATCCCAAGAAGTGAGGATGTCTAGCCCCTTTTATACATCCTAGATTTCTTTGTTCTTTTGCCTCCCTACCCCCCCTTATCTCTCTCTTTCCTGCATATGTGACTAAGCTCAGGAGATGGCCCTTGTGGGATGCCCAAAAGGTGAGAAGCAGATGGGCAGGGGGAAGAGCCAATGGAGTCATCCAGGCAGGAAGCAGCCCCGGAGACAATAATTAACAACTTTTATTATTCCCTGTAGGGAGGGACAATTCCTGGGACAGGTTACCTTAACAACAGGTTGGAGCAGGGGCAGGTTATCTTTTTTTTTTTCCTAATAATTTTTTAGTTGTAGGTGGACACAATGCCTTTATTTTTATTTAGTTATTTTTATGTGGTGCTGAGGATCAAACCCAGTGCCTCACTCAGGCTAGGCCAACGATCTCCCACTGAGCCACACAGAACCCCTGCCCCTAGGGGCAGGTTATCTCCATGAGGGTGGAGGAAGGTCTCTAAAGACATTAACATTTCTATCCCTCAGGGATGGTCTCCAAATTGGCCTCCATTCTCTCTATCTGACCCGATTACCTATCTGCACTGACTGCCTGTCTTTAATTCTGGCTTCTTCGGGAGGCTGCAGCAGGAGGATCTCAAGTTCATGGCAAATTCAAAGCTGTCCTGGGCAACTTGGCAAGATCCTATCTCAAAAAAGGGTAGGGGAGGGAGGGGTGTCTGGGGTTGTAGCACAGTAGAGTTCAGTGGTAGAGCACTTGCCTGGCATGTATGAAGCCCTGGTTTGGACCCCAGTACCACCAATGAAAGAGAGTGAGCCTTTTTTTTCTCCAGTTTCTGAGGATTTGAACTTAAAACTGAAAACTAGCTCAGCATTCATTGATAAAGGAATGAATTAAACCTATAAGGACAGATCCATAATACTTAGTATTCTTCCCTTAAATATGTTCTTCCCCCTTTGACCATTTAAAATATACAAAAATTACAAGGAAATTAATAGTAACCCCATGAGGCTGGGGCTGTAGCTCAGTGGCAGAGCGCTTGCCTTGGATGTGGAAGGTACTGGGTTCAATCCTCAGCACCACATAAAGGCATGCTGCCCATCAACAGCTACAAAAAATAATAAAAAAAAATAGTAACACCATGAAATCACTGGATATGATCTAATTATGTTAATGTCCTCACATTAATATGTTTTCATATATATTTACCTATGTGTGGGTATATGTATGTGGACATGAAATTCCTCACTTCAGTATGAATAAATTATATGAATTTTAAAAATGTTCTCTGTTTCACTTTTGACTGTGGGGGTTTATCAGGTGAGAATGCGTGCCTCTTGCCCCACCTTCAGGTTCTCAAAGATTTGTGGAGATTATATTCTAAATACTGTGAATGGCAGTTATTGCTGACATCTAATCTGCTTCAACTGGAACATGGGTATATACAATATTCTCTCCACATAGCTAAAGTGTTTATCTAAAGGGTTTTTAAAATTATTATTTGTTTGAAGACATGAGCTTCTGGCTATGCAAAATATACCAAGGATGGAGAACTGTTTAACATGATCATGAAGCTGGATGCAGTGATGCATGCCTGTAATCTCAGTGACTGGGGAGGCTGAGGCAGGAGGATTGGGGATTCAAAGTCAGCCTCAGCAACTTAGCGAGACCCTAATAACTCAGTGAGACCCTGTGTCTAACTAAAATACAAAATAGGACTGGGGATATGGCTCAGAGGTACAGAGCCACTGGGTTCAAACCCCAGTCCAAAAACAAAACCAAAAACAGCATGATCATGATCCATTCATATTTGGGTTTGGAAGAAAATTATACTTGTGCATTAAATGTGTTTTCTTCATTTTGACTGTCTATATTCGACTTCCTGATTTTACCAATGGATAAAAATAGTGGATAATTTCCACCCCACTCCCATCTGGTTCACAGTCAAGACAAATTCAACATAACTTTTAAGTACCTGGTGTCCATATTCTAATTTACAATGACCCACAAGTCCAGAGACCCATGAATTGCAGGGGATTCAATAGATGATGTGTTTCTGCCTGTACCTGCCCTCCACAAGGAGGAATAAAGTCACTGTTAATTCATGTGTCCAAGATTTAAAATATTTAAACCTTTTTTCCTTTTTGACCTTCCTAGATT